TGCACATCCTAAATAAAAAAAAAGGATAAAAACTATATAGATATAAAATATACATTCGGTAAACCTTGTCAAATCAAAAAATATATATATTATTTAAAAAAACTTTCGGATTGTATAGTACCGACAGTCAGCATCGTTTTTCAAATTCGAAAAGTGAAAAATATATTTTGTGTAAATCGGTGAAAGTTAAAACAAAAACAAAGAGAAATTAATCAATGTTCCATCATAAACTACATATTTACAAAAAATTTTGGTGCATAGAAAATTATAAATATATAAAAATAAATAATTTATATAAAATTAATTATAGAAATAGATTTCACGTGTGTCTTTCTAATTTATTTTGTTCTAACGGCGTTGACATTTCAGTATAAACGAAGATATAGTCATAAAGTTAGTCTCTTTTAAATAATTGATGGATTCGACCGTTACTTGACGGAAATTCATTTTATGTAACAATAAAACACTGAAAACTTTGTTTTCCAACTTCAACAAAATTTATTTTAACTATTATCACTACAGCTGTTTCGGCTGATTGCCTTTCTCAAGTGATCTATTTTTGGCATGCGTTTACAATTTATAGTCTCTAATGAAATAGGTTGAGGAGGGAGAACTGTTTGTCTCAAGTTGGTCATTCAGAATTATATCTGTGTTTTTTAATTTGTTGATTTCCATAGATTCTAACAAAGATAGCTTAAGGCCTTTATTTTGAATGTGAAGAATTTTAAATTTGTCATTAAAAGAATGATTATGATCTAGAAGGTGAAGTGCGTATGTCGAATCTGTTTTTCTATTATTGAAAGCCCTTTTATGTTCTGCTATTCGTTTATTAAAGTTTCTACCAGTTTGACCGATGTAAGTTTTTGGGCAGTCGTCAGATTGAAGTTTGTACACACCACTATTTAAGTGTTTTTTATTTTGGCTCTTTTTATTTTTAATATATTTGCCTAGGTTGTTATTTGTTCGGAAAGCTGGTGTTATTGCTTTCTTTTTTATGTGTTTGGCTATTTTTGTTGTTATTTTGCCTGTATATGTAATCGAGCAGAAGGTACTGGGTTTTTTCTCTGGTGGTGGAAATACTAATTTCAGGGCTTTCTTGTGTAGTTTTTGATTTAACATTTTATTAATTGTTTGTTCATTGTATCCGTTGTTTACTGTTATTTGCTTAATTATATTTAATTCTGTCTCAAAGTTGTATTTTGACATCGAAATTTCTGTTAATCTATGTAACTGTAACATACTACGATAAGCTGCCAGTTTATGTTGTGTTGGATGGGATGATGAATTGTGTTTGAATGAACATAATGCGGGATGTATCAGGAAATGTATTTTGCGAGTTTTAACAATATTGTCCAATTGCTTTTCCCATTTCAGTCTAATTTTATTTTTTATTGAGTTAAATATATCCCTTACTGTATAAATATTGCAAAAGACTCCATTTTTCACTGCTTCCTTAGCTAGAGTATCAGCTTTTTCATTCTCTGGTATACCTACATGGCCTCTAACCCAAATAAATGTTATATTTAAATTTACAATAATATTTATTAAACAACATAACATAGGACACTTCATTCTTTCAAATTTTGTATTTTTTGAGTATGTTATTGGATATTAACCATGTTATAGATGGAGTATGTTATTGGATGTTAACCAAGTAGTACAGTTTTCTAGTAAAAACACTGATATAGATACATTTTTAACAAACACGGTATATACCATTCATTTACAATTTTACTTACTTTGTAAACAAGATTTGCTTTCCAAATATTTTAACTATTTCTATTTATTTAAGGTATTTATCAAAAACTAAAGAACAATAAAATGGGAGTTCCAGGGTCAAAGAAATCATTAAGGAAAACCATAATTGGATTAGGCTTTAGGTAAAAATAATTATTCCGGTGAACAAAAAAAACTGTATAATGGCTAAAGTATTTTAAATTGATATTTTATTGGCATCGTTTTAGTTAAACTTATGATGAATATGAATAATGTCTTATCAAAAGTACTAAATATTTGGATAATTTATTTCGATTCCGGTTTCCGAAAAACTGTAAATAAAAAATATGATACGATTCTACATAATTTTTGTTTTTAACAATTGAATTGTTCTCACTTCTGTATGTTGTGATACATTTGAAGTTTAAACCATCATATTTTTGAAAATATATTCTTTAAATTATCCTGAACAAATTACAGGTGGAGAAAAACCGAAGACAATAGGACTGTTCTAATGGAAAAATATGAAATTCGTTAAAAACGAATAGAATATTTAAAGAAGCTAATTCAATTTCAATCTGAGGGTAGAACCATAGTTTATACCGGCGAAACATATATATACACAGCAGCCATACTCTACCATACCACTGGGCAGATCAAAGTGGAAAATCTTTAAAGAAACCAATTTGACCGGAATTATAAAAAATTATACAAGCCAATAAACCACGTTTGCCACCAGTTTATGTATTAGATTATGAGCTTGAAAAACATGGATATAAAGTACTTCACTTGCCTCCCTATCATCCAGAGTTAAAACCTATCGAAAAAATATGGGCTTTGGTAAAAGGTAGAGTGGCCACTCATAATACAACATTTAACATAAGAATGTGAACATTTATTAGACTCTACGCTGGGCCACTTACAATTTCTTGTTAATACTGGTTCATCCGAAGAAAGCCTTTCTGATAATGAACATAGCGATTAAAATTCCGGAATAGACGTGTTTTTGTGAGATATTCTTTTGTCATATAACAAAACATAGAAATCTTTACAATCATTACTGTTTAGAAAATAAATACATTATTTAAAATAAATTACTTATTTTTTTGTGTTGTTAAAACCCTTCCTTCCTTCCTTCCTGGCAATGTTAATAAATTGTAAGTATTGAGGAATTTGTTCCTCAATACTTACAATTAGACTACAAACTTCATAAATATTAAAAACTATAAAAATAAAAATTAACAAATTCATTTTCATTTTAATTGAATATACTTATAAAAATTTATTTTAAAGCTACCGGTTTCCGTCTGCCACTGGTAGAAACGGTCCGCCCGTCTGCGCGAAACACTACGTCACATTCCCAAACTTAAGTTTGTCGGACTCTAAGACGAAGAATTGTTAATTTCTATGAAAAATCGCGGAATTTACAGCGTGTATTTTAAAGAATAAGTTACATTTCACTACGTAACTTTTTCAGCATTCAGCGAATCGTCCTGAAATGTTTACTGAAGTTGCTTTTTATATAGATGAGTGTAACCTATGAGTATGAAAGGTGAGACACTAAGGATAACATACTTATAATAAAACTAATAAGCGTAGAATACATTGAATTAATTTCAAAATGTTTGAGTTTTCCCTCCATAATTTTTTTTAGCGTTTATGATGTAAAAATTTTACAGCAGCATTTTATTCGTTGCTTTGTATCTATGCTTTGTAGAAATCTGTGCAATCAAAAATAAACCCTAGGTAACACTGTGTTCGTTTCAGCTTTATTCGTGAATAATTTTGTTAAGATACATTTTTTTTAAGCACACTATGGATATCACATGCACACCTTTAAAACTTGGCGTGATCATTAGTATTTGTGTGTGTATCTGTATTTACATAATCTTTTGCTAGGTACTATACCTTTAATAAATTTTTCTTGCTCGGGATGATTCTGAACGACCAAGCATGAATGCTTGTGCTGCTTCTGGTTACAAACAGGAGTATAACGTAGTGCAGTTAGGTAATTTTATTTTACATTAATTTTTTCACATTTTACACATCATAAAACTATATTTAAATAGTTCTATTTAAAAAATGCAAGATAGGCCGATGAATCTTAAGACTACATTAAAAGTAAGTTATTTATGGATAACGGAATTAGGCCGTATACAGGAATATAGGTTTAATATTTATTCGAGATCACTTAAATCACACCATCAAGAGTGTGACATATTTTTATTTTTTCAGTTCAATAAGTAACTTGTTATATTCTTTACATTTGTTATGAAGTTATGAAGCAGATAATTTTATTGATGTTATTGCATCTAACAAAAAATAACATACTGATTAGACTGTCAAATATTTCCATAAAAAATATGTCAAAAATAAGTCCTTAAATATGTTTCTCACATTTTGTTAATTAGATAAATGTTTTTCAGTAATGGAATTAAATGATAAATAAGACAAAACACGTTCCAATTGCAAAATACAACGCCCTTGCATTGAGTACAGGTCTATCAAAAAAAGACCATTTTTCTTTAAGAACTACGTTACTTTATAATTAAATAAGTCATAAAAAAACTAAAAAAAATAAGGAAAAATCGGGAAAAGGCACTTTAGGAACAAAATTTGAAATCAATCCGAGGATACCTCTCAGAATTTCACTCAAAACATGGCTAATGCCTATAAGATCGAGGCAAGTGAGTCAACTGTCAAGTTGGTCACCACCCAGCGCAATTTTGTAAACATTTACAGGTTAAATTTTTTGATAATTTTTAATTTAAAATTTGTTTGAAAATTATTTGGGTTTTGAAATAGAAACGTCAAAACAAAAAATGTAAAATTCAATTCTCATTACTATCAATTGTGATTGAATCCCATACAAAACAATATTTAACTGATTCTTTGGTATATAGAGGTGACACAGAAAACGATAAAAAGATCAGATAGCATTAGCGCAACTTTTGTGCCACGCCGTATAATAACCAAATTGGATATAAAACAGGTCTTGTCGCATGCCGTACTTAACGTGTTACGCACACATTAACATCTTATTAATTTGTTTTAAATTGAACATTTATACTTTTGCCAGTCAATTCATGTACCTGTATTAATTAAACAACTCTTTATAAGTTTCATTACTTATTTTAAGGAACCAAATGCATGCCAGTCTTTAAGTACATCAGAAGGTAGTTATACAAATTAACCTAGCATAAAAAATCATCTAAATAAAAAATACTAATTTACTACTTTTCAAAATTTAAAAATATAAATATCATATTAGTAAAACATCAGTTCGACAAACAAATAATTACTTAGAATGATGAAAAATGTTTGTGAAATAAAAGTTAAAATTCACTGATAATACACAGACATTGTTTTTCACATTTCAAAATGGCGATGTAGATGCTTCCGAGCATGTCGAATCTTGCCGACAGCTGAGTGAGTGTTGAAGGGCCATCGGCATTAACCACTCTTTCGGTAGGCAGCGTTCCAAAAATGGGACCCAACTGCTGAAATATGCCAGTCTGTTAATCCAAGGAGGAATATCTTGCCCACATAATATCTAAATATAAAAAATATATTATTATTAATTTATTACACAATTGTTTTAAATCTGTTTATCTATAACATTACAGTTTTTTAATATTTTATTGGAATAATTTTAATATAAATTTATATGGTCAGTTGCAAAAAATTTACTGTGGGCACACGTTTCCGGTCATCAAAATAACATTGGAACCTATGAAAGGTACACATACTGATTTAAAATGGTTATACCACCATAGAAACTATATCCAGAAAAGTACTGGCATTGGAACTTATACTAGTTCAGACTATAACTGGGTCCCTTTGATGGCGCACTCTTTGCGCAATATTTCATTCGTAAAATCGCTCTTATTGTCACCCAAGACTAATTCACGACCATCTGTGGTCGTGAAAACATGGACTCATCCGAGAATAACACGTTATCACGAATCAGTCCCATCTTTGTATTCCCTTTAAACAGTAAGTCGATGTTCTATATTCCATATTTGTCGAATTTATAAAAAAAATCCTAAATACCTGCTATTAACATTCAGCGGAATTATAGTTTATTCGTCTTCCGGGTTTGGACCGTGTCATTTGTGAGTGACCCAAAAGTGGGTTCATCTCGACGTTTCGCTACAATTGTATGTAGCTTCTTCAGGAGAACAAAGAAAAAGAAAAAGAAAACAACAGAGAGGAAGATGGGTAGTTAGCAACGGTAACTCAGTTACTCAACGCAACCAGAGGCGAATACTAACTACCAAGATGGGCATTTGGTTTTCACCTCTGGCTGCGTTGAGTAGTTGAGTTACTGTGACCAAATGCCCATCTTGGTAGTTAGTATTCGCCTCTGGTTGCGTTGAGTAACTGAGTTACCGTTGCTAACTACCCATCTTCCTGTCTTTTGATTTCTTTTTTTGTTCTCCTGAAGAAGCTACATACAATTGTAGCGAAACGTCGAGATGAACCCACTTTTGGGTCACTCACAAATGACACGGTCCAAACCCGGAAGACGAATAAACTATAATTCTGACTCTGGCCGTGGAAGCCTACGATTTCATTCAGCGGAATATATGCATAAATCACAATACATCAAAAAGTAATCCAACAAGTCCACTCAAATCTAACAGGAGTAGGAGGAGAAATCTTAACATCAGAAGATGTCAATGAAAAGTGGAGCAATATTCAGAAGGCATTACTAAAGGATACAGAGGAAAATTTAAAACCTGAAAAGACAAATAAAAAACAGAAGTGGATGACTTCAGAAATTCTAGTATTAGTGGAAGAGATGAGAAAAGCCAAAGGGAGAAAGGAGCCAAGATATCAAGAACTACAAAGTAGAATTAAAGTATAGATAAAAAAGTTCAAGGAAAAGTGGTTAACAGATCAATGCATAGAAATAGAAGAGTATGACAGAAAATATGACAGCTTTAATATACATAAAAAAATAAAAGAACTAACAAATACCAAAAAGCGAGCATACTATGGGACACTCAAAGATGATAATGGTAAACTCATTGCAGATATCAAAGAGTATAAAAGAATATACAACAGGAGTAATACCCGAAGATTGGTTACTGTCCACGTTTGTAACACTACCAAACTCAGTACATGCGACGGAATGCTCCCAGTACGACATCAGAAACTTGTAAAACTTAAAAGAAAAGAATGTGGATAGTCGAGATATACGGGATATTGTCAATCTGTACTGGAACCAAAAAGCAAAGGATAGAATCGAAAATATCGATACAGAAACTATAGAAACCAAAAGAGGTGTAGACAGGGTTGCGTGCTGTCCCCATTGTTATCCAATCTGTACAGCGAAGCTATTTTTAAGGAAGCAATATAAAAGGAACAATAGGTATATCAATAAATGGAAAAATCTTGAACAGCATAAAACTCGCAGACGACACCGCTGTTTTTGCAAATAATCTAGAAGAACTGCAACGCTTAGTAAATAGATCTACTAAATAGATTATCAAGTCAGTATAACATATGGACTACAAATGAACGTTAAGAAAACCAAGTGCATGATTATTGCTAAGCAACATACAGTAGGAAGGCTAGATATCGAGGGAAAACAAGTAGAAAGATTGAATAACTACAAATATTTTTGAACCTGGGTAAAAGAAAACAATGACCAAGGTCGATAAATAAGGACACGCATTGAAATTGCAAGACAAGCATTTATAAAAATGAAAAGTTAATTTGAGATGTGGTGCTATATAAGGATTTTAAAAATACCATGGATCCAACATTACAAATGCAGAATTGTTAAGAAGGCTACAAAAGGATTGCGAGGTCATTAAGCACATAAAAACAAGAAAGCTAGAATATTTAAGCCACATTACCAGAGGTGCGCAATATGAGATATTAAGGCTCATAATGCAAGGTAAAATCAAGGATAAAAGATCCATAGGAAGACAAATAATTTCCTGGTTAAGAAACCTAAGAGAGTGGTATAGTTGCAGCTCATTAGATCTTTTCAGAGCAGCCACCAACATAAGGTACGTACACAGGAACTACAGGAAGAAAAAGAAGAAGGAATATATGCAACACAACATTACCAAAATAAGCGCATACATAAAACAAATGAAATGGCTTATAAAAAATATGTAACACAACATTGCCAAAATATGCGCATACATAAAACAAATGAAATGGCATATAAAAACTGATGTTTTTCTACTAAAAACTTTTGCCTTCTATCTGACAAGAATAAAAATTTGAATTAAAGAATATTTCGAATTAGAGAAGATCGAATTAAGCAGGCTTCACTCTATTCCGATCTCTAATTATTACCATTTTGCTTAATTATTTAACAACAATTTCGCCATATTGATGTATCTATTAACACATTAAGATATGTAAGATTAAACATAAAGTGATTTTATTGAAATCTTATACATATATTGATTGTATAATGAAAAATATATTTTTAAATAAGAATATGAGATATGTACAAAATTTGTAGAAGGATATGACAAAAAATTATATGGCAGCGAACGTGTTAATATATAAAATACATTTATTTTATTGTTCACCTTTTAGTCTTTATAAATAAGTCACATTTATTGATTGAAACAACGGATTGGTCTAATTCCTTTATCATTTCATTAAGTCGAATAAACAATAACAACATGTGCACTATTGACCGACATTGTTCAGATAGTAAAGCTATTAATGAAACTTTAATCTGAGGATCAGTATGTACTTAATACTTTGTATTAATTGTTTTATTATAGAATCCAATTTATAATTTCTAACAGAAATATAAGTTTTCAGTTTAAATATTTTAAAGAGTAAACTGTCCAAATTGTAATTCTATATAATTTGCAATAATTCAAGAAGTTTGTTGGTTATAGTTATCAGCGCAAGTGGTGTAACCCACATTTTTTGTCGGATACGGTTTTGGTGTAAAATACATTATGATCGTTCAATACAATAGTAGCATAAGCCTCCATTTAGTATCCATCAACAGATGGCGCCTAAAATAGTATGTTTTTACACGGGGCATATTAAGCAAAACAATAGAGCAAGAGTGGTGTAAACTGGATACACCACTTTTGCATCACGATATTACTATTGTTTGTCTATTCTTCTTCTTCATGTACCATGTCCTTTCAGAACGTTGGTTACCATCATAGCTATTTTAATTTTATTCACTGCCACCCTAAATAGCATGCTTGTATCTACACCATACCAATCTCGCAAGTTCTTCAACCATGAGGTTCTTCTTCGTCCTGGACTGCGTTTGCCTGCTATTTTTCCTTGCATGATATTTTGTAGCAATCTATATTTGGGACCTCTCATTACATGTCCGAAATATTCCAGATTTCTCTGCTTGATGCTTTTTATGATCTCAGTAGTCTTGCTGAGACGTTCTAGTAATGTGGAGTTACGAATCTTCTCCACCCAGGAAACTTTTAAAATTCTTCTATAGCACCACATTTCGAAAGCCTCAAGGCGATTTAGATCGATTTTATTCACAGTCCAGGACTCGACAGCATAAAGTAAGACCGAGAACACGTAGCAGCGAAGTAGGCGGATCCTTAATGCCAATTTTAGGTCTCTGTTACATAACACCTTGGACATCCTTCTAAAAGCAGCTCTAGCCTGCTCTATTCTGGATCTAATTTCGCCGTGATTTTCTGCATTACAATTTAATTGCTGTCCAAGGTAGAGAGTTTAGGTAGAGGTTTGCCTATTGCTTACTTCAAAATTCCGTCAGCTGTCAGTATCTTGTGTGTTTAAACATTGAGGTTAGAAACGAAAGTTGTTAAAAGACATAAATCAATACATATCTTATCAAACGAAAAATTGGATGAACCATGGATAAAAACATTGATACTACATCAGGTTAGTTAAAATATTGTGTTTCTACAAAATAAACAATTCTATTTACGTTTAGGTAGGTTTTGTAGATTCATAAATTACTTAATTAATCAATCTGACTACAGTTGGAGATTTTGATGATTCCGACTATAAATATCTACCATCCCCTGCGCTCTCATCATTCAATGGTGATTCTGAACAAGTCTATGCAGACACCTCACAACAGCCACTTCCAAGCACGTCTAGTTCAATAGAAGAATCTCAAATAAGCACGTCAACAGCTGAAACCACAAATGAATCTCCTATCTTCAAAAGTAGAAAGTGTGTGAAAAAGCCAAAGACTTGGCAGGGAAATGTCCTTAAATTGAAGCGGGCAAAAGGTGAACAATATGGACACCCCAAAAAAACAAGATTGTTCTTGCGAAGACACCTAAAACAGGCGAATGTCCATGTCCTAAAAAGTGCCATCTAAGACTAAACAAGGAACGACAGCTGGAAATATTCAGAAGCTTTTACGCACGGTCAAACTTTGATACTCAGAATTCATTACTGTTCTCATTAGTTAAAGTGGCAAAAAATGCAGAAATTACACAAGAAGAGTAAAATCAAGAAGGCAAAATGGTGTTGAAAATGTATGTAAAAAATTATTTCTAAGAACATTTCAAGTTTCCGATGGACGTATTACTAGAATGCTGAAACATAAAAGTATTCAGAGTGTTTAACCTATTAATCAAAGATGTCGACAAAGTTTTGTAAACAAAACAACAGACAATAAGATCGCAGGGTAAAAGAATTCATTGGCTGGTTTCCAGTTTAGAAATTCATTATACGAGACATAAAAGTGACGAAAGAGGAGAAAAGCGAAGAAAATGGAACACCCCAAGGATCAGTCCTAAGCCCTACTTTATTCTTAGTGGCAATAAATAATATTATAAACAACCTTACTACTCCTCTAAAGGCTCGACTTTTCGCAGATGACCTTGTTGTCTGTATCAAAGAAAATAACACCGCATCAATGACAAACGCTTTGCAGTATTTTCTAAACCAATTAGAACAATGGTCTCTAATGACCGGATTCAAATTTTCAGTAACAAAAACATCAAAGAATCCGATTATACAGTTCCAGATTGAACAATTAATTCCCAACAGTATTTCAAACGAATACCAATAACTATCTATCTTGGACTATGGAACAGCCCAAAGTTATTACAGCGTTAAGTATATATAATAAACATGAAACTAGTCCTATTATTTTTAAAGTTAAACTAAATTCAATCCTAGATCCACAATACAATGAGTGGATTAAATTTTATACAGGTGCATCCAAAGGTAAACTTGGCGTTGGAGCAGCAGTGGTAACCCCAAACGACACTTTTCAATTTAAACTTCCTCTAAATTCCAGCATCTATACTGCAGAACTATTTGGTTTGTTCAAAGCCATCAAGCAAGTAAATATTAAAAACATCCCTTGTTGTCTAGTCCTTTCTGACTCTCTCAGCGCACTCAAAGCTATGCAAAATGTATACCCTAAACAGAATTATCAAGGCCGAATTAATGAAAGCTCAAGAAAATTTCAGAACAATCCACTTCCTGTGGATACCATCTCATATAGGCATAAAAAGGAATGAAGAAGCACATAAAAGCACAGGGAGTCACACTATCCAGCAAATACCAGATTTTTAATTGATTTGGCTAATTTATTTTTTTTGCTAAATTTATCAATGTCTTTAAAGAAAATTTAAAATTGTGCAAATATTCCTTCATCCTAAATATCAGTGAAAATTATGTTTCAACAAAGGTATGTCATACAATGTATTTTACGAAAACGAAACTTATTTAAAATAAAAAATATATAAGGAATTATATCAATAGCTTACCTTACAAAATGCTCCTGAAAAATGATTACAATTATTGTTCATAAGATGATATCTATCGCCCCTAAATTCCTTTCCTAATTCATTAACAATTCTTTTAACATCTTCTTCTGTAAAATCTGTATATCCTATATGTATTGTTTGTCTACAAATAATGGGTAAACATAATAATAACGTATTTATTCTATGTATAAGTTTATTATCAATAATTAAATAAATGGAAATCATTTGATAGCCACAAATGGGTTTGCAATTACTTTGTACTGCAATTATCAATTTATATACATTGTTTAAGTTCTAGTCACGTTTATTTAAGATGGTTACAAGTGTATTATATACATTGAGAATGTCTATTTAAGAAAGGATTGAGAAATGATATTTTTATAAATAGGTTTGTTTTTTCTCGTACTAATTTAGACAATTCATAATAAAGACTATAGCGGGATAGGATGATACAGTCTGCACTCGGATGGATTCTTATTTGGAACTAGGCCAGCCCTGGATAAAGTGGCGGGAAAGCCGAGCGACTGTCCGAGGCGCCAAATTTTGGGGGCGCCGATATAAGAATAAAATATTTTTCTACATGAATTATTTTTTTAGATTTTATAATTTAAAATTGGTCATTTTTCATGATTGAATAACTGTAATATTATTTGCATAAAGCTGGCATAAAGCTGTCAAAATTGGCATAAAGCCGGAATCTTAAATTTTCGCCTAATTCCTTTTTTTCAAATGGGACAAGCTGTATGTGATTCATTATTTTAGAAAAATATGTTTTCACTCTCGATCTGTATTAGTATTACCTATACCTATTTCTTGCAGTTTTTAAATAAACTAACTTTATACATTTTTGTCACAAAAAGTGTATTTATCAGTAGCCTATGGAATATTCGGACAAAAATATCAGATATTGTTAATGTTTAATAGTAACCTTGTTGTATGCCATTGAGTGACAGTTATAACACAGTATATTGCTAATGCTTTTTAACGCAATATACTGTGGTTATAATAATAATTTGTCTAATTTTCTTGGCAAAATAATAATAATTCATTTAGTCCATCCACCAAATCTCAAGTCACTATTGGGTACATGGCCCGGGGGTAACATAGTGGACTACAAGCGATACCCAAGGGAGGTGGCGAAATTGAGGGTAAAATAGCCTTGGTAAGGTAAGGGCGCACTGTCCCACTGGACCGATCAGCACGACCCAACTCGTGGGAAGAAAGATGAGAAGGAAAAAGAAAAATAAAAAAGACGGAAGAGGGAGCAGCGGAGATGAAGGAGAAAGTTGAAGAGGAGGAGTGAAAAAAAAGAGATGAAACTCAAGGAAAGAAAAGCTGGAGAAGAGAAGTGGAAGAAATTAGAGGTAGAAAAAAAGCAAGCAGAAATGGCGGGAAGGATATGGAAAAAAGGGAGAAACAGCAAAGCAAGAGAGAAGAAGAAATAAAGGGAGGAGAAAAAGAGAAAGAAGGAAAAAACAGGCAGAAGGACGGAAAAAATAAAAAGAGGGAGATTCTAAGGAAAGAAAACGAAAGAAAGGAAGACGAAAAAGCAAGCAGCTCGGACAGAGGAAGCAGCTTTGATGATGAATGGAAAAACGGAGATCAAGAAAAAGAAAACCAAGCAACAAGACAGCCAAATGCCAAATAAAAAGCTATCCATACAGAGGGAGGTCGACATACTGAGAAATCGGATGCTCGATTATATCGAAAAAGTGGAGGAAAATAAGAAAATGCACCAAGAAAGTCTGTGTGATTGACATCCAGCAGAGGCGTGCAGATCAACATCGAACCCTTGAAAGTTAAGAAGTTGGCGACAATGGTGGTTTAAGTGGATCTAGAAAACCCAGAAGCCATTAAACGAAGGGTAGGCGCTATCGCGAACAAGAGAGCAACATGCAAGGAAACAATAAGGTTTCTAAATGAAGACTGGCCAGAGGAGGTCTTCACTAGGACCATAGTGAAAGAAGGAGACATCTCAGAAATAACAGGAGATATGGCAGTCTTTGTCACCAAGAATGACGAGGACAACAAAGACATGGAAAAGGCCAAAGCTATGTTTCCGCAGCTACCAGGTGCTCCAGATGAGGTGGACGTGAAGGGCGGCCTGGGAACTATGAAAGTCACGATGTCTGCTCACAAAGAAGGAACGTGGATCCACAAGGAGAAGTATGAATTCAAACTTCTCCCGAACAAAAAAGGAAGAACCTGTGCCGGTGAAGTTCCTGAAAACGTGCAGGAAACTGGTACAGAAGATGGAGGAACTGGGAAGAGAAAACGTGGGAATCCACACACCGGCAACACTGGGAGAACATCGAGAAGAATTATGGAGTGGGCTGCGAGAGGAAGAGATGTAACGATCACGGTCCTAGGTAAAAGAACAACAAGAAGGTGAGCCAACATCAACACCAAGCCCAAAAAACAAAATGGAGTCGTAATCATCAGCAAAACCCAAGAAAAATCCTTTGTGGATCTAATGATACAAGTAAAAAACAAATTGCCAGGAAGAAAGGACATTGACATAAAAAGGATCAGACAGACTAGAGAAAAAGGAATATCACTGGAGTTGGTTGGAGGACGGGAAATGGCGGAGGAAGTGAAGAATCTCCTCTCTGATAATACATGCGTGTCGAGAGCAGTGGCAAAAGGAGGTATCGTGAAGAGAAGAATCTTGGTACAGGAAATCCCACCCAATACAACGAAGGAAGAGATCCAAAAGGCCACAGAGGAAGCAACTGGCAAAGAGCGGGCATGTGACATTATATTGAATGAAAAGAATAAAAGTAGACTACACATCTTGCCGAGTAATAGAAGCAATGGTAGAAATACTGACATGTCTCATCATGTTTGTGTCCAAAGGCAAGATGTCTTTGGACACAAACAATGGTTTGCAAGGTTCAGAACAGAAGAGGACGTTGCTTGCGATGTGGCAAAGAGGGTCAGATAGCGCTGGAATGCAAGGAAGAAACACCAGATAACTCAACTGCGACGTGACTGGGCATGTGGCGAATTCAAGAATACTGTTACGATAAATATGACCCCATCTCTATAAAAACGAAAAGAAAAAAAAAGGCTATACAAATGATGATGTTTTAAATTTAATTATAATTTACTGTGAGTGTAACAGAATAGTATCCAGAACTTGCCGTGTTTTTGACGAAGATATCCTGAGAAACCATAAAACAGTAAAACGTTTGTTGATCAACAGTTTCCAGTTTGATCAGTTTATAAGTAAAAGGACCCACGTTGATAATAAAGACTTAAAAATATATATCCTGGGCTATTTTGCAGCTAATTCAAATTCATCCTTTGATGTATTTGTACACCATATTGATAATAATTTTTCATTTCTTTTATTAACTTAAGTATTGAATTTGAAATAATTGTATAATCTTTATATTTATCAAAATATATAATTTCTAATATTTAATTATAGTTATAAGTTGTGAGCTTGAATATACAAAAATGTGACTTTACCTAAATTTGAACTGTTCTCCTAATTCTTTTTCATCCCTAGGTATATTTTCGAATATGCCAGTAAATGAATATTGATGGCCTCCATACGCGTACTCTGTTCCATATATTTCAACACCTAGAACAAAAGAATACTCATACAATGGATATCCAAACGGGATGACGAAACAAAGAGAAATTTTGATAAGGTAACAATACTCTAGCTTGATTCGCAGTCATAATTATTTTCTCACTTCATATGATTTTATGGGAATTTAACGTCAAATGTTGTATTTTGAAGTTGTATATAATACGTTTAATTCAACTTTATTATATTGTAGAGTTAACTTAACATACATATACTTTATTTTAACGAAAAAATCATCAATTTTGGGGTATAAAATGTTGCTCAAGGGCCTCGTGTTATAAAAGACTAACGATCCAAAAAAAATTTACTATCTGTGTGAATAATGTACCCATAGTTTAGTGGTAATCTGTACAAGAAGTCTCAAGGTGGTTATAATGAGTGGAACCTTTGATTTGTGTAAAAATGTATCAGATTTTGCTTAAACTTTGCATAGTTCATCTATATACTATTGTTTAGTGATTGAACGAAAGGATTTGCAATGGTTGACTCGTTTTTTTTTTTATACGAAAAAATGTTTTAAAGACGAAGAGAATTGAATAAATGCTAAAAAATATGAGACTAAAATTCATTCAAACTTTTTTAAAACTTAAAATTTCATTTTTTCCCAATTCCTTCATTCAAGCACGAGCCAAGGGGGCATAAACTATAAGAAAATTTTCGAATTTTTGAATTCAGCTGAACCTGCACCGAAATATTCTGCCTACCACAAAATAGGAATGACGGGGAAAACTACAGAAAAAAATTGACAATTGTAGACAACTTTTCTATGTGTCAATTTGAAATAAAATAGATTTTTGGTTTTTAAAATATTTGATTAATTATTTGATTTAATCATTTGAAAAAGTTGTGTTTTTTTTCAAGACAAAGGGCAGATTGTTCTAACGCTAATCAAAACTTGATTGTAATCAAATATTTAATTAAAATCAAATACGTCACAGCAACTGCCAAAATTATTAAAAATTGCTTATTATTATTATTGATTTATAAATAAAAACATGAAATTAACATCAGAAATGATTTAATTATGGTTTATTTTAAATTAAAACGCAAAATAATAAAATTGAATAAAATAAATCAGTCAACATAACCTCAAAATGTGACGTATTTGATTTGAATTAAATATTCAATTACGGCAAATCTGACAACATTGCAAATATCAAATATGAAATCTCCGTATCCCAAAATAGGTGTACCTCAAATTTTGTACAATTATGACTAGCAATTTACGAGATAATTGGCCGTTTCTAGACTTTTGGGCCACTCTGTATACTTACAATTAGGGTAACACTAATATTCAGTGATCTATTTATAGGACGGGTCAATGTTCAAAAATGCAAATATATAAAACAATTTCATGAATATTTCCACAATAAGAACAATATTAGTGATAATTATGTACCTATAGCAAAATTTTGAAATTTGAAAAAAAATTGGGCGTTAATGGGTTAATCTAGTAGTATTCTTCAAACCAAAATACGATAGTTGTGGTCATAAATATAGTGGGTTTATTAAAACAACGTGAACTGTAATCCACTTTCAAAGCTTTGAAAGTAATCGATGTTCTCGTAAAATCCTTTAATTAAAAATTGTTTGTGTATCCTATAAATATATAATCCTAATTATAGAGTAAACGGGCAACTATATAATTCAAATTGGTGAGTTGCTTATTTTTGTACAGTTGTTTATACATCAAAGCACAAACTTATCTTTGTTTATACTAGATAAAACAATAACAAAATTTTGAATTTGCTTTTTTGGCAAATTGGTCAATATACTGCAAATTTTAGAATTATGTATTATTTCACATAAAAAGTTTGTACAAATAATAGAAGGAAAACATATTTTTTGAAAAAAGCCAGCTTTATTATTTTTCAAAGTATTCACCTTTTGAATCTATTATATACTTTTTCATTTGTAAATATGAAAATATGTACCTCATAGACGAGATTTTTGTAATATGCAGCAAGGAGCTGTATATTTTATGTAGGCAGTGTATATTTAAAATGCATTTTACAATAAATTATAAATATTCCTACTTCCTTACTATTCCTTTCTGATATTTTATAGTCAGGGCTAGGTCTAGGAACATAATTATGTAGATCTGCTGGTGGTCATTTACCCCCCGATTACCCCGATCAATTTATCACATAATAAAGTTCCGGTGTATAATCAAATGTAACGATAATTTGATAAATCATATTTAGTCGTAAATACGAGCATTTCCCTATTGGTGCAAAGTTTTAAAAAACAATATATACCATCCAAGCAAATTGAAAAGTTTATATTTGAGTATTTATTTGTTTTTATATTTATTCGAGAACTGGTTATGCCTGTCATCTTAATTCCACAATCAATACAATATATACAGTGTGTCAATTTGCAAAGGTATATATAATATGCCCTGTATAATTTGGTCCCTATAGAAAATCTATAAATATGCAAAAACACGTGAAATTTACTTGTGAAGGGGACATTTCGTACACCAGTTTTTAACTAAATTACATTTTTTGCGGACACAAACCCCAAAATTTTTAATGAAAACGGGGTTATACCTCATTTTAAGGGTCGTTTAACTATCTTTTCAAAAATATGGCATATATTATATTTAGTTTCAATACCTTTGTAAAATCAAGTAAACCCGTAAAGATATTTAAGCATAAAGGGTTTTGCAATAAAACATAAAAATTCAGTGATATTAACTTCCTAAAGTAAATGTTCGAAATGTTGTCCATTATTTTGTAAACAAAGAAAAAAGCCTGCTCTCAAACTTTTCTCTAATATTTCAATATTTCGAAAAACTTCAGGCTAAAGTTCCATACACGCAGCTATTCATCATCATCAATGGTGCTACAGCCCTATGAAAGAGCCTCGACCTTCCCAAGTCTATTACGCCAGGCAGTCCTATCCATTGCCAACCGTTGCCAGTTTGCTGCGCATATCTTTCTACCATCCTCATCTACACCATCCTTCCATCTGAGTTTTGGCCTACTCCTTTTTCTACTTCCCACGGGTTGTGACATAAGGATTCTTCTAGGAGGGTTGTTCTATTGTGATCTTGCTAGATATCCTGCTCATCTTAGTCTTCCTATTCTTATAAGAGATACTACGTCTTTACCACCAAATATTTGTTTATGTCTGTGGTATACCTCGTAGTTGTATCTCCTCCTCCAAACACCATTTTCACAGATGCCACCAAATATTCCTCTCAGGATCCTTCGTTCAAATATAAGCAAACGCAGCTATTATTGTTCCTTTTAAATCTTCCAAATCTCGAAGTTGAGTTTTATAGACAATTGACTTTAGATACCCCCATAGGAAGAAATCTAGAGGTGCTAGCTCGGATAATCGAATGTGCAGGAAAGAGAGTGGTTCCAAAGAAATGCGTGAGGTATTTAGGGGTGACTCTGAGTCAAAACGGAAAGTGGAGGGAGCACGTAAAAGCGGTGACTCAAAGAGCTGCGATGAGATCCGCCGCATTGGGAGGGATCATGCCCAACATCGGTAGGCCCAAAACTGAGAGGAGGAGGGCCCTTCATTCTGTTATGCAATCGATCGTCCTTTACGCTGCGCCTGTCTGGAGTTCTGGCTTTTAATTCTGGCTTAATCATTTTAAAATCCTAAAATCCGTTTAGATCATTCACTAAAATTATTGCTCTACACAATTCTCTGATTCTCTACACAAAAAAAATTATTTCGACATCTATTGATACCATAATGATAAAAAATACAATGGTTTTACCTGCTGATGTCAAAATGTGCGTTTAGTGTAAAAAATTAAATATATAAAAAAATCGGAAGATACAAGACTAAAAAGATACACTAAACAAACACACGGGACTTTTAAATAGAAAAGGATACCACTTCTTAGTGATGCCAAAATACTGCGACGTAATAAGAATTCAAAATGATAGCGGGATGTATATATAAACATAGTTGGGATCTATACTCCCGTACGGTAACGAAACAATAACCCATATAAACACAACCATAGATTTATTAAGATCTGACGAGATAAGAACTTTGAATCACTCTGATCACTTTTAGTCCAATTGTATAATATCGGAGTAGACAACTAATTTTTAATTACAAACTAAAATATGTAAGCAACCGATTACTCCGTGAAATTTAACAACATCAAAACGAAAAATATTGATTCCAAATATATTACATAATACTGTTAGTAAAGTATTTTGCAGTTAACTTCGTTTACTTTCCAAAGATAAAAATAGAAACGCATTATCAGTCAACAGTAACTGATTAGACGAAACTGATTAGAACAATGTTGATTAAAAGATTATTAGTAATTTTTAAAATATATATGAATAAAGCAATACACATGATCTTCAATCAAAAATAAAGATTAACAACCAGTTCTCCAAAAATTTTATAGGGCGAAGAATAGGAAGATAAAAGGGGCAAAGGAACAATATGTTGCTTAAAACGAAGCATTAAACTGTGGCGAAGGCAAGGCTGCAGTCTATCTCATACACTCTTCAAAATCTACACTGAAAGGCAATCTACACTGAGATGCAATAAAACAAGAATTGAAAAAAAAAACCAATTTATAAAGAGATAAAAAATGATAGGTGCACTAAATTCATTTCTTGGTCAAAAACCATCTCTAAACAGAAAAAGATAACAAGAGAATGGAACAAAAACTCCTTATTATATTCAGAAAATTTCAGCATATCCAGAATGATGCAGGTAAAAAAATATCCAGAATGATGCAGGTAAAAAAATGATAGAATAAGACAAATCATATTGAGAACAGCCATCATCATAGAAGAAATACAGCAAAAACATCTTATTTAGAGATATACAGAGAATGACAGAAATTGTTTGGCAGAAGATAGAATATAGGGCAGAAAATATTACAGGGATTTATTGGAATGATAAATTATTTCAAGAAACTCATCCCGGATATCAGTCAAAATGAATTAGCATTTTAGTTATTAGTTTAAAAGAGAAATTGGCAAGTGGGGTCAAAGTATACCCATCCCATCTACACATTGCCTTTTATAGTAAGAACAGATGCTTCGATACATACATACATTGTTAGAAACAGATTATGCTGCTTTAATTTATATAATGAAGAATAGACTGGTTAACAATGGAATACATCGCAGAGTATTATTGTTGCAAGAATATGATTTCGAACTTAAATACATAAAATGAAAAGATAACATCATTGACCATCTTACTAGAGATGAAAATTTTATGAAGGAAAACCAGAGAATACTAGAGGATTCTCTATAAGTAGAAACCAAAAGATTAATCTATGAAGAAGATGTTTATTCTATTAGAGAAGACATGGGAGATCAACCAATACAAAGGAATAAATGTAATGGTTGACCTATTATCCAACATCTACATAAAATTGTATTGCTGCTGAACAATAAAAGGTACCGAAATAGTAACAACAATTACCAAAAACAGCCAAAAACATACTGGTAGACAATGAGACTTATTTTCGCAATGATAGATTCAAAGGACAATTGAGACAGAGGGATCAATACAAAATTTGTGGATATACATCATCCACACAGCAACCCTTCAGAGAGATTTATACAAGAGGTCACAAAACATTTAAGCAGAGCATCAAATAGCCAACACAGACATTGGGATATGAAAGTGTCTAAAAATAAAGAGTATTTGAAGTCTATTCTCCACACGATAACAAAATAGGTACCAGTATTTATGATGAAAGGGCCACTACCTAGGCCATGGGAAGAACCAGAACAAAGTGAATACCAAAGAGAACAACTGACAGAAATGAAGAAAGAATATTAAATAGAAGTGGAGAAAAATACCTGCAACAGCAACACAGATAAAGAAAAAGACCAGTGACGTATGAACACTACAAAAAAAATAATGGTAATTGAGAGTGTCAAATTTAAATAACAGTGTATGTGCCAAACTGTTACCAGTTTTGAAGGCCCATATCGGGTGCATACTGAAATGGAATCAACATTTATGTTTTAGAACACTTAGAGACTGGAAACATCAGGGAAATATTTAATATAAATGATATATACAAGTATCATGATTAATTCCAACCTGCATTCAGTTTTTTTATTTACTTAGATTCACTAGCAGGGAAAAGTTTGTTTTATTAAGGGAAATGGACTAAATGTGCATTGGCAGGGGGAATGGAAAATTATGTACGGATGTAGTTTTGATTTTTTTTTTAGAAATTTTTCTTGTTTATAGAGAAAAATAAAAATTTTGTAAATAAAAATCAAAGGCAGGGAAGTTGTTATGATCCTAAAATATAGAAAAATTAAAAAGAGGCAGAGAGAAGGAAGAATAACCTAAATTTATAAAAATTTCTTATTTCTACATGTAGATTGTAAATAGAGGAGTGAATTATATTCACATATATTTTTTTGTACGTGTTAACAGTGATATGGACTTATTATGGACTTCTATGGGTAAAATGTAAAATTTAGGATAATAGAAGATTTAAGTATGATAAGTATATAAAATAAAAAAATTGTTTTGTAGCAAATACCATGAGAAAAACAGTTTACCTGTTCTCAGCAGTCTTGATAAACAAAATATAAGTGATTAACAGTTTCTGTTGTGTCTCGTATCAGTTTCAAAACTCTGGGAAATTTTGTAGAATGTTATTTATACAGGGTCTATTGTTAGATTTGTTTACATAGAACAAAAATGGGAAATTTGAAAGTTGGTTCTTGAAAACTAGGTATTTTGTGGGATTTTAAAGGACTAAAGCATGATTGTTTGAATACAAAACTGGTGAAAAGAGATTTTTGATTTGATTGCGATTTGGAAGACAAGAATGGGGGAAGGACAACTTTGAGAGAAGAACATCGAATTCTGAGAAGTAAACTAGTGCCAGCAATTTTGGAACAGTGTAAAAGTAATTTGTGAAAAAGGAGTTTTAGCTAGACAGTTGTGATAAAAGAACATTTCTATATTAAAAATTTAAATGTATAGAAGGTAAGGACTGTAAATGTATAATTTTTTTTAAAGTAGTATATGTTTTTAAAAGCTAATTTAACTAGGCTGTCCAGTTTAATTTGTCAGGAAACATGGGTATGTCTAAGTGAGTTGTTTATACATATAATAATTTTTTAAAATTATTTTAACGTTATATTTAATTGTATTTTATTTATTTCCTTCTACCCCTGTTTGTTATTTAACACTAGAGAAAGGCAGGGGTATTTCTGAACTCAAATAAGAACCCTGAGATATAATAAAGATTTATTAGATTATAATACATTAGAAATTAATTAAAATAGAAATTTTTTTAATTTTCAAATATATTTTAAAATCAAATAATAAGTACTAGGATTAGCAAAAAATAACAAAAAACTCTGTACTTATAATTTGTCAAGCTGAATACACAGCAATCTAAGCAGAATCAAATGATATGTAGGTTTATACTACAAATAAACAATTACCATCTTTAGGACAAAGTTAAAAAATGAATATGACAATATCTACAGAATGTTACTAATTAATTGCAATGAACTCAATGTTAATATCAACAATCTTCATAAGATGTAAAGTTGTAGTTGAAAACTGGTCAAAAATAGACTTAGTTTAAAATTAGATTTAACTAGTACTCAGAATCCTTGTAAAAGTAAAAGTAATCAATGTATATGTAGCTAAAATATAACATTATTTAAAGGGAAATTTTCAGAACATATAGAATAGATTAATGAATACTTGCTGAAATTGACACAAAACTAAAAAAACAATATGGCAATAATAGATGTAAGAATACAAAGTGATATGAGGAAGAAAATAATAGCAGAACAAAATATGGAGAAAAGGCTGAGAATTTACTTGTCTAAAAAATAGTATAACAGAATTATAATATAAAGATATGTTCAACAAATGAAAAAAAAATTACTTAGATAAACTACTCACCTACTATTATTTAATATTAGTAGATTTTATAGTAGAAAAAACAATGAAGGTATTTAATTCAAAAACTGTTGAATAGTTGGTCATTGATATAGCAAGTGTTGAATAAATGGTTTAGATTTAATTTTTAAAAATGAAAGTCATTAATTAAGTACTGGTCTATATAATAAAATCAAAACTATTTTGTATACTTAAGTATAGAAGTTGTGAAGTGTAGATTATAGTATAGTGAAGGATTAAACTTTCCATCTGTTACTATACTTTTAATAAAAATAAATTAAAAATTGTGCATACAGATATTTATTTGTTGCAAATAATATGTGATTTAAATTTCAATATGAAAAACTACTGTAAAAAACACTCACCTGAATGAAAAACACCCAATCCAATATTACTGGTAAATTCATTAATTTTGTACATATCATAAACATTTAACAACACAGGTTCCCGAGACATTTTATTAGGTAGTAGTTCATCGGAACCAGAGTCTCTTACACTCATACAACTAAACGGTAAATTGCAAGTTAAACCATTGGAAAACATTTCTAAAAATACAGATGTTATGTTTTAAAATAGAACTGTAAGAAATGACCTTACTTTAATTAATATCGTTCGAGATAATAGAACAATAACTGCTTGATGCTGTGGTTTAATTCATTAGAACGTAATCACTTGAATGTTTGAGGAAATAAGGAAAGAGTAATTATTTTCACAGGTTATATTTCTATTATGACATAACAACTATAACAACAAAAGTCAAGTCCTTGACTCCTGACATTTGAATAAATTAGATAATGTGCTGTATAGACGTATAGTGTACTTTGATAAAGGAACACAAAAAAGAAGAAAAATGTTCCATAAGCGTAGTATAAAAAAATTATTGAAAAATACTTACTCAGAGAATATTAATAATAAAAAATCACTATGTAAGCACTAATTACTCATTTAATTTTCATACAAAAACTATGAAATACTATCAAATTTAAAAAATGCTAAAATGAGGTTAATGTATGAGCTAAGTAAGTCACCAATTGTAGATGATGTTATATAATTTAAACGTTTTTTTCTTTAAGTGACGTCTTTCAATCGGAGGTTGGATATCATCATCACATCTTTAATCTACCTACCGCTGCTCTAAAGAGTTCTACTTAACTGCATCTAAACCAATCTCTTACATTTTTCAACAATGATACTCTCCTTCCTATACTACTTTCTCCTCATATCTTTCCGTGTAGATATTATCAATTTTAGCATTTCATATTTCATTTTTATTGTATTTATTATTTCGTATTCTTTGCCAATTTCTCGCAATACTTCCATGTTCGTTTTCTTCTGTGTCCATTCTATTTTGGGCATCCTTTTGTAACACCACATTTTAAATGTCTGTAGCTTATTTATCTATGTGTTCTTGCTTCAATGTCCAGCTTTTAAGTACATATTGTAGTGTCGGAGAAACGTATCATCTCAGAGCTCTTACTCTCAGTTTTAATCTAAGGTGTTTATTGCAGAGAACGCAAAGGTTCAATAGAAATATTAAAGGTATTCCTCCATTATCATAAGTTATTAGCACATAAGTTATTTAGAACTTATATTAGGATTTTTTATTATTTAGATTCGTCGTTTACTTAGGTTTACTTAGACAAAACAAAGTTCTGTTTGTGCTTAAATGTAAGCAGTATAATCCCAAGATATTGCCACAGCAAAAAAATAGAGCAGATCCTTAAACTCAGCGATTGTCGGAAGTGATCACAAGTTAGTATTTAGCAAAATCAAAATGAAGGCAATGACAACAAAAATTGACAAAACTGCCACACAGACGAAAAATATAAATCGTACGGGGAATCTTTATGGAATAAGTCGTCATACCAGAACAGATTGAATGAAGAAATGAGAAATATTCGCAAGATTAAATATTAATACTATACTGATGACTAGTTGGCCAATTTAGAGAAGCTATACATATCGCAGCTAACAAAGCACTAGGAAAAAAGACGAGTAAAAAGGCAAGATAAAATAAAAGACTATGGTTGGAATAGGATAGAAAGAAAAATGTATAGAAAAACAAGAAGCCTATTTAAGATTTAGATAAACAGGAACATAGTAAAGGAAGTATAATAACAACTACAAAAGAGTAAGGAACGAAACAAATCTGTTAAAATAATATTAATCGAATAAATGAAAATATTCAAAATCCCAAAATTATCCTTTTAGTTACACCCATGTTTAGTTAACCGATTCTTCTTTTTTTCTAGCATGTCATGTCATTATTTAAATATCTTACCTCGTTTTGGTTTTGGTGTGTTGTTATAATGTGGTTATAATTTAGGTTAGTTTTTAGTAAACATACAAAATGACCAAATTAATTAAAAATAATCCAAAAGCAGAAATAACTGCAAATTATAAAGGTGGTGGAACGTTTATTAAACTTTCTCCACAATTTTCAAGTGATGGGCAGTAAGTAAAAGCAAAAAAGTAAAATAAAATACATTTTTAATTCTGTTTATTTTTCAGATCAATTTTTATATGCTCCAAAGAGTCTTTATTGGAATATAACTCAAAGACAGCTAAATTAATGCATGAATATAAGGCTGTAGATAAAATAGTCGGATTTAGTTATCATCTGTATGAATCCTACTATTGTATAACAGCCTGTACTCAAAGTGGAATAGTTAGCACATGGAAAACTGTGACACATTACAAAGTTTTAGAGCAGGTGAGTTCAGCAATAAATATATAATCCAAAAATGTATTGGTCAATACCTATTACCAAATATGTAATTTATTATGCTTTTTTTTATTTTTTACAAACTGTGACATATTTTAAAATTAAATATCTATCATCTCCATATGCAGCATGCCCCACCAAATTGATGATTTTCGTCTTCAAAAATGTTGATGTTATACCAGTCTTGTGAGAGTTCTTATACTGATTCAAGGGAATGTGACAATTCAGGTTGTTTTTGCAGAGTTCTCCATCACTTCTGTCATACAAATGGTTGTATATCATTCAGTATTGTCGGTTCTAAAAAAACTCATCCACTTTGTTGGCTTTGCTGGATCTTGAAATGCTCATTGATTGGTTGTTTGTTTAAGGCTCATAACCATATTTCTATATTTCATCACCAGTTACAATGTTTTGTACCAAATTTGAACTGAAATGTAAAAATTTTCGAAAAAAAAATTATATTTTGTGAAATTGAGGAACATCCTATATATGGCTATGTGAAAAAATTTTAAGAGTATACCTCGCAACACACAGCTTAAGAATTATTAGCTACAGCTAAGCTCAGATTAAACCAATAAGTTTAATGAAGCAATTAGTGAGCCCCATCTTCAATGTCTTCAATCAAAATAAGAAATTGTTAAGGTCAAAGCTGTAATTTATTAATACTTGTCATCTAAAACCTATTTGGGTTACACTAATATGTTTTTATTTTTATAGCAACTTCCACATCAGAATATTTTAACTTTCAATATTATTCCTGATGAGAACGAGAATGAAATGAAAAGAAATTACTCAGCCATATATTCTTATAGAAATGGAAATACAATTTGTTTTGCTCACTATAGTACAAAAACAAAAATGTCTAAGGAATATAGCATAAAAATAAAATCTGCACTTCCATATTTTATTGATGTTAACAACTCAGATTTTTTTGCAGTTACTTATGATAATACAGTGTTTTTTAATAAATTGAATAACTTTAAGAATCATTCCAGGTAAGTGTGTAACATAACTTACTTAGTATTGATAGACACATAATAATTTATCTTCCTTTTACTATTATGTAAAAAATACAGCTGCACAGAGTTTCAATCAGAACAAACTGGCTTTACAAAATTAGTTGCATTTTTTTGCTTATAATGGCTATATTAAATATTGTTATGAAATTTTTTTCAACTTTTATAACATAAAAATATTTTTATACAGAAATTAGTGAAAAATGTATTAGTGAAAATAAAAATTGCATCATATGCTTACATAATTACATTTTATTTGCAAGAATACAAATTATATTTGTTTTTATATTTATGTTTATATTCTCATAATTACATCACTAGATTCTTCCTCAAAAGAATCATACACTGCACAATCCTACAAGCAAATGTCATAAATAAAAGGTGGTATTATTAAATCTAATACTTCAGAAGGGTGATTAGGTAGGATGTCTTTTTTTAACCTCACTGAGGCTGTTGATTAGAGGATCAGATGTGATTAATAACATATTGAGTAAGTCTGTATTAGTGTCGATATGTGACTGCTTTCGAGTATTGTGCCCTCGGAATCTTCTGCATTTTTTATTGTGAGCTTCTTAGAATTCCTCAGAAAGCTGCCCAATTGGCAAAAGAACCGATTGAATAACATCTGCACTGTGCACAGTAACAGGCTTATAATAACATGAATAGAGACTCAATTACAGCTTTCTAGTATCCTGTGCTAAATTTAGAAATATTTCTATATTAATATCATAACCAGAGGATATACTTGTAAGTAAAGTGCCAAAATTTTTTTATGGGTCACATCTAAACCTGTAATCTCAGACTGAACTAGGTATTCCTAAAAAAAATCTGCGGTCCATAGGCCCATTTCAATTTTGAAATGAATCTAAATGTTACAGGAACGTTCCTTTACATTAGCTTTGTCAGCTGCATCTTGTGGTTGCCATTTTTTTTTTACTTCAAGGCGATAAGTAATGTGAAGCAAGCATTCAAAACAATGAATTCTGGTGTGCAGTGTATATAAACCAAAACCAAGATGATCCCTATTCACTATTAACTCTCTAGACACATCATTCATCAGTGTACAAACATATCCACAAATATAGTACTTTTATGATGAAGATATTGAAAAAATACTGAAAAATATTTCATAGATTATTCTATAATAATGTCTCAATTTAACATTGCTACATTGAAGAACCGCAGGTTGAGAGCTGATATGTTATTTTTGTTTAAAATTGTAAACAATGTTATTAATTGTCCCTCGTTATTAGCCAATGTACACTTAAACACAATACATAGAACTCGACACACTGCACTCATTTATATACCTTTTCATAGGACTGATTATGCTTGTCATTTTCCCTTGTCAAGAATGCTCAGCTCTTGCAATGACCTTCTATTGGATCCTTTCTGCTCAAACATTAATGCTTTCAAAAGTCAACTTAAGAATCTAATTATTAATCTAGATATGTGATACATTTTTTTAAGTTTTGTGATTTAATGTACTGTTTTAATGTACAAATTTTAACTGTTTACTTGTTTCTTTGTTATTGTTTTGAAGTTTATTGTACATGATCTTTACTTTTTACTATTTGTTGTATTTTATTGTAAATGGTTATACCGTTGAAATAAATAAATATTTTGGTTAAAGCATTGCACACTTTACTGTTAATGATGGTGGAAAGTAATTTATGTTTAACAGATAGCTCATTACCATCTATATTTCACATTGTCAGTCAGCAGCAATTCATTTATTTTGTCCAACACTTTGTTTGTCTCAGACATGGTAAAATAAACTTAATTGGATGACAATGCATAGTGCATGGTCACCTAAATGTGTTAAATTAATGAACAACAAATCCTCTGAAATTTTCCTCCTCCTTCCAATAGGTCTCTTCCTCTGCATCTTTATGTTCAACAATTTTTTTGGAAGCCTATTTTCTTTCATCCTAAATACATGGACTATGTAGGCAGATATATTGAGATAAAGGTGGTTCTTTATATATGTATATATTATATATTTTACAATTGTACCTGATTCTTCACCTGTTGTTCTCATTTATAGGACCTAGTATTTGTCTCTTCTTTCTAAGGAATGCATGGGATTTACACATGTTTGAGTGAATGCTTAATTTTCACATCCATAGCCCACTATCTTCTTTGTTTTTGGTGTCTCATTAGTCATGATTTAAATATCTGGTTTATAGCAAAGTATGCCGTATTGACTAGGATGATTCTTCTTCTGAGTTCCTCATTTTCAATGCTCTTCTTTGTGATGTTCACTCCTAAATAGATAAAGGTATCTACTTTTTCTAAGTTGTTAACTATCAAATAGGAAAAGAGGAAATCTATTAAACCAAAACTTCAGATAGAGCAGCTTTGTACAATCCAGACAAACATTGAAAATAAGTGCATCCATGTTTCATTCAGTTTCAAAGACTCTAAATTACATATATTTATTGTCTCTATTAACAATTCTTCTTTAATTGAACAAATGATCTTCACTAAAACATGCCTTTATGATTATTCAATGCTCATTGGCTATTTTAACCTAAAGTCAAGTCTCCATGTATGAAGCAAATCTATTGTTTCTTTATATATTGTTTTCTATATACATATTTATCAAATACTATCACAAATGTACTTTTAACTCCAGATCTAGCCAGTGATCATCTGGCTCTGCAATTTGATTTTGATCTACAGCTTTAGCCCAATTAAATTAATGAAGTTAAACTACATATCTCTCTCTCCTATGGCGCTACAGCTCAAGTCAGCCTCTGGTCTCCCCCAGCATTCGCCTCCAAGCATCCCTTTCTGTGGCTGCTATTCTCCAGTTATCCACCCTCAATATTTGTTCAGCATCAGTTCTCACTTCACCTATCCACCTCTTCCTTTGTTTTCCAACTGGCTGATGTCCCATTGTACTTCCACTAAGCATTAAGCTACCTAACATAGCAGAATGTAATGTACAAAATGTAAAGAGTAGAATGAAGGAATTCTTAAATGTAAGGCCATTTGCCCAAATTACATTAAAAATGTCAACACTATGTTGTCTAAATTAATAATAGAAAACTCACCCAAGTAAAAGAAAACGCATTTTAATCACAATCTTCCACCCTTAACTTTATCTCTAAACTAAAGAGGAAGTTATTCAGTCATGTAGTATAATTTGTCTAAAATCACAATTTAACGAACTAAACAAAGATATTTACAGACTTGTATCACAATTTAAACAACATAAATGGATCCTAGTATGTAAAAATATAAACTCGATGAAAGGAATACACTGGAATGATATAAAAAAAACTAATTAATATAAATCATCCATCAATCAGTTATATAATACAGATGAAAACATGTAATGCTCTTTCAAAGTATCTTGAAGAAACCTACGAAACTTAGATGAGGTGTATAATAATTGGTTTGAAAATTTTTTTGAGAATAATTGTAATCTGAATACCACACTAATCATCACAGAAGATGAATATGACAAAGCTTTATAGAACGGAAAAACACAGCTCCATGCAATGATTCCATCAAATTGTAAAATCCTTAGACAACTAGATCCTATGTTATTCATAAGGAAATAAGAAGCTATATATGTATGATAAATCATTTCTTCTGAATGTATAGTTACAATCTGGTCTGTCTTTTATGGGAACCTATATAATTATTGTTTTTTAACATACTTAATTATTTTTTTATTTTATTTTAGATCCTATATGAGTAATTCAAAACATTTTACATGCGTAGCAGTCCATTCTAGAGAAGAAATTGTAATCACTGGTGACTCAATTGGTCGTGTGGTTGGTTGGCATGATATATTTTCAAATAAAGCTAAACAAATCATTTTTCACTGGCACAATTTACCTGTTCAAACAGTACGCTTTTCCACATCAGGTAGTTACTTTTATAGCGGTGGTGGTGAAAGTGTACTAGTAAAATGGCAGTATGACAATGTCAATGAAAAAAAGTTTGTGCCCCGTATACCCGGAGAGATTTGCAATGTCGTGGTTGCCAGTAACAATTTATACATCGCTGTATCAACAAATGATAATGCTATTCGAATTTTTGATAATACACTCTACCAAATCAGTTTGATTCAACATATGGTGCTATCACCGCATTTTGATAGTGGAATTGTTCACGATAGTAGGTCCAGAGCTCTAATAATGAATGGAAATCAAGGTCATATTCAATTTTATTCCCCAGATGATATGTCTCTTCTTTACAGTGTAAGTACTTAATGCTTTACTCAGAAGTGAATTTTTAATGTTTACTCAATTTTGTTTTCAATTGGAGTCTCAAGAAATCCACGGATGTCATTGTTTATTGGTGTCACTCTATTTTCTAGTATTTCGAGATTTTTGAGAAGATATAGCTATATATTTTTTGGCTTGAGGGTATTTATTTTAGACTAGAGCAAAGTAGATTGTGGCTTAAGTGTAATATTGTCCCGTAACCTCCAGTTTATCATAATGAAATCAATGGTTTCTTACAGTTCTATTCATATAATGTTAATTCCATTTAAGATTAAATCTATTTTTAAATCAATTTGATTTGTAGGTTGATATAACTGCCCAAAATAAAATAACTAATGAGAGAGAAACAAAAATGATCAATACTGAAGTAACAAAAGTTGCAATAAGTAAAAGTGGGTTGTGGTTTGCGACTGTCGAAGAAAGAAAAGATAAGGAATATAATTACGAAATACGATTAAAGTTTTGGAAGTTTGATGAATCTAAACAACAGTGAGTATTATTTTCCATTACTAGATATGTTAAATTTGAACTAAGTACTTGCCCTAAGGTAATGAATATTAAAATTTATCACAATGTGTTCATTCCTATTCGTGTTCTTAGCATTCTGTGATCGTTACCTGTGTTTATCGTGTTTAACACTACTTTATCTAATAATATGTTTCTGTTGTTGCATAATATATAGTCTATTTCATTCTTTGTTGTCCCATTTGGACTTTGCCAGGTCCATCTTATCTTTTCTGGTTTTTTTAAGAATGTATTGCTTATATATAGGTTGTTTTCTATTTCATAATTTCCTAGTATTTCTCCTCTATTATTTCTTCCCTAATCCATAGGGTCCTATTAAAATTTTATTCTGGTTTTCTTCTTTTCCTATTTTTGCATTGCAATCGCCCATTAAGATTATATACCTTGCTTTGTTTGTCATCATTGCTTCATTAATTTCTTCATAGAATTATTCTACTTCCTCATCTTCGTGATTTGATGCTGAGACATAGACCTGAATAATAATATACAATAGAATAGAAATTATTTAGTCAATATACAAAAATAGTTTTGTTATTGACAAGTTAAAGGAATAGTGACTATTTACATACATACATATAAAATTTTTGCGAATTTAAACATTACAAACAGATATTTAACATTAACAATGTAAGAAACAAATAAACACACTAAACAAAAATATAAAAACATAAAATGTCATCATAATAGGCAAATACCCTGACCAAACTAGTACTATTGTGTAAAAGCTGTACTTAGGTACTCCGTTTTTGAATAGATACAATGTTTTAAAAAGTGTGATTTGATTTTAAGCTTAAACGATAACAAGTGAAGACTTTTTACTTCATCTGGCAAAAAGTTATACAAATTAACATCAGTTGAATTTTTTATGCTCTTTATCAACCTAAAACGTTGTGTTCTAATAGCATCTCTGGATCTTGTATCGTGTTCATGGAAGTTGGAGTTTATGTTAAACTTACCTTTATTGGCATGAATTTCAAAAATCCAGAAATAAAGGTTTACAGTGTCCCTTATACTCTGCTCTTGCAAGTAGCCTCACTACTCTTTTTTGTAGTTTAAAAATTCGATCTGCATGAGAAGAATTACCCCAGTTATTCCGTATTAAAAATATACTTGTAACAAGTCTAGAACTTAAGTAATCTATAATGAGTACTCCTATCCAAATTATCACCTAGAAAGACTCCTAATAGTTTAACACTATTTCTTGAGATATACTTCCAATCGGAACTTAAAATCAAATTCTGAGTTTTCTCTTCATTTAGCTTCAGCCCATTATGTACAAACCAGTTTTTTGCTTTCTGGGTATCATTATCTATTTTAATTTTTAAATTATGCTGATTAATATCAGTATTAATGAGATTTGTATCATCTGCCAAGCAAACCCATTTTATAGGAAAAGTATAGTGAAATAAATTGTTCAGATAAATAAGAAACAAAGTGGGTCCTAATATCGAACCTTGAGGTACCCCTTATTCGACAGTGTTAAACTCAGAATAGCTGTTATTAAGAAAAAATGTCTGTTTTCTATTTTTTAAGTACGATTTAAATATATTAAGAGTGATAAAAGTGTAAAGATACTGTATTGAATTAATGTATATTTTTAGATTTCACCTTAATACTTCCATTGAGTATCCACATGAAAATAGCATAAATAGTATGCTGTTTCAACCGTGCCATAAAGATGAAAGGCTTCAATGCGTAACCGTTGGAGACGACAACAAATTTAAAATATGGCAATTGTCGGAAATTGAAGTAGTTACAGGTAGGTGTCATTGATAATTTAATTACATTACTCAGCAAGTAGATATTTAGATTATCTGTACAGCACAATGGAAGCATTAACAATATTTGATTTGATTTCCTTTTCGGATAAAATTTATCTTTTTCTTTATTGTTTTCATTTCGAGTTTTCTTCTTCAAGTACCATCTCCGCGACGGAGGTCGGCAATCATCATAGCTATTCGAGCTTTAGAGACGGCTGCAAAAGTTCCTTTGATGTACATCCGTATCATTCTCTTAGGTTACGCAGCCATGATTTTATGTCTCCTTATGTTTCTTTTTCCATGGATCTTTCCTTGCATAAATCAGTTAGAGCAAGTATCTCTCTTCACACGTAATATGTCCGAAACATTCAAATTTTCTTGTTTTGATTTTATTTATCTAGATCAGTGGTTCTCAACGTTTTTGTGGCGACGGAACACTTTTAATTACCGAAAAAAATTGCGGAACACCAAAGCAATAACATGCATATATTGATAAACAAATTAGGATTAGTACATAAATTCTGTAATAAACTTTATTATACATACTCAAATTTGTAAAATTTTACTTAAAATATAAAAACAAAAAACATTTTTAAAATTAACAAAAGCGTAATTCTCAAAATACATCATATGAGTAAATACTTCAAATTAGTGAGACACTTGTGCCTGGTGTCGTTTGCAAATTTGATCAATATCAGGCCTGGTGTGGGAAAGAGCTACTCTCATTTCTTGTTCTAAGTTTAGCAGCCTTTCCCGTTTCTTATTTTTAATGTTTGTTAAAGATGAGAACCCAAATTCACATAAATAGGACGTTGAAAACTGTATTAAAATACTAATCGCTTTTTTGGCAAGAAGTGGATATTCCTCTTGGACCAAGATCCAAAATTCCTGAACATTCACTTCTGAAAACTTAATTTTCAGAGTACGATCAGATGACAACGAAATAAATTCTTCTTCTTGGTTCAGAGAAAACTGGAAATTGGCTGTATTACTTGTGCTAAAAGCACTTCTTATCCAGTCATATTTTTCTACGTTCAGAGATGGAAAATACCTGGCAATTGTCTCCTCTAATAGTGATAAGTGTTCTGTAACTATATGCGTGATTTCTTGTTCTTTATCTTCATCACCTTCATTCTGAAGCAGTGGAAACATATCCATTTTATTTGTCTCTAAAATGCGCTTCTTCCAAAATGACAATTTTTTCTGGAAAGCTGACAGCTTGTCCGTGGATGTTAAAATATTTTCATTTTTGCCTTGCATACTTGAGTTAACGCCATTTAAATAATTAAAAATATCGGCCAAATATACCACTTTAGTGCACCATGCATCATTTTCAAAATATGTGGTAAATGTGTCATTACCTTCTTCTTGGAAAAAAGTTAACAGCTCCGTTCTAAGTTCATAAATTCGACATAATACTTTGCCCCTTGACAACCATCTAACTTCGGTGTGCAGCAACAAACATTCATACTTTGATTCCATTGAGATGCAGAGTTGTTTAAAAAGACGCATTTTTAGTGGTCTTGATTTGATGTAATTCACGACATTAACCACTTGGTCTAATACAGATTTCAAAGTAGCTGGTAGCGTTTTTGAAATTAGAGATTCTCTATGCAAGAAACAGTGCGTAGATGTGATATTTTCATTTCGCTTTTTTGCAAGGGTACAAAAACCTTTTATGGAGCCTACCATGGAAGGGGCACCATCCGTACAAATTCCTACGCAAAAGTCCCATGGTATATTTTTTTTCTCTAAATATGACGTTATGGAATCAAATACATACTGACCTGTTGTACGTGCTGTAAGTTCTCTGCAGCATAAAAACTGATTGACTATTTTACCTTCGTCGACAAATCGAATAAATCCTAATAAATGAGCTTTGCCACTAATATCAGTGGATTCGTCCACCTGCAATGCGAAGTTTTTTTTTGTAAAGTTTATTTGTAACTTTTTCCTCAATATCTGCAGATAAATCAACAATTCTCCTTCTTATTGTATCATCCGACATAGGAATTTTCCGTATTTCGTTTTGTGCATCGTGGCCAAACATAATTTTGACCATCTCACAACATGCTGGTAATATAAAATATTCTGCAACAGTGTGTGGTTTCTGTTTCAAAGCAATTAATTCGGCGACCTTATATGAAGGTATTTGTGCTTTGTCGGAAATTGTTAGCGACCTTTCAAATTGTTTCGCTTGTTTAGCTTGTGTCTCCAAAAGTTGCTTGAAATAATCATTATTTTTTGAAGCTACACTAGCGTGTTTGGTAGTAAAATCGCGTTTTAATTTAGCCGGAGCCATTGCGCTATTAGCGAGTGTCTGCCCACAAACGATACACTTGGGAATTGGACAGTCTTCTTCCCCAGTCCAAATGAAGCCATAATCCAAATATTCATCCAAATATTGCCGGTTCAACAGTTTTTTGCTGCGCTTCGATTTGTCATCAACCCCACTTCGTAAAGTTCCAGTATCTCCGCTGGTGCTCGCTTCATCATCATTAATTATGAGTTGTTCCACAGTAGTTTTTCTTTTAAGTTTGAGGAACTTATCCATTTTAATTTATTCGTCTTTAACAAAATAATGCGGATGAATGCTTCACATTTTGTATAAAATATGCAATTACTTACCTTTGATAGATAAGCTGTACATAAAAAAACTGACACAGCTATTTTCACGTATTACGTTTGTGCAATGTAACAAATTCAACATTCAGTTGCAGACTGTGGCGTGGGTGACTCAGATTGGCTGTGGCCACTGCGGAGCTCAGCGCTCAGCGCTTATAAAATCCAACGTGTGCACTGTGCCGACGCGGTATTGTCACGTTGGGCAAATGAACATTTACGCTGCAGAATTTTATTAAATTAAAATGTACGTAAGTGGCTATTTTAAAATTTGAAAATATTTATTTGAAAAGAGTAATTTAGCAAAATGGTATGTAGGATTGCGAGTATTTCGCGGAACACTTGGAAGGAATTCGCGGAACACCGGTTGAGAACCACTTATCTAGATTATAAGTAACTTATTTTTTTTTGAGTATTTTTTCTTGTTATGGTTCTAATAAGGATTGCAGTAGGGCATTTCGATGTCGCAGTAGTTTGGTATGGTTTGGTGGTATATTTGATATTTCTTTCTTTGATAATGTCCTTAAAGAAGGGAGGTTTCAATTATTCGTGAAATGTTTGATTGGGTACTTTGAAACATTGTTATTTTCACTGACTTCTTTGGATTATTCCATCGTTACTTTTGCTTCTTTGGTTTAAGAATACTTATTGTATTCTTTAGCCGATGCACGTTCACGGAGTAGTCTGGGTGGATTTATTTTACTAAGAATGGGTAGCTACATTGTGGGGTGGACATAATTGTGCCCGTTATCAATGAGTTGTTACATATTTTTAGTTCTGCTGATGTTTTTGTCAGGTTCTCTTAATGTGAGCGTTCTGTCTAGAGTAACCCCAATATAGTTCGGGTATTTATTTTGTTTCAGTAGACTGTTATCAAGATACACTAGTACCTACACAAAGGTAAATGTTTGCTAGAATGTTGTTAAGGTGAAATGTTGATACATCCGTTTTTGTAGTACATACTTGGTTGTAATCTCCGTTTCTTAAAATATTCACTGAGTGTGGATATATCATTCGTGAGAGTGTTTTCGGTAGTTTCTAAGAATTTGTCGCTTATAGAAATTCTTGTCCAATGATTAGCATATCCAAACTTGCAAAATTAGGTTGCATATACTTTCTTGTTATCACCAGGAAGATTCTGTTTGTCAGCATGTTATTAGTGAGGTTGATTATCTTTCTGCATGACATAATAAATACGGACCAATTTTATTATTAATCCCTGTTTCGTAAACAGTATCATTGCTGCTGTCAGATCTATAAATACTGCGCCTGTTTTTTTTTCTTTTGAAAACTAATTTCTATAAAGGTTGTTAGTGGACAAGACTTGGTCCGTACAGCTTCGATGAGAGTGAAAGCCTACTTGTTCAGTGAGGACATTTCTAAATATCCTGTGACTAATTCTGTTGAGAAGCTTTTCTAATAGTTTACACCTATACCACGCTGAGTAGGCTTATCATTTGGTTTGCCTGGTTTTGGAATTGCAATTATCTTTGCTTGCTTAAGTGAGGAAGAAATTTTGCCTGAGTGAAGTCTATCAGTGTAAAACATTGCAAGTCACTGTTTCGTGTATGCACCTCTATCTATCGGGTACTCAGAATGGATGTTATCAAAACCAAGTGCTTTACCTGATTTTATTTCTTTCAGAGCGTGTATGATTATGAATACAAATTCTTGTTAGATATTCTGAGTCCATTTTGCTCGTTTCTTTTAATGCCCATAAATCTCTTTACATCTTGGTCTCGTGGAGCTATAGATAGAAATACTATACAGTAAGGGATCAACCTCATTAAGATGCATTTTATCCTTTCTGGATTTCAGTTGGTTACCTCCTCCAATTTTTCGCAATAGGGACCATGTCGGCTTGATTTTTTTGAGTCACGGCTTTCGACACTCTCTAGCATTTCAGTCAATCCGGGCACATATTCTGTGCTATACCCCATAAGGATAGTTAGTTAACTTTGCAGTGCTTATTATTACACACACAAATCTCTCGTAATTTTTGCTGGTTGGTGGGATCCAGCTTAAGATATCGTCTAGTTGTTCAGAGAAGTTCGCTTTTTTAAGATTCCACCTAGATCTGATTATTGCGATGGATATGCCACTGGTGATGAGGACAGAGCTATCTTCAATATGTGGGAAGTTTACAAGGAAGCTTCGCTCAGCTGTTAGGGGTCTATGATTGGTATCTTTTGAAACAAAGCGTAGATCTGATTTTCTCCATACAGCTGATTTAAATGTTCCTCAGTCTTTGACATCAAAATTTTGTGTCTAGATTTGTGTTTTGCTCTTCGTATACTTCCATATATTATATAATATTTATTGATTATAAAAATATACTTTTTTAATCATAAATTTTGTTACTTATTAAAATTTTAAATTTTAGGTACACAGCTATCCTGGCAGTGCTTTGGAGTTGGCTTTTATCGAAATTTGCCTTGCAATTCTTTATCATTTTCAGTAGATGGGTCTTTATTTGCAACAGGATTCGGAAAAATACTAACAGTTTGGACTCCTGATACGTGTTTGCTTAAATGTTCTCTACTTCATCCTCTGCATAAGAAACAATTAAAGTACTTACAGTTTGGTTACGGTAACCAATGCCACCTACTTGTAGCGGCTAGTAATAATCAACTTAGCGTTTGGAATATCCTTACGTTGTCTATGACGTGGACAGTTCCGATTTCTGTATCATTCTTGGTTGCTGATAGTTTGTCAACAAATATGGCTGTAATTACAAGAGACAATAAAGGTTTGTATAGTCTAAACTATATACAGTAGATCTGCTGGATCTTGACACGTTGTCATCATTCGTATTATAGGAAATAAACCAAAATATGTGAGCCAAACTTACGTTTTTATACTTCTCTTTTGTTTCATTTATTGCATTTTGAAAACTGGATGCTTATACATTTATGAACATGATTTTCCAATTTTTGGAAACCTGCAGGTTGCCCAATAAAATCTAGAGTAAATAAATACTTAAGCCGAAGTAATCAGAAATAAAAGTGCTCTTATTGTGTATAAGCAAATATATGGGTTATGATCTAAAAAACTGAATAGAAATCTACCTCAGGGCTCCATCATCTTGATCGTCCTATATGTTTAGTGTTAACTATGGTTTTCAGAATTAATTAATGACTTGTTTTTACTACTGTTGAGGAGATTGATGGATTTTAGATGGAAGAGCTTTGAGCCTGGTAACGGGTACTATTCATACAAAATAGAATAGAATAAAAATATGCTGTCACTGAAAATTGTACAATTGTACAAAAAAAGTCAAACAAACCTGTAAATAAAAAAATATATGACAATTTTTTAGAATAAAAACAGTGATTATAGTGATTTAAACTTTAATATTGATGTAGTTTACCTTATTCCAATCCTCAATTTTCCAATTTTGGTGTTCTTTGGCCCATTTCAGTCTCTTTTTCATCATTGCGACGGTCAACTTTGGTTTTTTAGCAGGGCGACATGATTTGAAACCTTGCTCAGCAAGCCTTCTGCTGACTGTCATGTCAGAAACTGGCATCCCAGCTCCACAAATAAGTCTTCGGTGTAGTGACACGCTTTCGACCACATTTTTGGGTCTATTGTCAGATTTAGAATAAATATTATATTATTCGTTATGAGCAAATAAATAAATTCTTATCCTAATAAATTTAACACGATGGTAACCGTTAGTCCTTATAACAACTGTTTGTTAAAAATATGTATATTTAAAGTACGAAAAGGAATTGAATATTTAAATGACATGAAAATAATTTATAGACACTAGAAACGCTGTCAAACCAAAACTTACAATTTTGTTAGTAGGCGAATCAATCACCAAACATCGTCCTATGGCTGTTTTTGTTCGATGTATACTGTTTATTGGCATGCGGGTTAAGTTGTGAGTAGGAAAGAGACGTCATATAAAAAATAATGCGTGAATGATGTCATACTTGTGTAAAGATCTAGCGGATGGACTGTAGTATGGTTAGTCATAGTTTTCCACCAAATATAAAATTTGTATAATGCATACAAGAAGCAAAGACTTAGAAATGAAATAGATACTTTTTTTTAGTGTATGTTTTCTCTCCGATTTCCAGTCAACCAATATATGTAAATGAGGATATCTTAAAAAAATTCAAATCCATACGAGCCTGCAATTTCATCCCAAGTAAAAACTCAAACGATCTTAGATTAGATTGGTATCAACGGGTCCAACTGTATTTTATAACAGATGAAAATGTAAGTATGTTGATGTTTAATATTCTGTTTAATCCGAGTTGATTTCTATTATTCTTTTTACATTGGGGGCAATAAGTTGAACAAAATCACATTTAAGAAATTTCCATTTTTTTTTTTCGGTATAAGAAAAAAAATCTATTATAAAACATGTATTGAGAACAACGCGAAAAGAATTAAAATCTGTTTGTCAACAACATAGTTACTTACTATGTGGTGATTTGACTAAAGTTTCTACAAGAAATTATATAGAATTCTAAAAATGTTTAATATTGAAATTCGAGAAAGTAAAGGCATTGAAACCATAGGAAGAAGCCTTTTAGAGGCAAATAAACATTAAACATTTGAAAAGAAGTAAGAGGAGTGTCCTTATAGAAAGAGAAGAAACTATTTTGAAGCCAAGACAGTACTAGCAAAAAATCTGAGAGTATTTTTATGTTATCTACTATATCGAATGGAAATAAACTACGAGTTTAATCGAAAATACTGTTAAGAAATTTCAGTAGTGGTCGGACGGACCATATCTGAATCGTATACAGATTCTTACTTTGAAAGAAGTACCGGATATTGTGGGAGAAGACGTGATGTAAAGGGTGGTATAATATATTTACATTGATCATCTAATAAAAGTGATCAGAGAAAAACAACACGCGGAAGTAGACCAAGGAATCCGCATGATATGGGCTGTCGTGTGCAAACTTAGAATTGTCCGCAAGAACAATAATATTCCCATAAATCTCAAGGCAAAAGTTTTCAATTCTTGCATCCTTTCAGTGATGACATACGATCTAGAGGCAATTAAGTTGACTGTTAAAGCCACCAACAAAATGGGGGTATCACAGTGGGCAGTGGAACGACTTATGCTGGGAATAACTGTAAAGATCGCGTCCGCAATGACAAATACACAGAAGATCAAAAGTAGAGTATTTAATACAACACTCTGCTTCATTGACGTGGTTTTGGGAGGACATGTTGCTAGACTAAATGCCAGCAGATGGACTAAACGCATCGTACAGTGGAGACCTAGGTTACATAACAGAAGTGTGAGTCGACCTACAAAAAGATGGATGGACGATGTGAAAGGAAAGGCGGGAAGACAATGGTATTAAAATGGAAACGCCAAGGGGAGGTTTACGTCTAGGGGTGGACAGTCAAGGGCTATTAAAATAATAAGAAGAACAGGAACAGCTGATGAATGTACAAAAGGTAAAATACAATTACAAAAAAAAAGTTTTGGTTTATTTGAAGGATTCAGAGACTCAAGAGTCTTGCTATCTAAATATTTATTTATAGTTTAGTCTAAATAGTATTTATAGTGTATTTTAGTAATGTTATTAAATGCGCTACCAAAGTATAACATAAATGTAAGGAACAAACTGAAAATACACTCCACATTGGAGTTATTGGTACCGTGCAAGTTCGGAACAGCGACACCTGGTGTCGTAAATCAGCAAAATTTACTGCGCTTTTATGTTAGATCGAGGTAACCGGATAACTGTCAAGGACGTGGCCCCAAAAAAGAATAAGAAGAAAAAGCAAGATTGAGGTTATGTCGGTATGTTATTAAAAGGTATTCTTCATTCGCTTAGCTAGGGCATATTTTGACAGACTCATTGTCGGAAACCTACAACACAACAATTCCTACTTCTCAGTATTCATAGCTCAAGTATACTACTATTGCAGACTTCTTTCTTTGAAAAAAAGAAGAATTATTCTAAATAGTGGAAGTGTATACTAAACCCATCAAATTTTCCCTGTATATTTAAAATATACTATTTGAGTTACTACAATTTAATATTATATTTTAGTAAATATTGTTGTTAGTTCTATTTAGTTTATTTAGTTTAGTATAGTTCTATTTTGAATTTTATTATTAGGGATAGTCAAAGTTTTCCATTTGTTCTATCAAATAATGCGTTGGTAAGTTTTTCTTAAATAAATATGATAAATGTTCTTTAAAAGTTAATATTTTTATACGATTAAGGATGCTGTTAAATTACAAGGTAATCAACCTGCACAAAGATTTATTCAAAACACCAACCATCTTTTTAATTATTTGCTCATTCGGCGTAGGTTGATCACTAAAATATATTTATGAAGTTCTGTAAATATATTCTTAATAACAAAAACATTTCAGTTAACATCCATGTATATATAGCATGTATAAAGTTTCTATTATATATAAAATGTATATTATATATAAAAAATATATTTTATAAAAAAGTTACAGTAATTTAGTTTATACCGTTAAGTTGCTCCAAATGTAGGCAACCAACTTAAACTTTTTTGGCATTTAGCTGGAGTTTCTTGAGAATATTTTTAATAAACGTTTAATATTTTCCAGTTAATTTATTATTTTTTAAAAGTCATGATAATAATGCTGAATAAGCAATATTTTAAATGATATTTAGTCACAAAAGTACTTAATATTATTTTATATAATCTTCATAAACTACGTTTCTAATAGAAATTAGCTAAAATTAGAAAAAAAAAACTAGTTTATGATAGTAATAATAGAATATTATAATATTTTTGAATTATATTTTTGATGATATTGTATTATCTTTTTGATGCATAATATTTTTTAATTATAATATGAATATTATATTTTTTATTTAACGTACTTTATGAGGATTATATTATATAACACAATATTAAGTAAGTCTTGTGATTATATATCATTAGAAATATGGCTTATTCAACATTATTATCATCACTTTAAAAAATAATAATAAAATTAAATATATTATTCTCAAGAAACTTCAGCATAAATGCTAATAAAAAGTTTAAGTTGGTTGCCTATATTTGGCGTAACCTAACGATATAAACTAAATTACGGTGACTTTTTTATAAAATATATTTTTTACATATAATAGAAACTTACTATCTTTATACGTGCTATAAATTTCTAAGTCATATAAGTTTGCAAAAGAGTTCGACGAAATACTTTAATGAAATGCGCTATGAGCACGTGTGCTTGGTCGTATAGTAATTTTCAGCCACTTCTAGTCTGTCAAAAAGTAACTAACTTCGTAAAAACATAATTACTAAAATCACTAGACAGTTCGGACTGGGATTAGCGCATCGAGCAATAAGACAAAAGAGGGAATCTAATCGTTATAAAAAGGAGACCAAAAAAGTGGCCTCTGATGGCGGACACATCCGGAAATGCAAAGGCGCTAAATTTAAATTTTCCAACATTTGTTAACAATAGCTATAAAATATTTTTCAGACTAGAAAGTTTTAATTAAATATTAACGATAATAGTCTAAAAAGTGACATAATTGGTAAAAAACTTCAATTTAAATAAAATTTCATGTGACAGTTGGAACAAACAATAACATAACCAAACTAAATTTGACTTCTTAAACAAGGAAAGAGACTGTCTATCCTTGTCTAAAGTGGCCTCTCAAGATGGCACTTCCTGTCTATCAATATGTTTACCCCTTCTACCTTTACATTCCCTCTTTTGTCTTATTGCTCGATGGATTAGCGAACCGGGTATAAACGTTGATGTAGCGTAAATACAAATAAATATATTATTGAATTACAGCATTACTGTTAATATGGATTCAATAATAAAAACTGGATTTGAGAAAGTAAATCACCAAATAACTTTTCAACCAAGCACTGAGTCAAAGGGAAAAGCTTTAGTAGTGGCAAATGTCAAAAAATAATGGAAGAATTAAGAAAAATAAATTACCATAAATAATGCTAATGCATAAATTAGCAGGTTAAGCCCATGATATCATCATATTGGTTTGAACAATTAATTCTTTCCCTGTAAACTTTTGGACAGAGAATATATCTTAATGCATCTTCAGAAAAACTTGAACTTGATGCATTCTTGTAAACTTCAAAAAAATAAAATTTAAACATTAAACTTGATTTTTGGGTTATAATGAACTCTAAAGGAGTGTTATGAAACCAAAATTTACACTTAAAAGTGAACTTTTATTTATTATTTATTTCAAACTGACTTTAAAATCGGGCGCAAGAATAATGCATAATTTAGGTTATGTCACTTATGCTTTTTTATGATATAAATCCACTTTTCTCTTTGTAGTAGCTTTGTGCTTCGAAGTTGGAAACGAATAAAACTTAAATTGACAATTTTTTGTTGTATTTTTACAATTTATAACACAGCATTTCCTAAATCCCATTTTCTTCAGAGACAGAAGGTGTAAATGTAAATAAACAAAATGAATATGAAATATGACAACTGACAATATGAATTTATGAAATCTATGAACTGTACAGTAAAAAATGCAAAATTTCTCCGCTACTCACGCACGATCGTTTCTCGTATCCCCTCCAAGTACTTGCACGTCGCCAATAGAACAGGGACAACTAAATTGCTGGCGCCATTTACAATGAATGAAAGATACCATACCAGTCAAAAGAGTGTGAAAAATAAATATATTGAAGAACAAAGAAAGAGCAAAAAGACCAAGACAATCATCGGATGAAGTAATCGGGAAGATATTGGAAAGAAAAGAGTGACAGATGTAGACAGGAAAGCGAAGAAATAGCATAATTTTAAGCTAAGGATTTCTGCTTAGTTAAAGAGACATGTCGTGGAATGCAAATTTTAAATTCCCCATGTCTCTTGATCAACGTGTTATACCTTGCAATTTTTAGAAGGTTCAGATTAAAGCAGAAATCTGAATTGGTTTCGAAACTATTTTACCGATTTAATATCAGATGTCGCTATTGCGTCCATATCGAAGCCATTTTAGTGTTGCTTCTTAAAAGACAGAAAATATTTATTTTTCACGTTGAGAAAGCCTATGAATAACTGTTCTGATGAGACCTATTAGGTCGAAATACGTATAAACAGATACATAAACGCTTTGTACGTGAAATCAAATCTTGACTGTCTTTTTCATTTTATTTACTTTGTATTAATACTTTTTTCAACAGGAATTATATTGTTTATGTGAGAGCGAGTTTACATCGAAAAGTTCCATAGATGAATCTGTCGAAAGCAAATCCATATATGGTATGATGCAACCGGGTATTAAGTCGGCTTCAGTTCAATCTACAATACCACAAAAACACTTGTTTGAAAAAGATTCACAACACAAAGCATTAAAAACGGTAAGAGCTACAATGTTCTTGTCTTTTCGTTAAAATAATATATTGTTTTTAATCAAATAAAAGGCAGATGTCGGGCACATTTTTTTGTTAAAGCTTGTCCAAGTAATTTCGTTCTCAGGGCATCTTCAAGGGACATATCGTCAAAATTATAGGCTATCAACATTAAATAATACATTTACATAACACTAAACAAAGGACAAACAGTTTAACATTTTTGGGTGACATTCTCTCTCCTGCTCTCACCCACTATGTAGCTTTTTCAAATTTAAAATCTTTTTAAACTGTTTGTCTTTTGTCTAGTGTTATGTAAATGTATTATATGTTTATGACATTCATAAAATTGTTGGATAATTTTGACGAAATGTCCCTGAAGATGCTCTGAGAGCGAAATTACTTGCGTAAGATTTAATAAAAAACTGTGTCTTTTATTTGATTAAAGTTCATTTATTCGAGCATTCAACCATATATCACAATATTTTTTTATTTTAGTATTTGGAAAGCCCTCTTCATACATTGATGCCAATTAGATACGCTTGTCACACTTTATTAACGTCACTTGTTGTTCAAGAGGAAACTTGAATTAATAAATAGTATGTCTTTTATCGGTGGTTTAATTTATTACCTTACGGTTTACATGATAGTAGACAACTTTCTCCGGCAAATTAGATATTTTCACCAACTAATATGGAAACACCAAGAATTATGGATACTTGGAATAAGACAAACAGTTCCTTGATAATCTAGATGTACTTTTTAACAACATATATAATAGCGGTAAAATCCCGGAGAACTGGCTGCAGTCAACATTTATTACAATCCCGAAGAAACCAAATGCCCAGATCTGAGATGACTATCGGCTTATAAGCTTGATCAATCATGTCACTAAAGCGTTCACTAAGATCATTCATAGAAGAATATACTTCATCTAATTTAGATAACGACTTACGTCATAATCTACGTCAGAGATCGAAGTTGACATAGTTGCCAAAGTATAAAAAAATCCTGACTCCATTTTAAATCAAATAGATCACATAATTATTGCAAAAGTATTACCATCGCTTTACAATGACTATTTAAATCTTTAAATCAGCGATACTCAACTTTTTTTTCCCTGGGCCGCATAGTAGCTATTGCCACAGCTTGCGGGCCGCAATCTAGGTGAAGTATTATAGTATATATATATATATATATATATATATATATATATATATATATATATATATATATATATATATATATATATATATAAGAAATACTGGAAATACAAAAAGTCAAAAGAGTGGTTTTTTTTAACATCCCGGCCAATATTCTGACTGCAACTCTAATAAACTATCTTTTTTATTGTTTGTATTTATTGTTTGTATATATATATATATATATATATATATATATATATATATATATATATATACTAACATTTGAAAGCTTGAGATATAAAAAATAGTCTTCTAGAACATCCCCTTTTATTGACTCCAACCCACCGAAACGAAAATTTTCACCACGACTTCCTTTGGTATGACCTTTCATCGGATGAAATTTGAGAAACTCTTCACTAATTCCATAATCTTCAGTACAGTGCCGTACAAAAAGAGAACGTTGTGAAGTTAATGAAACATCAGTGCTTGAATCAAATGCTAAACTCCAATATTTACAATTCTTCGATGATATGATTAAAAATATGTTTCGAAATATCTTCAATTCGCCTGAAGCACGTGGAATCTGAGGGTTGTAATAATTGTGACATTGAAACTGCCATTATATTTTGCTGCTGCTGTAACGATCTTTTCAAGACGCATAGTTTTTCTCTTCGCAATGCAGAGCCGACTGGGAAACTATCGCTAAACATCTTGTGTTTTGTATTATAGTGTCTCATAATAGTATACTTCTTTAATCTAACACTCTCTCGACAAATCAAACAAGTTGCTGAACTGTGTTAGGTACAACAAAATATTCATCTTCCCAATTGTCTTGAAATAGTCTGTTTTCGTCAGATATTTTACGTTTTGATTTTGAGGACACCCCAGCCATTGTCACTGTTTTAAATTCCCGGCAAATCAATTATAATTAAAATTATTATAAATAAAAGAAACACACTTCACTTGACAAAATTTGAAAAAGACGATACGTGTGTAAACGGAAGCGCTGAATGAAATTGATATGTTCATATGATAATTGAACTGGTTCCAAATCGACATGAATTGGAAATGCAAACATAGCATAACAACATCAACTTCGAGTAATCCCCGGTTGAACACCACAGGGACGGATCTTTTTATATTATAAATTAGACTTTGTTGATTAGGGAATTTTGAATAATATTTTTATAATGAATTACAAAAATATCTAGATAAAGTCAAAAATTCTTAGTTAGCCTTCGGGCCGCATAAAAAACGCCCGAGGGCCGCATGCGGCCCGCGGGCCGCAGATTGAGTATCACTGATTTAAATTCTTACGTAACATTTTTGAAATAAAACACACTAATTTTGTTCTAAAAGAACAAATTTTATTAAATAGGAAAAAATATAAAACAAGAGATATTCATTTTAAAATTCAAAATAATAAAGTACAAAAAGTGTCAACACCGCAACTGTCAAGTAAGTGTTACCAATTTATGCCAAAATTTTACCTTCGTTCGATTGCAGTTACAGTGTGTTCCGAACAAATGTTCTTGATAAAAACGCTTTATAATGCATTTATACAAATTAAATGAAACATATTATTGTGTATTTCTTTAACACTAATAGAAATTTTTAAATATTATTTCTACGCGTATATAATAAAATATGTCTAGTGGCTGTAATGCCAGTCTACTCGGTAAAGTGATTCTAAAAAAGAACACACCTACCGCATAAATATTTCGTGTTGGTATCATGTGACGTCACAAGCTATGACGCCTATGACGTGCATCGTTATATAAATTAGATGAAGTGTATATGATAAATGTGAGTCAAATATTGATAGATCGCAGTTTGGTTTTCGGAAAGCACTTGGAACTGGAGAAGCAATTTTCGCTCTCCAGGTGCTTATACAGCGGTGTAGAGACGTTGATAAGGACGTATATTTGTGCTTTGTGGATTTTAGTAAAGCATTTGACAATGTAAATCACGAAGGACATTCGAATTGTGGCAAACCTATACTGGGGTCAAACAGCAAGAGCAAAAATTGGCAACGAACTCACTGAAAGTGTGCAGATCAAAAGAGGTGTCCGTCAGGGATGTATGTTATCCCCACTCCTATTCAATATTTATTCCGAGGAAATATTTAACAAATGTATGGAAAATGCAAATGAGGGCATAAATATAAATGGCGAATTAACGAACAATATAAGATATGCCGACGACACGATGATCCTTGCCAGTACCATAGACGAATTACAACAGGTAATGGAAAGAGTTTATTCAGTTAGTGAGGAACTTCAAGAAGACAAAGTGGATGCTGATAAGCAAAAAGCAACAACGTAAATGCAAAATGGGAACAGGCCACAGAAATAAGGGCGAGAATAGAACGAGCTAGAGCAGCATTAGCAATATGAAAAAGCTCCTCATAAGCAAGGATTTGTCTCTTCCCCTAAAACTACGTCTAGTTAAATGCTACATTTTTCCGATCTTACTCTATGGTGTGGAGGCCTTCCGTGGAGTATACCGACGCATTCTTCGTATATCCTTCGAACATGTCACCAACATAAAGGTAATCCAAAGAATCGGAAAGGAGAAAGAAATCGTGAATACAATTAAACAAAGAAAGCTTGAATATCTAGGCCACATATTGAGACACGATAAGTACCGTCAACTGCAATTGATTGTCCAGGGAAAAATAGACAGTAAGCGAGGGCGACGCTGGAGAAGACACTCGTGGCTCCAAAATCTGCGGAAGTGGTTCGGGTTCACATCTTGGTCGAACTATTCAGAAGAGCCGCAAACAACATAAGAATTTCCATGTTAATAGCCAACGTTCGCAACGGACAGGGCACTTGAAGAAGAAGAAGAATTATGGCACAAAAAATCAAATTCGCAGCAAATTATATGTATATAATTATGCATCTTTGGAAAGACTACACGAGGTTTTGTTCAGTAGTGGATTTAAATATATGAAACTAAATAATAGAAGGGTAATAATGGAATCTCTGAAATCGTATCGTTGAACTTAGACGAGATTATTTGTGCGAAGTAAAAGAATATCGCAATTCAAACAGAAATATAATTTATTTAGACGAAACCTGGTTCTAAATATACGCATGATGTTTTGTACAGCTGGGTTGACAACACAAATAATTGTGCTTGAAATGCACCGTGTTCAAGAGGAAAACGTGTTATTATTCTTCATCCCGGAAGCAAAGACGGTTTTGATACCTAAAGCGTTGCTATTGTCAGCCAAAAATATAACAAGTCTTCTACCGATTATCACGAAGACATGACAGCCGATTTATTTGAAAAGTGGTTCGTTCAACAGCTCTTGTCTAATATTCCGCCGAATTCGGCAATTGTTACGGATGTGTCACGCATATGAAATAAAATACCGGTTGAGTTTACCGAAAGTACAAGCTGAATATAGCCGCAAATGTCAAAAATATTTCGGCTTAGCAGTGTTGGCATGTTTTTATAATGCATATATTGTATGCTTCAAATATAAAAAGATAAAGTTTTTAAAAAGTACATTTTGATTATACTATTTTATGAATTCTGCAATTTTCAATTTATATGAAGCAGTAACGAGTAGATATTTGTCTCTTTCGAGATTAATTGCAAACATCTGTTGTAATCTGGCAACTGCTAATTTGACGATTGCCAAATCTATCCTCTAATCTACCAAAGGGTAATTGCTAAAAAAATGTCTAATAATTAACTGCAATTAATCTCCAAAGAAACAAATATTTACTCATTGTTATACTGCTATCACAGAATAATAAACAATCAGAATGCCCACTCTCCATGGAAAATTAAGTACGCGCATCTCCTTCGCGCAGACGTTCCGCCATGTTTTAGAGGGAACCAGTGTTGTTTATGTGGTGTGCATAGACAAAATTAACACGGTTTAATTGACTTACTACAATCACAAGCATACTATACAATTATATTAACATTGTTAAATATAATAACATAAATATAATAGAATTAAACATAAATATAAACAATTACATAACCCCACAAATCATATGTCTGTGTTGTTTCCTTCTAAAACATGGCGCGCGTGTTGAAAAACTTCAAAGGCGGCATCTGAGAGTGGACATTCTGATTGTTTATTATTCTGTGCTGCTATACCGAAATTTTTGTTCCGTGTTTGACATTTGCGGCTATAATCAGCTTGTACTTTGGGCAAACTCAACCAAAATACCTAATAATAACACGAAAAAGGTTGAAATTTTAAAATTTATGGAAATTAAATCTATCAATGTTCTAAAGAATTTAGAATGATCTAAAATCGGAATTTTAAGAACGAATACGTCATTGGCGCCATTTGCAGCAGGCACGGTCATACTCTTTTGCTATTAGCCCCATACTATTGCACTTCTAAACCAATCGAAGTGGTTTGGGGTACCGTAAAAAACGATTACGAAAATATAATCAGTCACCAACTTTGAGCAGTGGCCCTTGAGAATATTCGAGAAGTAATTAGCAGCATTAACAGCGATGTATGGCAAAATTGCGAAGCTCATGTTATAAAAATAGAAAACGAATATCCCGACAATAGCACCATTAGGTATCCAACCTGGGAACGATTCTACTTCAGAAGATTCTATTTTTATTAGTCATTCTAATCCATTTCCTTCACAACTATCGTGATGTATTTTCAAAACTGCTTATTTCTAGTGTTTATTAAAATATAAAGTAAAAAAACCAAAAAAAGATAAATAAAACAGTGACCAAAAAAAAAATGTTAAGAGCAAAATGCTTTCCTTTCCTAACAAGGAAGGTTCATACCTACTTGTAGTCCTTGCTGGACAGACAATCTTTTGAGATTGTCTGACAGAATGAGCAATATATACAAATAATTTTAATAAAATATTATGAGTTACGTGAAAGCTAAATAATGAGTCACATATTCTTATCAATAACTAAAATTAACAAATTTTAATTTGAAAGAATTAATTTATTTGACAATTTTCAAATTGATAAAAAATATACAGACATACAAAACCCGCTTTTCTTTTTAAATTTAAAACAAAAATTAATAAAACCTAAAATGGTATGATTTTTATCGAAATATACATTTAATGAAGTGGCCCTTTTCCTTCATTTCTACGCCAATGGTCGGCATTGGCCTCAATGAGATTAAAATGCTGACGATGGTAAATTGACTCTGGAGAGAGTACACAAGGAAGTCTACGGTTTGTCAAAGCTCCAAGAAAACAGTTGTACACTCTAGGAATATGCCGCATATAGCTTTGATTTAGTCCAAATCGGCACAACAAAATTTTTATTCAAAGTAACACAGGCACTCAATAGACCATCCTACTACTATCCAGAATAACAGTTGCTCAATATGTTGATTGGTTTATTATCCACTCACTTTATTGCAGCTACCTTTTGTTTTGTACTAAACATAAATTCACGGCACGTTTTACTTTTATATATATCTGGTAATCCCTTTCTGTGTGATCTCACCGTACAGACAGCATACATTTTGTTACTCAATAACTTTTTCATAAAAGGAAAGGATGTAAAGAAATTATCAAAGGCTATCAAACATCTCTTGTTTTTTTTTAAGTTCGCAAGGTTTATGACAACTTTTTCACCTAGGTGTTTTGCTCCGTTAACGTCTTAGGGCGAGCGCCCACCAAAGTGGCGTGGCGTGGCAGTGGCAAGTAGCACGCGTCTAGCATAATGTAACCAATGAAAACGCATGATTCAATTTACACCAAAATGACAGTAACGTCATTCATTCTAATCATTCGTTAGGATTGGTTACATTATGCTAGACGCGTGCTACTTGCTACTTGCCACTGCCACGCCACTTTGGTGGGCGCTCGCCCTAAGATTTAATCTTTAAACGCCATACTTTGTAGCCTCGTTTGACAGTCTTCATGACATGTATAGTTTAAGTGATGATTGATCGGTCGTTAAAAACTATCATCGATTCATCAACAGCTACGTAATATGAGTGGTTACACGTAGATTGGATTGTACTGTTTAGTTTTTCCACACGTGGTGTCACCTTATGCAGTTTGTCATATCCAGAGGCACTGTATTTTCATTGTCGTTTAGGTGTAAATTTTCAACGAGTTTTTTGTATTTCTTAGATCTAAATACTTGCGAAACTGCTGATACGCCTAAATTTGGGTCAATTGACTTGTAATTGAAAAGCTGAAGAAGTGTATGTATTCCCATTATAATTATTACTCCAATTAGGGCCCCTCTAGACTTGTATCTTCCCAATTATTAGATAAATTGGGTTAGCCTTCTAGGTCAATTCTGTATTGCATACAGATTAGTCTGATAAACTGTCTAAATCAAGAATATCTAAATAAAAAATTTTGATGAAAAAAATCGATTTCTTTGTCTTTAATATTAAAATCGTATGCAGAATATGGAAAAATCGAGTGCAAGATTGTCAAAAAATCTTAGTGTTCATGTAGCAGCCTCAAACGGAAGGAAAATCGATGTACACTGCCTGTAGACGTGATATTATATGGTGAGAATTATACTTCTCACTGCCTAGGAAAGGGTTAAAGTACAAAGACGGTTCGTACTAAACACAATATTCCAATACCAACCGGCCGATCCCGGGGTGCACGTGACGGCTATAGATATAAATAGCACAGATACTGGTGAAGACGTCAGGAATAATCATATACTCCACATCACTTTCTATAAACCATGATTAATTAATGTTTTTCAAAATAAAAACAAGTGTGTAACCAATTTCATTTATTAACAAATTATGATTACAAAAAATTCCACAGGTATACAAAACATCCGACTTAAAAAAAATATAAAATATTAATTAGCAACATGCACAATTTGGTATCAGAACTTTCCATAGAGATGGATAAAATTAGCACAGAAAATTGCACTATAAATGTTGCAATGATTATATGTCAAAAAATTCGAGGCTAAAGAATAAGATAGGATGAGAATATTAGGTCAATATTATGAAATTTGTTGTATTTATACATTTATAAATATTTTTCTCAAATTATGTCTTTATATACTGTAAAATCACAATGTATTCATAATATAAATTAACATTATAAACTATTCTTCATTTTGAGCACATCTCGTCATTACATGAGATGATTATCAAGGAACTATGCTATTAAGTAACTTCAAGAATATTTGTAAAAACAAAACACAATTGTTTTTTCAGTACTTTTTTAGATTAAAAAGTATAAGTTATATAAACAAAGCTAAAATTTTCATTATTGCACAACCATACAAACTAAAAATTAACGAAATGGGAGTTAAATTTTAATTAACTGCTTCTTGTAGTATACTATAAATACGAATTTCCGGTATATCTTTTCAGTATTCGGTCAACAAAAAGAGCTATAAGATCGCACACATCATCAAGTTACTGATAAAATTTGCATGAGATGAAGAATATGGGTTGCTGAAGAATTAATAAATTAACTAACCCAATTTATTACTAGCATACATATTTTCATGTTCCAGTTCCCTAGCGTCTTAACGCATTTCGGTAGGGGTCTGTTATCGTAATCATTGTTCCACGTGATCCACGCAGATCCATTTTTCTACTTTATACTTCTGAAAATCTTCGGGATTGGGTAGCGTCTTCTTCCGTCCGAATCAATGATATTCGGCCACTTTTAATAATAACTTGATCAAATATACTAATCTTTAATTACATAATAACATTTCACTTACTCAATCTTATATTTAGTTAGCTTTATTAATAGGTGAGATATTTATTAATATAATAGATATCACAAATCTTTTATTTTAATATATGGATAACTGTGCCACACTTGATAACAGCCATAACAAAAAAAGTGCATATTAACGAGTCAAGTAGTTGCGACAAATAAAATTGATCAACTTCTTCTTCTTTATGTGCCGTCTTCTAGCGAAGGTTGGCGACCATCATACGATAGGTTTCTCTGTTTTGTGCCGCATGAATTATGTTCGCAGCTTCTGGTATTTGAAACCATTCTCTCAAGTTTCTCAGCCAGGATTTCTTCTTTCTGCCCAAACCTATTCTACCTTCAATCTTGCCTTCCACGATAAGCTGTAGCAGACTGTACTTATCATTACGGAACACATGGCCCAGGTATGACGCTTTCCTCCTTTTAACAGTTGTTAACAATTCCACCTCTTTACCCATACGTCTTAATACCTCTGTGTTGGTCACTCTGTCTGTCCAAGGTATTCTCAGTATGCGTCGATACAGCCACATTTCTAGAGCCGCTAACTTCTTTATAGTTGCTGCTGTTAACGTCCACCCTTCTACGCCGTAAAGTAGCGTAGAGAGTACGTAGCATTTCGTGGCGCGCCATCGGAGGTTAATGCTTAGGTTGCGGTTGCTTAAGAGCTTTCTCATTTTGATGAATTTGGATCTTGCTATTTCAATTCGGATCGTAATCTCTAATTCTAATTGATCAACAAAAAATTAATTTAACTTAAATCTTTTCAAACTAGTTGATTAAAAGAAATTTGGTATGACTTGAACTCAAACCTCTGTTGATCAATTTTATTGATTAATAATTCCTACAGTTATTATTTCACTACTGTTGACTAACTCAGTGTTTCATTTTACCTAAGAATATGACTTTATACTTCAATCTGGTATATCGAACGAATATACTAATTTCTAAGATTCTTAGAATCATAGAAGCGATTGTACTCAATGTACATACCAGATGAAACATAAGCAAGTATATTAAGTTTTTAGTAAATCGTCGAGAAATGATTAGTATGACTAGGTAAAAGTGCATGTCGCTGATTGAAACAAAAAAATACTATATTATGACTACGATTTTTAAAGTAACTACGATTCGGCTACTGCTGCAGGAGAGGCTTGATTTTCTTGTTCTTCAGATTCTTCATTCTGTCTTTTTTCTAATTCAGCCTTAAAATTTTCAATATCTTCTTGACTAAAAATAAAATTAAATGAGTAAACAATGACTGAATGAGTTGTACACTAGCCCAAGATAGTGAAGACGCTAGTTCTGGGTACGCAGTGATAAAATTCGACAAACTGTGGGAAAGCTTCATATAATTAGTCAGTTACTTTTGTGCAGTTTTATAACTTGGTGATATAAACATGGAAAATGTGCAAAAACGAGAGGTCCAAATCATTAAATGCGAGATAAAGTTTTAAATTTACTACTAGATTTGAGGAAAGTGCAGGAACGTGTTATTGCAATGACAATTGTTTATGTAGGTACAGCTGAATAATTATTATTTTTAACCTAATCTAATATTAAGGTTTAAGTCTCTGAACTATAAAAAAAAGGTCAATACTCATATAAGTAAGTGTGATTAACGAGTTCGTATAATTTATCGAGTCAAGGACAACCGGTTGGAAAATTCAAAATTTTACATTAATGCAATTTAATATTTATATTCTTTGTGGGATTTGGTGGGTCAGACACTTCCTCTAATGTAATTGGAGAAAAAAAGCAGTAAATTAAAGAAATGATTGGAATAAAAGACAACTCGGCCGAGATCGATTATTTCTTTCATTTTCTTGATTCCATCTTTTTCTTCAACGAACTTTGTTAATTGAAAGTTAAAAGTCCATAACAAACAATAATGAGTTATCAAAAATTGTAATCTTATTATACATAAAATAGTTAACATACCTAACATACATAAGATAACAAATTGTCGTACAAGACTTGGCAACAATGTTCTGAATTTGCTAAAGACGGGCATATCCGTCATGTACTTTCTTTTTTATCATCTGCGCACTTAGCGACTCTTCACAATTTTGGGCTACTGTATATATCTTGTTGGTAAATATAGGAGGTAAACCTCACAAGTATCTGACATTCGTACATACATCCACATCAAAACTAACCAGCGCATTCTGTGAGATATGAGCGTAATCACTAACTCTAAATTTGCCGTATAAGCTAGTATTTTGAACATGTATAGCATTATTCACAAATTATTTTTTATATTAAGTCTCTTTTCTACATATGCATCAAACAAAGATAGCATTATGGTAACGGACGGATATTGAAGCCTTAAGATTATATTTTTTTAACAGAATTATCATAACGAATAATCATTACCTTAGTGTTCGATTCCGTAAAGTAAGTACATATTTATAAGTAGACTTAGACTTAAGCAAAATGCATTTATTGCATATAAGCGTCTTGATCTCCTTTCAATGGGACGAAAATCCTGCACGACTTCCATCGCAAATGTGCTGATTGAGTCCCAAGCTGCATGCGATGAAAGAATTTCTCCTATTACAGTCTCTGGTCTGAATTTTCTGTTTCAGAACAGTTTAGAGTATCGCGTACAAACTTGAAACAGGACAGGCACTTGGGAGAATCGTCATGTTTAAACTGATACAAATACGCTTGAAAGTAGACACGTCCTGAGAGCATCTATGTATCTAACACATCTTTGCGGTTCAGCCAAAAATTCACCTGTAGTTTAAGACAATGCGTCCACCTGGCTGTTGTTGCGGAATCCCACTGCATTTGCCGTCGACATATGTGGTTTTGTCACTATTTTGTGTGTTAGTTAGTTAATTAAAGCACAATGTAGTTGACCCTCTTCGCTGATAAAAAGCCTGCCTTTCTCCAGCTAGCATTCCAATATGTAGCATCGCGGCGATGATGTATACAGCGTTCTCAGATTCTGTACGGAATGAGCTGGCAACTGTCAAGGCGCTTGGATGATATGACTTTACGGCCATCCTGCTTTGTTTTGGGCCACTTACATTTGGCATTAGCCATTATAAGGCTGCCCTCACTACTGAATCTTCAACACTGAAATGATCCACCTGCTGCTTCAGTCCTCAATCATCATTCTTACGTACCGAAGGAATGGCTGTGATTTGATTTAATGTTCTCCAATACTCAGCGTTACGTTTTTACCTATTTCCGACATTTCAAAACAATTTCCAACAAAATAAGGTTTGCTTTGATGCTGCTGTCCTTTGTATACTTTCGAATAACATTCTAGATTGAAAAAAATTACTTACCTAATTTGAACAAAAATGATTCCATTAATGATATTCAACATATCTAACACAGATCCCATGGAAGGCGGTTGAATTTGTATTGGTGGCAGTGAAGCTCCATTTTTACCAGTGTATATTTCATTCATCTTCTTTTGAAGGACTACAGCTTGCTGCGTCAAATGTTTTAAACACTCCGAAGATTCCTTGGTTTTGTCGTGATTATCGCCAAGCTGTAGAAATATTTACAATAACAAAATTAAATTTACCTATATATTAAACTCAACCATACCTGCTGTTTGTATATTGCGTAGGCTTCCTTTTCACTGTTTAACGCAGATCTGAAGTTTCCCATACAACTTTGCGTCCTGGCTACCAAGTGATAACTGACAGCTACCTTAAGTGATTTGGCTCCATAATATTTAATATTTAAAGCCAAAGCTTTTTCCAGAAAACGTAAAGATAGGTCGTACTCGCCAACAGCGTGAAGAATTAAACTAATGTTACTCTGAAAATAGTGTGTGGAGTTATTCACAGGTCAATATGGAATGTTGTGTTAACTTACATCAAGTAAAGCGACTTCTGGATGATTTTCTCCGCAGACTAGGATTGCAAGATATCTTGCTCTGTATAATAACTTTAGAGCTGTGCTCACTTGACTGTTGGCAAAACAGTATAATGCCAAATGGGCCTAAAATAAAACACATTTGGTTTAAGCACTAAAAATTAAAACATTAAAAAAATAAATTTGAATTAAAAGCATATTTCTAGTCTAGACACATACTATAAGTTAACAGAAATTAAATCAAAGTACCACAGAAATGTATATTTATATTTCTATATCTTGTATCTGTTGTAGCTTTAAAAATGCGCATGAATATTATTGTTATATATCTACATATAGTGAGGTCCTAAAATAACGGATAAATTCATTTTATACAATATTACGAATACAGAAGAATAGAGTGGCTAGGAATGCATTCAACAACATGGCCAAACTCTTTCAAAGTCACAATCTTAATCTGGAGATAAAAATGAGGCTCCAACGATGTTATATCTTCTCGATATTATACTACGGACTTGAATCCTGGACACTCCTGGAGTCCAAGGATGTCATGGACGGACAAGATAACCAACGAGAACTCACTATGAAGAATGGGGAAAGAAAGAGAAGTGATTTATACAATTAAAAGGAGAAAGTTAGAATATCTCTGACACATAATGAGAAATGGCACTAAATACAGATTACTGAAAATAATCCTTCAAGGCAAAGTATTCGGAAAGCGAGGAATTGAGAGAAGAATATCATGGTTACAAAACCTTAGGAAATGGTTCTCCATAGCAACTAATCTATTAAAGCATCAGTTAATAAAATAATTATAGCCAGAACGATCGCCAATATTCGAAACGAATAAACACCAAAAGAAGAAGAATGAATACAAATGGAAAATCCTGAAACAGGTCAATTTGTATATATGAGAATACACTTTCTAAATATCATTATTCAAATGTATTTTGAACTCCCTGAAAGAATTTTAAATGAAAAGGGATAGCGTGTGATACAGCGTTTAAATTGCTTTACTTTTGATTGAAGATCTTAAGATTGAAGCTATAACGCCATGTGCAGCAGTTTGTTAGTCAAGTTAGGAATGCCATCACCAAATCCTGAAATGAGCAACTGTTTCAATCAAGAATTGGAACGTAAAAGTGAATATGATCACTTTACAGGAAAATTGGTACAGAAAAAAGAAGGTACTGAAAAGAGCTGTGTGAAAAGCTGGATTAGGACATCTAAGGTTAGGGATACAAGATTGTCATGAAGAAGTTCCATGCTAATCCTCCTTACGATATGTCTATGGACAAGAAGCTTGAGGTGACACAAGAACTCTTTCCGGATGGCATGGTGTATGGAGAGATGAGGGACCTAAGCGGACCGTATCTTTTACCATGGTTGAACTTGTCGAGGCATTTTGTTCACTCAAGTCGCGTAGGTCCCATGAACTGGATCATATATCACATGATGCGTTAACGGGCGGAGCCTGCATGGCTTCTGAGACACATGAATGTCAGGCGGCATCCTGGACTGAGAACTATGTTGAAGTGTAGACAAACCATCCACTTTGTTCAATCTCTCGCCTGGCAACACAACGAAAAACATAGTATATGACAAGGTCCTTCAATGAAAATAACCGACACGAGTGCAACCAATTCAGGTAATGATTACTTTGTTACCACGTGAATTAGCTAATTTTTATCTTAAATAAACATTGATTAATCTTTAAAAAACGTTTCTACGGCGCAGAAACCCTAACGCTCACAAGAACAACAGTGAGTAAACTACAAGTTGCGGAAAGAGCAATGGAGAGAATTATGTTAGGGATTTCTCCACGTGATAGAATACCCAATGCTACTATACGCAAAAGATCAGGAGTAGCAGACGTTATTGAAAGGATAACAATACTAAAGTGGAACTGGGCAGGTCATGTAGCAAGATCAGTTGATGACCGGTGGACAAAAAGAATTTTGGAATGGAGACCCGAATACAAGCATACAGAAATAGAGGTCGACCCCCAACGAGATGGACAGATGACATAAAAAGAGTGACTACAAATTGGATTCAGATGGCGCAAAATCGGACTAAGTGGAAGAGCATGCGAGAGGCCTATGTTCAGCAGTGGACGTTAGAGGCTAGTTGATGATGATGATGAATCTTAAAAAAGTTAATAGGACAATACATTGTAAAACAGCTAACATATAAAAGAGACGGACGCATTCCTGGGTGTTTAATGTACATTAATGTGTTGTGCAGAATACTGAAGGAATTCGAGCAGTGACAACAGGCTTTTGAAGAAATAGATTAAATTTTCATTATGGAATTACTAATATAAATAAGGTGGAAACTGTGAACCGTGAAATGATTTTGAAAATAGATATTTTTAGTTATATAGGAACGCTGTTTGTATTAGACCTATATTGGATGAAAGACTCTGTTAGGGACTCACACAAGATCAGATACGTTTTTAGGAATAAGACGTTAGGACAAAAACTAGTTTCCTGCAGTAAATTAGGTGTTAATTTTTTAGTTATTAATAATTACATATACGAAGAAGGTTGCGTTTCGATTTAATTTGAGTCTCTTACCACCCCCTGACACGTGTTTCTGGGTCTACCCGTCATCAGAAGGAGTTTGCAACAAGACTCAAACCACAACAAAAAGCATCGACTACTCTGGCAATTACAGGAAAATAACTACCAGAGTATGCTACTAGCGACCTCTAGTGAGGAAAGATGAAGTTAAATACGCCTGAATGGCTTGATTAAGTTTGGGTATACAGTTTACTTTAATTGCTATCGACATATTTAACTTCATCAATAATTACATACTTAAAAAGACACACTTTGACGTGTTCGCTGACTAGTAAAAAGTTTAAGTAAAAAATATTTTTTACAATGTATATTAAAAGTACTTACATATTCAGTAATGGTGTATGGATGATCAATACCATTCACCCTTTCCGACATAAATACAGCTTTCTGTTGGTATGCCATAGCTTCCCCATGTTCTCCCATAATATAATTCAGTCTTGCGATCATTCTTAAACATTGTGCGATTTCCGGATGCATCGCTCCGTATACATTATTTAACAAATTCAAAGATTCGCTTATGAGTTCGTATCCCTCTTTCAAAGCGGCTTGTTGAATTTTAGTCTGACCAGTTGTATAAAAGTTGTAAGCGTCTGTTGCTCTAGGAGTTATGTGTTTGACAATCGGGAAAATATTTAGTATATCTTCTTCGTAGAACATTAATTTGTTTTTAGAATCGAAATTATAGTCTCTTAATAAAATCTGAATACCAGTTTTAATACAGAAAGATCTTAGTAATGAAATCTTTTGCAGATTGTAAGTTTCTATCGTAGTTTCAATATCACTAGAAAGCAACTCATAGTCGAAATATGCTTTCAGTTCTGTTTTTATTTGGTTCCACAGAGTCTTAGGAGTAAGGGTGGCCCATTCATTGTTATCTTGGCAAGATAATGGATTAGTCCTTCCCCTTCTTTTATTTCTCTTCTTGTTATTTTTGTTCTGAAATTAATAATCAACATTAAAATTTATTTTTGTATCGGTATATTTATATCATCTCAGTTTTACAGGTGTTTGAGAATAATATCCTGTAATTAAAAACCACTAAATATTTATTCCATAGTATCAACAGCAAAAAATAACTGTTGTACACACTTTTACAAACTTTATTTTTAAAGTGTGTAAGGAGTAAAGTGTGTGAGCAAGTTAGGAGGCAATAAAATAGAGAGATGCGATGTGAAAATCTTCACAAAGCGGAAGAATCGAGATAAGACCTTAAACACAAGATAAATTCTGAAGATATGGGAGGCAAATGCCAAAAAACTATTAAATAAGACCAATGAGGTGACATAAATTTCTTCTTAAGATATAAACGATCACAGAGAAGAAGAACCCCCACAAGCTCTGAGAAGGCAGTACACTTCAGAATAATGATATCTTCTGCTTCAAGCAAGCTGTAGTCACACTGCTGCGAGTCAACATACGTGCGAGCTGTTAAAGTTGGTTGGATGGAAATTAAAGGAGTTTTTTTTAACGATCATGACACTTCCTCCTTTATATTTCTGAACAGATCTGGCCGTTTCTGTTCTTGCTTGTCTTCTTTGCCCCCTATATACGCGAATCCATCAGTCATCTGATTTTACAAAAATCCTGGTTTCGTCTGAAAATAGCGCATTTTGCCAATTTCCAAAGTTCCGGTTTTGGTGTTAGAAACACCAATTTAAGAGATCAATATTGTGCTGCCTGGCTAGAAGTCGGCAAAAATCGATTCTAGAAAAAACTGACATACAACATCATCCATGTTTGAAAAATACTGCGTCAAAGGACAAAGAGATACCATATCCCGTATAGTATTCAACATTACTCAAGAGAAAATAATTAAAAATCAGCCGCCAATACCAGAGAGAACAATAATGACAAAAAGTGTACATTTTAGCATCATAGCTAGAATTAATCAAACTTATAAAAGAGCAATTTAGAATAATGACCTAAAAATTAATGAAAGCAAAAAATATATGTTTGCTGGAAAGTCAGTCGGGCAAAGGTACCTCCAAAACATAATTATGGGAGAATATAAGTTTAAAAGAGTGAAGGACTTCACACATCCGAGTTACATATATCAACTACAGAGCCTATAAGGAACCAAAGGCAATAAGTGAAACAAAATCTAACGACTCTGAATATAACCAACTGAAAAAACGATCTTAAGGACCTACAGAAAGACCATAAAAAGTTGTAGAGCCAATTTTCTTGAAACGTCTCTCAGTATCTGTGAAAGCTATGTGGATAGTAGCCTTAAGCATCTGTTTTTTCTGGTGGTTTGATGGTTTCCATGTATGGTGTGTGTACTGCAATAGCTCATAGCTCTGCAGTTCCTCTTCTTTTCTGTCAAACAGGATTTTATATTGCATTTTGTTGCTCCAATGTAAAAAGAACAACAACTGCACAATAAACTCCTGGGTTGAACAGCAGTTCAATTTGGATCTTTGACCATGTGAGGCTTAGGGCCAGTTCTACAATACTAGTATATACTGAGAATAAAGTACTTGGAATAACTTCATTAATGGTGTTCTACAAAGAATAAACTAGGAATAAGATAATCGGAGTATATCTATAGAATAACTTTATCTCTCCAAAGTTTCTATGCATTTCTATTGGTCGGCGAGGGGTTGTCAAATCTGTGATATTTTAACCTCACTTTATGCCATTCGATCTTTGAACTGTGGTTTTGTTTGTTTTTATATATAAAATAAAATTTTTGATATGGATCCAGTTAATATTAATATTTTTGAATCTGATGATGAAGATTTTGAAAAAGGAATACCTAGGCTAAGGCATCAAAAAACTTTTAGAATTCGGTATGAATTAGATATATATTTATGTAGCATTTGAATTCAATTTCTTTATATATAAAATTGTTACATCTTTTTTTATCCATTTTATATTAATTTTGCAAAGTATACTAATATAAACGTAGATAAAGATAAAGTAGATAAATAAAATACTTTCAATTGTAAACAAATTTTAGTTATGACAACTGCCAAATGTCACTGTCAATAACAATTTGAACTAATTTTGAGGCTATCAGATCTACTATTTCGTTTTACCTTAGTGTTCTGTGGTTATACCCAGAATAACATTTCCGCTGTCGATTTCACAATGTAGAATGCTCAAAAGGTTATACTTGGAATAAACTCAAGAGTAAGTTATACTCAAGAATAGTTATTCTCTAATTTATACTTTGATTGTAGAACCGGCCCTTAGTATACTCCATTGAAAATTGTAATACTCCATTGAAAATAGATTGTAATAATTTTACTTATGTAGATTAAGCAGAAGTTAATAAACATGTCTTCCCAATCTGGTACTATCTAAAGAGACAATGAACAAGAGCAACCAAGATCCCAGAAATACTAGAACGCTGAAAAAAGGCAAAAAATTTAAAGTAATTGAAGGGATCTACTGCTATAATCCTATGTCAGTTCAATACAACTGTTTAACTATATAATAAATCAGATTTTCTCCTTATGATGCAAAGTATAATAAGTATATTTACCTCATCTTGACCTTGTAGTGGATTAGTCATAGGACCAGAGTATAAGAAGCAGTTCAAAAAGTGCGCAATAGCTACCGATAGATTCATCATTTCACAACCCTAAAATAAATCAAAATTAAAAAATATTTCGTAACTACTAATCAGTAACTAACCTGTAAGTACGAAGTAAAAATATGCTTAGCTGATCTTAATATCAATTCAGAAGCGGCAATGCTGTACAGGTACTCGAGTTGCTTAACTTTTGCTAATAAATGTGTAACTTTACCAAGGTATCTAATATTTATACCTTTATTGTGCAGTGCTTCCGATAACGTTGTACCATCCATTGGTGCAGAAGAGTGATCCAGACAGTCACGAATCTAAAAAATATACATTAGCTATCATGTGTGTAACAATTCAATTCAATTGAGTATTAGCTACACACATCTTACATATTTATAAGTTAATAACAAAAAGTCATAATAAATATTCTAATCTCTAAATTCAGATTTCCTAATTCTTACATTGATCTACGTTTGACTCAGTTTTTATTAACACAAAATATTTTTATTTAACTGGTATACATATAAATGATGAAGTCTGTGCAAGTGTGCACAGATTCAATGGAACGATTATCTATAATTTTGGAAAAATGCTAAACTGAATTATGAGATTATTTGACTGGATGAATTAATTTTTAAAAGTACTTGTACTTACGAACGTAGGAATCTGAACAGTCAACAAAAATTCTGCAGCATCTTTGATCAGTTGTTTTTGTTTTGCCATAGGAGGATCGGAGTTTGGACAATGTTTAATTCCGGGAGAAAATACATCTGGGTTAAATCTTATATCAAATTCTGTATCCTTAAGAGATCCTACAGCCATGGAAGCAGTTTTCACTATGTTCTTGGTGCTTTCTTCTACTATAGAATATATTCATTAATTAAGTGATAATTAGCGTCGATAATTTTTTTGGTGGCATTGTTTCTGTTTTAAGAAGATCATTTTAGCAAATGAAATAAGTTTAAATTCATTAGTTAACACTCAAGTAATTTAACTATAGATTAAATACAAATATTTATGTTTAAATGTGTACGTTTATATATCTTAAACCTATTTTTAATAAGACAAGAGATAGAAAGGTACGTAAAGATAAAAGATATCATACTTGGGCCACAATCTACGAAATAACAAATATAATCTCCTAAATGTCATCTTGATGGGTGAACAAGTCCTGGACGAAAGCCGTATTCATGGTTCAGAGACGGAAGAAAATGGTGAGGCATATCTGATGTTAGTACGACAATAAAAAGCTCTACCTACATTCGACAACCAGCATGGACACCTACAGGCTGCATAGCGTGTGGCACTCAAAGAGGCTGGTGTATTTGAAGAAATAAATTGCGAAAAACGGCCACAAATGAAGAAGAAAAAAGGACTCTATCACCAAGAAATCCACCACGTCATTAATATACCACAATTTCAGGGGAAGGTATTTGGATCAAATGGGGAGGTTATTGCAAAATATGAGTTGAATATTGAAGCTAAATCTTCAATAGTAATTTTGCAACATTCAAAAAATATGAGTTTTTATTAATTATTATGCCTAGAACTTATTGAGTTAAACGTTATAAACAACTAGTACTTACGCTCAAGTTTGCTACCATCCGTTATACTTTCAACAATTTTCTTAGCTTCTGCATCTTCTAATTGACTTTTCTTGTCTTCGGAATTATCCTTTTCTGTCTCATTATCTTTAGTTATTTCTTCGCTTTCTTTATTATCTTTACTTGCATCATCCTTTTTGTTTTCCTCTATGGCTTTGACACTTTCGTCATGCTTTTGTTTTTCTTCAGTCTTTTTCAAATTCAACTGTTGCAAATGATAGGCTGCATATTTAATGAACATCATATAGCGCGAATCCACAAAGCTGTCGATGAGTTCCTGCCTCAAACAACAAAGTTTATGTTTATGTTCAATCGGAAATCCGAACAGGTTAACTTCACGGCTCAACTCTTCTCCTTCCACTGAAAAGTAATTGTTTCATACATTATTATTATCAACGAGCAATTATGTGTACTTAATTAACGTAACTGGCTAATATTTCGATTCTCGATAGAGTTAAAACAAGTTTTCAAGTTTTTTTTGAATAAATCAAGTTATCTGTATTAGTATGTTACAAATGCCTAGTAAATACGCGATTACTACAAAATAACGTATATTTATATTCGCCCCGTGCGTGACCATGGTAGGGGTACCGTGAAACGATGCCAGCGTGCGTAGCGGCGAAATATGACAAAATTGGACGTTAATTACTATTTAACTGGGAATAAGCCACAATTAAAGATAAAAATACGTTTATTGACGTTTCAATTTCCACTTCGGAAATCGTTCTCAAAATACAAACAGTAAATTGACTGTTTACTGTTTGTATTTTGAGAACGATTTCCGAAGTGGAAATTTAAACGTCAATAAACGTATTTTTATCTTTAATTGTGGCTTATTCCCAGTTAAATAGTAATTAATTTAAAATGCTACATGAAAATAGCTTCAGAACAATATTAAGAAAATTGGACGTATCTTTCACACATAAATTTTATCAAAAATAGGTGCAAATACATGTTGCGTATTTAATTGTGCTAATAATAGCAAACATAGTGAGTGTAGTTTTTATAGGTTTCCAAAGATTACATATAAATTAGAGAAAAGAAAAAATTGATTCGTGCTAATAATATGAAAAAGTAAATATCACATAATTTTATTTTTATAAAATTGAAATAGAAAAAATTTAAATAATTTACCCTATCATATTTCATAAGGCTTCAAGCTAACTGCAGAGTGCCTGATGACTTTAGTTTTTATATCATAACTTTTACTATTATTGGTTTTAATTACATGCTCTTCCACATGAAAAACTTGAGTTTCCAGTACTAGATTTTTTTCTTTCTTTGTCGTTTTGATTGAAAAGATAAATTGTGATGAATTTTTAGAAACCCAGTTTTTAATACTACAATAATTTTGTACATAAACTGAAAAAATATAATTAAAAAACTAATTATTAATAACTGTCAATTTCATATGTATTTAACATATGTTTAACCTCAAATGGACCGCAGGAGTGTGACGTCGCGACTGTCACATTGTCATTATTACTTTCCAAACAAAAGTTGAAATGTCCAATCTCAAGACTTTTTAATTTCTATAAAGTTAACATTTTGCTTCCTCTGATGCTTTTTCTTGTAAGCATAGTGTTTTTTTACGATAATGCCATCATAATTCAGAGTTTTATTTCTATAAAATATAGTTTAAAAGTTTAAATTAAAGAAATTCTAACCTTACTTTATTGATACATGCATTTTATTGCTATTGGCATAAAACAATGTGCTTTATTATTTACACAACCTTGTAAAATTGTTGTAGTAACTATTAGAATACTTAAGTATTGCAAAAAGCGGAAAGATTCTATAAAATAAATGAAAAAATAACTAAAAATATAAATTATCCACACTAAACAAGGTTTGTTTGGAAAATGAAACTGACAGATGTCAATAAAATCTACGTCATCACCCCTGTAGTCCATTGGGAGGTCCAAAACTGTCAGATGAAGGCAATAGGTGTCGCGTCAGTCACGCACGGAGCGATGTTTTTGAATTTAATTTAAACTATTGTATTTTTTTTTTAATTTAAATTATTCTAATTTAATTTAATTTTAATTTTATTTTAATTTATTGTATTTTATTTTGTATTATTTAATTTTTAATTTAATTTAAATATCTGAGAAAAATTATTAAAAAAAAACATTTCTTTTGGTCCCTATTCTAATGGATTTTGATAATTTTGCTATTACCATTTTTCCAATTTGCAATTACTTCTATCTTGTAGGATGTTTAACTGCAGAACTTATTTTAAAGTAAAATTGTGGCTTATTTCCAGACAAAATAGTAAATTGCATTAAGATGCCACAAGAAAATAGCTTCAGAACAGTCTCGAAATTAAGAACTCATAAATTTGTAATTACTTACATTTTAAGAAATTGACATCTGGAGGAAAAGTCCTCAACAAATCTAAAATATAATATCTTCCATCGTTACCAATAATACCTTTACATTCCACACTTGAACATAACTCTACAGATTCGCCCTTTTCATTTATAACATGATGTGGAAGTATCTTCAATTGCTGACCAGCTTTGTTCAACTAAAAAAATAAATATATAAATAAATAATAAATATAGAGGATAGGCAATACTTGAAGGTGGGTATTGAAAAGGGAAGAAACTTTTACAAATATTGTTTACATAAGTTACCATGTAACCCATGTATGGTGTGTGCTTTTATCAATAGAAATATATAATTCCTTCTCCTTTGTTTTATGCTATTAGTTGCCAAACACACAATCAAATATTGCCAAATCTGTATAAAGTGCAATAGCAAAAAATATAAAATGTATTAAATAACCAATTAATACTTACCAAATCCAAATATTTCGCATGTGTAAGAACAGTTTTTCCAAAATCAATGGATCCGTACACAACCGACTGTTCCTGTTCTCTTTCTAAAATTCCCGGAATAATTGACTGTGCTGTGACTCTGTAGCCTCTATAGTCAATAACGACCGTTCCAAGGGTGTAAAGACCAGGCAAGTCTACTGCGCTGTATACACGTACACCTTGCAGATCATTTCTCTAAAAAAGGTTATAAAAAATTAAAATATATGCCGAAAATAAAATATTATATCTACTACTACTTTTAACACTGTATTGAAAAACGTTTTAAGGGCGTAATATTTACATATGTTTATGTAGAGTTAAACAAATGAAATGTAGAATTATACAAATTTCAGATACATCACTAAAACAAAAAACCTTAGAATCCTATATCAACTGTTCCTAGACAATCATTATCCACCAGCTCTTGTAAAGAAAATTTTGTTTAGTACACAGTCTGAAACATATAACACTACACAAAATCATTCCTTTATTAACACTGCTGCTGTGAATCAGGAAAGTAGCAATACAGTTACCACACCTATTTAAAAAAAATCTACACACTACCATACATACAAATGTCACACCGAAGCTGACAGGAATATTCATTTCTGTTGCTAAGTTTACTAATAAAACAGTTTTAACGATAAATTCAGTCTTCTCTAAACCAAAGATAAAACATTAAAATATAATATATCTAACAGAGTCTATAGTATTCCTTGTACAAATTGTAATTTACTATACATTGGCCATTCTTCAAGGCGATTAAAGGACCGTGTCACCTCCCATAAGAGTGACAAGAAATATCCAGATATGTGTAGTTTATCTATGTATATTAACCAAAACGATCACATAATGAATTAAATAGAAGCCAAGGTATTAGCAATTGAAAAAAAATTAAAGATTGTTTCTTGAGTTGACTTTTATCTCTGAAACAGACAAAACCATAACCAAGAAATCTGACATCAGCCACTTAAGTGAGATTAACCGACATTTACTGTTTTTAGATAAAGAGTTCAATAAAAAAGAAAACAACATCGAAATAATGTAGATTCTAATGTAGAAATCTAGAAGTTATGGTTTTCTATTGTTTCTGATATAGAAATTCATCTGATTAACTAATTATACTAAACTGAATTAATAAAGGTAAAGGTAGTAAAGGGTACCCCCAACAATAATAAAAGACAAATAAACACATACATTTCTTCTACAGAAACATCCTTCCATATTATAGCATAAATTTTGCGAAACAAATTTTCAATTTCCTCAAAATATAGTTTAGCACGCTCGTTGGTCCAGTCACAAAGGCTTCTAACTATTTCAATTAAAACAAATGCTTGAAAGGATTCTCTGGTGGATTTTTGAGAATCAATATCTATAGTAGGGTGAAAATCATCAGGAAGTTGAACACAATTCATTCTAGAATATCTTTGGTCGCCAAATGGATTTGAAATAACTTTCCAATCTCTGAATTGTAATGGTTCATCATCGTCAGCACCTTCATAATCGAAATCTAGGTCGGATTCAGAATCGCTGCTCTAAGACATAAACACCTACTTCTCTGACAACAAAAACTCAACTGGTAAGGTAAGAAGTAAACAGCAGCACAGTAACCTCACTTCTCACACAATCCCATCAGTCAAACATTCGAACAATCTTATCACCAATCAAATTAACTAAATCTAATCTCCTTCTAGACATCACCCACTTTTGGGCGTGGTTTCCCCTTATTTAGATTTTAATAAGGTAATTCGGACGAAACAAAAACACCTTAAAAATCGAAATAAAATAGATAAACCCAAGATATACTAACATAATTTTAATGCAATGTAGAGATAGATTTGTATGGGGTTGAAGCTTGGTCACAAAAATCCAACATTAAAAACCTAGAAGCATTCGAAATGTGGTGTTACCGACGTATTTTGAAAATATCAAGGATGGATCGAAAAAACAAACGAAAAAGTTCTCGACAAACTAGGAAAACAATGCGAAGTTTTAAATTCCATAAAAATCAGGAAATTTAAATACTTGGGGCACATCATGAGAGGTGAAAAATACGAACTACTGAGGAATATAGTGCAGGGTAAAATCAAAGACAGAAGAAGCGTAGGAAGACGTAAAATCTCGTGGCTACGCAATCTCCGTGAATGGTTTGGATGCAGTTCAATTGAACTATTCAGGCGCGTAACCAATAAAAATTATAATTGCCAGAATGATTTCCAATCTCCGATAGGAGCGGAACTTGAAGAAGAAGAAGAGGATCTTACCGGGGCAACAAAAGCAGCAGCGTCTCCTCCTAACTCCTTATAATGGTCTCTCACGTCAAATCCAAGTGAAAAGAATATATTGTTCCAAATAAACATCTGCATTTTTGCTTCTTCTCCTGGATTGATAGCCATTACATTTCCGTCTATAACAGCCATAGCACCTCTGGTAGCAGCGGCAACAAAATCACTATGCACTTTAAAAATAGCACGTTCTCGTAAAAGTCTTTCGGGCAAGGTTTTTCTTGGAAGTTCGCGAGTTGTTTGGAGTTCTTCGTTCCAGTCTCTCGTTTGTCCTGGAATATGTTCCTCATATCCCAATTTTGAAGAAAATGCTGAAATTTAAACAAAAATGGATATATTTTATATTACAATTAAGAATATACTATATTAAGAATAGAAAACATTCACTACAAAAAGCATAGTTAATAAAGTTATATAGGGAAATTAAAACTTACTGTCTTCTGCCCTGATGGCGTCCAAAGTGTGATCCATAGTGGGGGCAGTCCAGGCATATAACTGATAAGGAGTAGCTACCCTTTCAAAAGGATGTCGCTGACTTCTTTTTTTCTGAAGCAGTGCAAAGTTTCTTTTGAACTGAGGCGAAATCTGGTTAAGAAGTTCTATCAGTGAGTGGCACAAATGACTAGGAGAAGCTGCTTTTGGGTTAAATTCTTCAGCACTTGATCTAAAATTAAAGAAGGCATTATTTTTAGTACTATTACTAATTAGTAGGATTAAATACATGATTATGAAGAATATTCCGTACAGTAAGCAAATATATCTGGGTATTTTTATTAATAGAGTTTCGTAAAAAAGAGTACAGCGCAAATAGTCACAAAAAAAGTGTGACTATAGTCACAAACCAAGAAATTAAAAGAGATATTAATAACATTGAAAAAAATATGACTTTTAACCGGTTACTGTCTCAAGAAAAAACTTCCGAATGATTGGACTGAAAACTAAATTATTGAACTGATTAAGAAAAAATCTGAAAAATGCAGAATTACAGTGACAGAAAGTGGTAAACACACATAGGATTTGAAAACTTACTGGTTAATATAAAATCCACGTGAACAAGCTGAAATATGATAGTGCTTTTCCTCTAAAGTGACAACATACAAATACATCAAGTCTCCATGAATTTTTCTATGTCCGGGTGGTGGATTCCACGCTGAAGTTGTCAAAACTTTGATACACTGAGGAGATTTTTGTTCTTTAATCTGAGGTTGTAGGGCAGTTAGAGATCTTTCTTTGCTATCTGGCATAATATAGTCGGGAGGCGTACAATCTACACTTTCTGGGCGCATCTTTTTCTTTTCTGAAATATGAAAAAAAATATTATATATAATTCTAGTAATTTTGAATTCTATCATTGGCGACGCGTCTGAGCGGATGATTATTTAGTCTGTCAGTGGAAAGAGTATGCTGTGTAATTACCATCGAGCAATAAGACAAAAGAGGGAATCTAATCCTTATGAAAAGGAGACCAAAAAAGTGGCCTCTGATGGCGGACATATCTGGAAATGCGAATGCGCGGAATTTAAATTTTCCGACACTTATCACCAGTAGCTATATAATATTTTTCAGAATTTGTCTTAGACGAGAAAGTTTTAATTAATTATTAATGATAAGAGTCTAAAATGCGACACAATTGTTAAAAAACTTCAATATAAATAAGATTTCATGTGACATTTGGGACAAACAATAACATAACCCAACTAAATTTGATGTCAAACAAGGAGAGATACTCTCTTTCCTTGTTTAATGTGGCCTCTAAAGATCGCACTTCCTGTCTAACAATATGTTTGCCCCCACTACCTTTACATTCCCTCTATTGTCTTTTTGCTCGATGGTAATTACACAGCAAAATAAAGACACAACATATGAATCAGCGGATTGCTGCAACCACACAACGAAGCAAATGAGGGAATTACAGGAATAATAACACAGCCCAACAAAATTTAAAAATTTGGTGCTTAAGAAATATAGAATTTAAAATATTTTTTAATAATGGAATTTAGAAATTTAAATAATGTGTTAAGATAGCTTACAGAATAGCTTATTGTTCTTGACTTTTACTCAGATAAAAAAAAACAGAATTTTGCTGAAAAGCCAACGAAATCTAAAATAACAAATGACAATTCAGCGCCTCAAATTTCTATAGCTAAATATAACTATTTAAACCTAATTCGGCCTGTTTCACCATGGTGGGATGATGATTGCAATATTCTCATATCAGTAAAAGTTTCGGTACTATTTAAATGAAAAGGATGATGAAATTTAGTCATAAGAGGTCTCCCAATAAGAATGTCCTGATGTTTTTTTAAACAAAAACGGTAAAAATTGCTGTAAACCAAAAAAAAAATGTATTGCAAAATATAATAGATAACAATTGTGTTCCGGATAATACATCATTCAAATGTCCACCATGACTAAGTTTGCAGGAGCGAATCAGATGAACCCAATTTTCGGTCACTTTATGCAAAATATCCGCATTAATCTCATGAATGGTGTGCTCTCTGTTCCTCTTCAAGTCTTCAATAGATTGTGGTTTGTTCTCATAGACCAATGACTTAACATAGCCCCATAAAAAATAATCCATCCTCCTGGTCGAAGTTGCTGAAGTTTCCTGGGATCTCTGGCATCAAGAGAAATCAATGTTTCCGGGAACTTTTCCTTCAATAAATCAAAGGTTGGGGCAGTAGTGTGACATGTAGCACCGTCCTGTTAGAAAAACATGCCATCCAAATCCATTTCATCTAACCGAGGCCACAAAAAATCCGTTATCATCGTTCGATACCTCTCACCGTTGACGTGATGCCACCATGCCATAAACCACACCAGACAGTGACTTTTTAAACCAATCCAAAGATTTCAAATAGTACCACAAAAATGTATTATTGAAAACAAGAACATACCACTCATATTTATGTTTAATACTAAAGGATCAGATGAAAATTAAATATGTCAGAGGATATAAATATGCTAAAACTCTTCATAAATTGTTCATACCATACAAAGACATAAACAACAAGAGATAAAAGTGATAGATACTCAAAAATAATAAGAGAATATTTTGTAGCTTATGTGTAGGTATGTTAAATAAAATATCATCACAGAGTATTTGTAAAATCATATTTTATCATAAATAAAAACCTAGAAAACTCTACAGATGTTTTAAAAAATTCCAACTGAAAAAATTGTTGCTAATATCATTCTTGATACAACTTCCTATCTAGAAAAAGTAAGCGAAAAAGTGTACAATATGATCAATCATGATCTTACCCTATTAATACAATAGACTCTCACCTCCACCTATTGGTAATGAAGCCTGGTAACCTGAGCAACCCTGTGAAATATTGTGGTAAACAACCTCAGTGGGAAGCAGGGTCAGGGCTACTGACAGCTGGCGAAATGGACCTCAGAAGACTAGGAGGTTGGGCAGAAGGTTAACGGCTTTCTTAGGAGTATGAAGCGGCAGAAGACTACCACAATACAGGGTATTTCATTTTCGAGGCGAGTATTCGATTACCCAGATGTATATGGGATGTAATGGAGCGGTTTCAAGTAATTCATGTTACACCTCTGGATACATTGAGTTGTCACATACAATAAACCTGTATAGGTTTAGCGCCCAAGCGCCATTTTGAACAACGAAAGAATTAACCCAAGTTCTGTTAGATTATTATTATTCTCTCCTAAGATTTTAAGACGCAATTTTCAAAGCAGTAAATAAAAACCTTATGAAATTTATGATATAAAGAGTAGACCCCGATTGGCCGAGATCGGGCCAAAAGGCCCGATTCAAACCCGGAAAACCATTAGTTAATTCTGATTCTGTCATTTTGTATGTCTCTGGTTTTTATATTCTATTGCTATTTCTAGGTTGTAATTTCTCAATTATAATCATACACTTACCTAAAATATCACCTTGAGTAATTGTATTTAGGAAACTTAACGAATTGCACTCAACTCCATTGTATGCATCAGCAGGATCCAAAGATTTTAGTAAATCTCTTACATGTCTGACATGTATTCTCGCCTCACGCATCGTGTAAGGTTCCTCTACAACTTTTATTATAGACCCTTCTTTCAAGCCTTCAATATTTTTTAATTCTGCAAAATTGTCTAATGTATTTCCGTCCAATTGTAGAGAAAAGCAGGTGCGATGGCAGGTATCTTCTCTATCCATGAGTAACTGATGTATTTCTTGAACTAGTTCCATACTTGAAACCTACAAGTTGATAATAAAATATAAAAGAAACTGAAAATTAAAATAATTCTAACTATAATAAAGTAAACAGTGCGAGAGGCATTATAATTATCACTTAGTTTTTTTAGATATATTTTTTATAGCAAAAAGGTCTTTACAGCTAAAATTTCTACTAAAGAAGAAAGCCGATGAAGATACAAACTAATATATTAAGCAATGGAGGAAGTAAACAAAATATGTGTTTTTAAAAATAAGAAAAACCAAGGCCAATATAAGGAATATGAAAGTAATTATATATTTTAGAATACTCTAAAAAAATTAAATTCTTTATAAACTGCCTTACAGCATCAAAATAGAAACTGACATAAATAAATATAGAAAAATAGTTGCTCATATACCTTGAACCTTACAAAGTGAAAGAATACCTTCAAGCTGACCTGCAGGCTCTGAGGGGTGAGACTGAGGGCTCTTACCTGAATCTAAATGTCCCTGTTATTATCATTATACAGGGTGTTTCAAAAAAGGTAACCCCATCTCTAGGGTAGGTAAAAAACTGAAAAATAATTGGGGTTTGCTTAGTAAAAAATGTTTGTAACGCCATCAGTTTTCAAGATACAGGGCGTTGAAGAAAAAAAAATTTACGCATTTTTTACGATTTTGCCGAAACTACTGGCAACATTGTAATTCAATTTTATACGAATATTTTTGAAAGCTGATACATCCTATGAATTTGTTTTTATATCTGATTCTCATAGAGGGCGCTAGTTACACGGATCGTACTAAATATTAGTCAATATAACTTTTTTAAGAGTATAATTATTAATCAAAATTTCAAGTAAACTTAAACATCATTCAATTTTACACGAAAAAGGTACTCTTGGTAAAACTCGATACTGTGGACCGTTTTCGGAATATTTTGATTTGAAAATTCTAAAGTAATAATTGATGCTGGTAGTAATGATAAAGTTCTAATAGGTATACCTCTATTTTGTCCAAGTGTACCATGAAAATCTGACATTTATTGATTGTTATGACGATAAATCAACAATAATTAGAGTTTTGAAACCTTTTTATTTGTAAAGTCAAATCAATGAAAATGACATGACATGACCATGAAAATCTGACATTTATTGATTGTTATGACGATAAATCAACAATAATTAGAGTTTTGAAACCTTTTTATTTGTAAAATCAAATCAATATGTACTCAAATGTTGAACACACTGACATGTTATTAACCTTAGGCGAATGTTTAGGATGTTCTAGTGCAGCTGTGACACGCTGTTACATGCACAAAAGTTTCCTCCTAGAAGAAACTTACCAAGAAAAAAACATGTACAGCCGTTGAACGACGTTGTCGAGAAACTGGGAATGTGATACCAAATAAAACAAATTCTGGTAGACCAAGAACAATAAGAATAATTAATAAAGAAAATAATATTTTAAATTTACTTGATCAAGATCCAACAGGTTAGTGCAAGACAAACAAATACTTCTTCTTCAAGTACTTAGAGGATACTGAAAGAACAGCAATTACATCCTTATCATTACAGACAAGTCCAAGAGCTCTTGCCAGATGATCTACCGGTTAGAGTGGATTTTTGTGAAACATTGCAACAAAGGACAGCCCACAATCCAAATTTTTTAAAATGCATTCTTTTTACGGACGAAGCCACCTTTACGCGACAAGGTATGTTTAACTCCCATAATGCACAATACTGGTGTGATGAGTTAAAAGGGTATCACATTACCAACACTCATTTAAAGTTAATGTTTGAGCATCAACTTTAGGTAACAAATTAATAGGTTATCATATTCTACCTGGAAATTTAAATGGTGATATCTTGATTTTTTAAACAATTCCTTATTCGAGATATTAGAAGATTTAACGCTAAACGAGCGAAGATCTTTATTTTTTATGCACGATGGAGCTCCACCACACTTTGATAGAAGGTGTCGTAATTGGTTGAGTAATTATTTTCCGAATCGATGGATTGGTAGAGGTGCAGAAGCTCCGATGCATTGGCCTCCTCAGTCATGCGATTTTAACCCTTTGGACTACGCAGTTTAGTCATATATTAAGGAAAAAGTCTATGCTACAGAGGTAAATTCACGCCAAGAATTGGAAGAACGAATTCAACGTCAATTGCATGACATCATAGCTGATCCCCTACTGTTTAGAAGGTTAATGGAATCTTTAGAAAAAAGAATAGACTTGTGTATTCGCGAAAATGGAGGGCATTTTGAACACTTACTGCAATTAAATTTTATTTTATGTTCTTAGTCATTAATTTAATTTTCTTTTTGTGAGTTTTGTTTAATTACTAACTATTTTATATCAGCATCAATTATTACTTCATAATTTTCAAATTAAAATATTCCGAAAACGGTACAAGTTTCGAGTTTTACCAAGAGTACCTTTTTCGTGTAAAATTGAATGATGTTTAAGTTTACATGAAATTTTGATTAATAATTATACTCTTAAAAAAGTTATATTGACTAATACTTAGTACGATCCGTGTAACTAGCGCCCTCTATGAGAATCAGATATAAAAACAAATTCATGGGATGTATCAGCTTCCAAAACATATTCGTAAATAATTTTATTACAATGTTGCCAGTAGTTTCGGCAAAATCGTAAAAAATGCGTCAAATTTTTTTTTCTTCAACGCCTTGTATCTTGAAAATGGATTGCGTTACAAACATTTTTTACCAAGCAAACCCCAATTATTTTTCAGTTTTTTACCTACCCTATTGACGGAATGTCAATTTTTTGGAAACACCCTGTATTTTAATATTACTTTTATGTTGTAAAAGTGTACGTTGTTACAGCAACCATTATAAATTGTAATTGACACCATTCTTTCTATTGGCAATTTATATTTGTGTGAACTTGTGAATCCTGAGAATAAAGCTTTTTCTATTCTATTCTATTCTATTCTAAAAGATATATACAAAGAAAGTAAAAAAAAGGATGATTTCAAGAAAGGATGTTTAAAAAATGTAAAACAAACGTCATGTGAGAAGAGCGGTCAACAGTGTCTAGTTTACAAAGAGAAGGTAGTTTTAATAACACAAGAATTATAAAAAAACTGAAGCATGAAGTATAAATTAATTCAACCGATATGACAGATGTGTATAAGAGATCAATACAATCCGATAAAACTTAACACAATTCTTAAAGATAGCATCAAGAAGAATCTATGTACCAAGTTTTAAGACTTGAGGACATTTGCTTCAAGAAGAGGAAAGTGCATAATGTTATGAGAAGGAACAGAAGACTAGGAGAAACCTTTGTACCAAGTTTCATGGCTCTAGGGATCCTTAAAGAATTATTATTAGTTCCTTAATAAAAAGAAAATTAAATTCAAGTTACATGAAAAATATGTTTTAGATATCCACTTGTTATGCCTTTTATTTCTTTCTGTCATTATTTTCTGATATATTATGTAAGACATATATTTTCATTACCTGTATGTCAAACGGTTCTGCACCAGGACTAATAATTTTGACAGAGAAACCAACATCCTGTATAAAAATAACCTCATCTTTATTTTTTCCTTCCTCAGATTCGTCTTTTTCCTTTTCTTCCTCATCTTTGGTCAGTTTGCTTCTTTCTTCTTTGGTTACTGTGTGATCTACAAAAGAATTAAATTTAGCATTACAAAAAACAAAAAACAAAATTTGTATAATTTATAAATGTTTGTATTTTGAAAACGATTTCCGAAGTGGAAATTGAAACGTTAATAAACTTATTTAAACCTTCTAGTGGCTTATTCTCAATAAAATAGCCTTCAAATACTTTAAAAAGCCACAAGAAAATAGCTTCAGAAAAATATTATTACTCAATTCAATATATTGACCTTCAATGTAATTCACAGTAGATATGTATTATTACAGAACAAAAACTCATTAAACTAAAAGAATATACTTGAAACAGCACTTTCAAATATAAAAACATAATTAAAGAATATATGAATATCTAAATAATGTTAAAAATAATGACAAAAAATAAAATATTTTGCTAATAAAACACAATAAGTTTTAAACTTTATACGATAGTATAAAATTACACTGCAAGATCACTACATTCATAACTTACATTTTAAAATGAATTTACGAATAGGAGAACACATTGATAAATATATTGCCAGTGACAAAGTGGCCGCAAATAGTTTTACTTCAGTAATGGTAATAAATTTTTTAACAAAAACTGTAGTAATTAATTTTTTAAATAAAATACGGTGCTTGTACATGCATGTTTTTTTGTATCAAATTAACGCTAATGTTTTTTTAATATAAGAAGAATAATTTTTTACTTTAATAAGTCAGAAAATCAACAAAAAATATGTTTGAAATTCTAAAAATATTTCATACCGAAATGAGAAAAAAATTGCACAATTTTTGGAAGAGTTGCAACTGGTTTCTACATCACGAAATACGCTAGCACTTTTATCCAACCTTGTTTTTAGTAAAGCACAAGATTATACAACTTCGCTAGTCTTTGTGCAGTCCCGACATGGTAACCAGCAACTTTTTGTATTTGCAAAATGGAAAATACCGCTGAAAGGCCAACAACAGGCATACAATTCAAACGAACGCGACGATGGCACTAAAAGCCGTTCAGTAAAAACTACAGTAATCCTTCTTCAACCGCGGGGGTTGCGTTCGGAAGAGAAAGGCGCGGTAGGTGAAATCGTGGTTGGCGATGGATCCAAAAAGGAATATGAAATATAATTCCAATTAGGAGATGATTATATCGTATGTATGTTGCTTAAAGTGAAGAAGGTGATGACTTCTTGGGAGTTATCAATCGTCTTCATTGCTTTCTTTATTATTTTCCAGTATTTCAAGGAGCTCCTGTAAGTTCACGGTCATTGGCGGCTAGAACTTCTTTATAAATTACCTGACTGCAGATTTTCAAAACCTTCCCCATGTATTTTTTGCATCACTTGTATAATATCATTGACTTCCTCTGTTTTATGGGGTACTGCTGAGGTTACCACAATAACTTCTGGCCATAAATTTTTCCAACACGCGTTTATAGTTGTTGGACGTATTTCATCAGTGGCTTCTTTGATAATAGCTACACAGTAAGAAATATTAAATTGTCTCCAACTATCGGTAACGATTAGTACAGGATCAAGTTCCATACAATCGAAAATACGGCTGAATGTGCGCCTTAGATAATACCGTTTAAATTCATCTATTATTCACTGATCCAAAGGCTGTAAAAGGGAAGGGGTGTTAGGCGGTTATAAAGTTATTTCTTACATTTAAAACAATTAAGTTCAGGGATTCTGTATGTCCAGGAGCATTGTCGACAAGGACAAGTGTGTTAAACCGTAGCAATTTTGATGTTAAAACCCACACTTTTTGATTTGCCCTCTAAAATACTGGTAGTTCGTTTTTATTTTTATGTTTAAGAGGTTGTGGATTTAGATACTTATGAATTAGCATTAGCAAATAAAACAGTTAACCTGTCCTTTGCTGCTTTAAAGCCTGGTGAAAATTTCTCATTTTCCGATATGAAGGTACGAGCAGGCATTCTTTTCCAAAATAATTCTGAGGCTAATTCTCCCACAATCTTGACGTTATGTAAAGAATTTTTTTTATTTTCAAACCATTCTTTGTTCGCTTGGAAACTAGAAGATTAGTTGTAAACTTTAAATTATCGTAAAGAGGAAGAGCATTTTTTGTATTATTCCTGTGCTAATTGGCATCCTCTTTTTTGTTTGATCTTTGATCCAAAGGACCAGCGCTTTTTCCATTTTTTCCAAAATTTAAGATTGCGAAAAACAAGTTACTTTCCCATACACTTACATTGCCATAAAAACACTGGAACAACTGGTTTTCTTACTCTTTAATAGTTCTTGCAGTAGATTCATTCACTTTAAACTTCTTCTTCGTACTTCTACATGATTTTTCTGCACATAAAACTGATTTTTTTTACTGAACTGAACTTATCACAAAATCTTTACTATTACTTTCAGATGACGACTTTTTTAAAATAAAAACTGTATGTTAAAACGAAAAATGCAAATTGCTGTTACCCTATGTGAAATGCGAAGTACATTATGTATGTACTTATCTGTGAAATAGCTACTACATACTAAATATGAGGCATAGGAGTGATATCATCGGACGCCAGTGAATTACCGTGTGGACTGTATAGAGTGGAGCATTCGTCAAAAGTTGATTGGGCGGATATAGAAACCGCGCATAAGCGAAACCGCGGTTGATGATTTCGAGAATAACGAGGGATTACTGTATTGGATATCGATTAATAAAGCTAGTGAAGGGTACTCAACAAAAACTGCTGCATATAACGAAAAACATATACTTTTGGGAACATACGTCATAAAGAGAAACTACATTTGCAAACAGATATTATTATGAACAATCTAACTGAAATGAGTATATATTCACAATAAATGGTTGACAATAAATATTTTACATTAACCTGCAATTAAAGTGTAAAATAGTATCAGATACAAATGTAATGAAAAAAAACTTAATACTTAATGCTTATTGATATGAAATACAATGAATTAAAAAATGCTTATTAAACCATAAAGAATCATAAAAAAGACATTTACAAAAATCAGTTAAGGAAAACACTCATTTTTCTACGGATTTTATTCATTAGCAACAGATCCTAAAAAATTTAAAATCAACTTTTTATAATAATATCTAATATTTTCAGATGATGTAATAAAATAATATTACCCCAGCAACATATAAAATAGTTGCTATTGGAATATTCTTCACAGGTATTTTGCAAGAGGTTAATATTTTTTCTAGAGAAAATGTATTAAAAAAACAACTTCATGTAAACTTACTCTTCTTGGGGAGCTTATTTCACAGAGATTTCACCAGTATTTGAGTATTTGATAATAATAATAGTCTACCTTTATACCACTGGCGCAGATTTGGAATTACAGCACATTAGTCTGCTATCTCTTGCACCTTTGATATAGAGGAATGCCTATTATTCAGATTGACACAAGCTGTAGCTTAGATTCCATACCATCTTTATCTTTAGAAATTCTATACAGTCACTACTACAGTGCAGTGATCAGTGAACAGTGTAGTAGTGTCTGGGGGCTCGGGAGACTGAGACCTCGGAAGTCCGGAAGACTGGTGAGTTTAATATTAATTTTTGTAATAGTATTATTTTTCTAATCAGGATCTAGTCGTCGTACACTACTAGCCCCGCTAGACCTTGTTGGAGGAGTGCCTTTAGTGGTACGATTCTGAGTTTTATTATTAATTGAGTGAAGATTTCGTCAAAGATGTCAAAGTTGAAGACTTTATCAACTCCAAAGCTCTTTAATGGTTGAGTTAATATGAAGCTCTGGAGGCTATATGATATCATTTGAACCATAAGAGGTACAAGAACCGGCGATTGTTGACTGACAGCTCTAAAAGTATGTTCCCTGACCAGATAAACACGATCATTGAAATAGGGAAAAGACAGTGGCCTTATAACTATTTCTGATTGTGTCGAACTGACACAGTGTTCCCTGGGCCCACTGACGATCAAGAGAAAATAAAAGTCCCAAGTGGGCTTGGAATTGCTTTTCACTCAGTTGCTGAGCTGCGGTAATACTTCGTCATCAGAAACCTTACGGAAATAGTAACCATCCTTACAGGATCGCTAATATTGTTTCTCGAAAGGTGGATACGGAGTGAGGGCAGTGGAAGAGTCAACACTCTGTCGACATTCTTGTACCTCTCGAGGAGTGTGAACGTGGCCACACACTGTGACCAGAATACTAAACATGCCCCTTGTCGACCACAGACGCCCCGACAAACTTCTCGCTAAGCAGAAGCCTAGATCACAAATTCTCCAAACACGAGGATGGAATCAAGAAACTTACGATCCTCCTCCAGAGTAGCGGTCCAGGCATCAGGAATCCCTGAAGACCTCGGACGATGCTATGGCCGTACGATATGGTGCCCCACGTTGGTCGCCATATCACCAGATGAGACGTAAGCGCCTAGAAAATCCCGGCCACTTAGCCACTCCCACGGTGCCTTACAGAGGGACTTCGACCAGTCAATCCTCTATTTGGGAGCAGACTGGCCGAGAGACGAAAATGTCCCATATTTATGTTTCTACGAGTATATGGCATGTTGTAGCGTTTTATATTTAATGTCTAAATAATAATATAAATTCGATTCTATATAGTACGCCCCTGGTACGCTAGAAATGTGTTGTCTGTAGAGATTTTTAAATACGCAATAATTCTTCAATAAATAAAAACGTATTTGCTAAAGAGAACAATTTATGGCTTTTTAACTTCAACGTTCCCAGAAAAATATTGCAACCATGGTATTATTTTTTCTAAAGCGCAGTAACGCCGGATGTTTTGAACGAATTTGAGTAAAGAATTTGTTGATTTGACAAGATGGCAATGGTTTTGTGCGGGGAAAAGAGGGGTTACTATCCGGAGATTGAGATCGAGAGGGTCAGCGAGGGCAGTGATGAATAATTGCTCGCAGCGAAAGGTCGTTTTAATTATGATGTGGTAAACCGGCATTCATTCGCCAAAATGGTGGAATTTTCATTCTAAGTAATATGTCGTTTCTGAAAGAGTGACCAGTAACCACTGTTTTTATTTTGGCTGAAGATTTATGATGTTTGAGCAGTGAACAAGTTTAGTTCCTGTTTTGTTTTTCGTTTTTTGAGAAATCCAGTTCTTTCCGAGATGCCCTTTTCACCTCATGTAGAATAATATTGGAGCAGTTTTGATTTGGATATGCCAGTTTCAGCTTCCAATAAAGCTTTCTGTTGATGTGCAGTTGGATACCCCGCAGAAGTTAGCCAGTTGTTCAAAAATTTAAGTTAACATGTGTGAACTGAGGTAACATTTACGTTATTAATTTTTAAAGTAAAAATAGACATTTTCTTTTAAAAAGACAAAATTTGCTTTCTTTTATAAATTATTTAAAAAAAAATTTGTAATTATATTATGTTAGGGCCTGGTTTAAACTGTCATGTCATAATTTTATCCTGTTTTAAAAATGTTTGTTTTGACGTATGACAGTTTGATTTTTAATCTATTTTGATTTGTAGTAAAGATTAAATTTTATTCTTTATAAAAGGATATCCATAAAATTTGGCCACATTATCCACTAGGAACCATTTTAGAGAATTTTGTAACCTTTTGTAAACAGATATGTAAGTTCTTTTTATTTGTATTGGACAGCTATTTATATATAATATGCCTTTGTTGCTGTAAGTTGTATTGCTTTATAAGCTGTATTTTTGAAAACTGTTTGAGACAATAATAAATGTTTAATTTGTTTCTCTTATCTATTTTGAGTTTTATTTGAAAAAGATATTTTTTTTCTATATTTTTGGTGTTATACAATTATTTCCTTAGTTACAACTAGTGGTTGTAATAGGTATAATTGGGCACCTCAAGTGGCGCCCTATATTAAATTTCTTGAGGTGTTTCCGTTTATATTCATTCTGTTTGTCCAATAGATTCGTATAAGTACCTTTTATTTCCTTTTTTGCAGTTGCCCCAATCCAACCCCCAATATCTTCAACTTATCCACGACCCAGTTCTCCAACAACCAACTGAGTGTCCGTATGCACTTGTTTCGATTATTTTGTTTGCCCAATCTTGTCCCCCATATTCTTACCCTGTGGTAAGCAAAATAGTTGTTACAATGTTCAGATCTCTCGGCCAAAAGAAAAATCAGAAGATGTTTCGGAAGGGACTACAGCCCCAGATTACACTGCTTCGAATCCAACACATGTTTCAGACATGCATTGATAAGTTGGGCATATTTTTATTGAAGTTGCCATTTATCATTTATAACTGTGGTTTGTCCCAAGAGGGAAAGTCATTACTATAGTTTTGTAATTTTTTCTGCCTTGTGTTCATTGTCATAATCATATCCTTATGACCATTCTAGATTTTCCTACTTTTGTGTTGGTTTCTTGCAATGTCTGCAAATGTGACCTGCTTCGCAATGATTCTTCAACATTACATTACAAATTAATTTTCAAGCCACTTCTTCCAGATTTTGATCTTTCTATTACTCTCCACCAATGATGTGAACCTAATGGCCCTATAAAATTTGATCAGATATTTCTGCAGGTCCCTTTCTCCCTCTTTATCAAAGCATTAAAGAACATATTTACCACTAATTCTTTGAGAATGTTGTCAGGTGTTTCTAGGTAAGCTAATCACACCATACTAGCAACATCCACTTCAAATTCCTGCACATTAGAGTCTACTTTGTAGTTGTGCTTTGTATCTCCATAGTGTTTTCCAATCAATTGAATAAGGAACTTTAATCAAATAAAAGGCAGATATCCAGCAGAAATTTTTATTAAATCTTGCCTAAGTACTTTTGCTGTCAGTACAAGTATCTTCAGGGGCATTTCAAAGGACAAACAGTTTTTTTTACATTTGACAAAATTTACATTTGAAGAAGTTACATAGTGGGTGACAGCAGGAAAGAGACTCTCCTGCTGTCACCCACTATGCAAAAATATATATTTTTATAGCAAACCTAAGCATTTATTTGGATTTATTATATTAATGGGTGTATTGATAGCATATATCATAGTATAGTTGTTAGCAGTAAAATCTAAGCCAAAATCTTATATGAATGGAAGATGTACAACAAATCAATTGGCTGTATATTACAATAAAATTGGAAAAAAATCTCAAATTACAAAAACAAAAGAATAATAATAATATTCTCCCTTTATACAACTAGTGTGGAGTTGGGATTATAACAGGGTAGTCTTCTATCTCTTAAGCCCATCATATACAAGGAAGGTAAAAGAGCTAGTGCTATGCTTCAACCACCTATTATTATCTGAAGCCAGTAGATATTTAAAAACATGTAGATTTATGCCTGTGCTAGGATTGATCCCTGAGCTTCTGAGTGAGAGTCAGACATTCTACTGCCTAAGCTACCTGGCTTGCAAAAAAAAACAAAAAAATACTTTGCAAAATATTCATAAAGACCAAGAAGAATCTCCCAAAATTACAAATTTGTACAAATATAAGAGTTATCCAATTGAGACTATCATCTTAATCTACTAGTATCCCTACATTATATTTACTATCTTTAAACAGTTCCTTGAGTTTGTTTAATTATAAGTATATCTCAACCAGAGAGTATTTTTCAAGTGTTTATGTATTTAGTTTGGTAAAAATTGATGAAAAGAAATTCAGATAAGTCATTGGTTGATCCTAAATAAAGTATATGCATGTAAATTACTGATATTGTTATAAATATTAAAATATAAATAACTGGACATCATTGATAAATTTTTAGTAGCGAAAGACGCAAATATGATATTTTATAAGAGTCAGTTTACTTGATACTTTTAGTGATAAAATGGGTGTTACCACAAAATTACCAAAGTTTATTTTAATAGAATGCAATAGATATTAATTGTAAATAAGTTATGGTAACACACTTTCGTTATATTCAATTATTAAAACCCAAAGTAGTTTTTAAAAAACTTCCAAATCTAATAAAGTTTAACTGCAAGCAATTATGTCCGTCAATGTCATTTAAAATTCACTCAACTTATTACATATGAAGAAGTATAGTTACGTAACAAAATAAAAACTATAGAAAACCGGCGAATATATTAAATAAAAATAATATTACATACCTTGTAAGTTCTCATCAAGTTTATTATTCACTGTATCACCTTTAGATTCCAAAGTCTCAGAATCAAACTTCGTTTCATTCACTGATGCTCCAAGAGCCATTTCTCTTGTTCAATAATTATTTTTTAGTTAAAAAACACTTAATTTGGTTAGACCTCTTTGGCACAAGCACTCTTCCACTCTCTTTAAACGTCTAGTTATGTGCAGAACTGGACATCTTCTTGAGCACGTGCTTTGCAATTAACCCCCACTATGAAAAAATTATTATGACGATGACCTTTGCCATACATTTGCCCAATGACAGAATACACAAATGCCAACTATTAAACAAAACATAAACAGAACTAATTATTTGATTAAGTAGATAGTTTTAATCAAAGTTGTCAATTTTCAGTTTAGTTTTTATAAGCATGATAAGTATGATAAAAAATAAAATATTATTATATCATTTTATATATTCTCCATTCGCTTAGCTCGGGCATATTTTGACAGATTCATTGTCGGAAACCTACAACCATAGAGAAATAACAATAAGTTTATTTGTTATATCTCTATGCCTACAACACAAAAATTCCTACGTCTCAGTATTAATAGCTCAAATATACTACTATTGCAGACTTCTTTCTTAAAAAAAAAAGAAGAATTATTCCAAATAGTGAAAGTGTATACTAAACCCATAACATTTTCCCTGTATATTTAAAATATAATATATGAGTTGTTACAATTGAACATATTGTAGTAAATATTTGTATTATTCGCGTTGTTTATTTTAGCTAATATAGTTTTATTTTTCCATTATTTTTGTTTAATTCTTTGTTAGTGCTATTTAGTTAATTAGTTAGTTCTATTTTGAATTTTATTATTAGAGATAGTCAAAGATTTCCATTTGTTCTATCAGATAATGCGTTGGTAAGTTTTTCTTGAATAAATATAAATATGATAAATGTTCTTTAAAAGTTAATATTTTTAGATGAGTAAGGATGCTGTTAAATTACGAGGTAATCAAACTGCACAAAGATTTATTCAAAACACCAACCATTTTTGTTTAATTATTTGCCCATTCGGCGTAGGTGGATCATTAAAATATAATTATAAAATTATGTAAATATGTTCTTAATAACAAAAACATTTCAGTTAACATCCAGTTCAGTTTAACATGGCGTCAAAAAATAAATAAAAGCTGTGATAAAAGTTACAGTAATTTAGCTTATATCGTTAAGTTGCTCCAAATGTAGGCAACCAACTTAAATTTTGTGGAGATTTAGCTGGAGTTTCTTGAGAATATTTTTAATAAACGTTTATTATTTTCCAGTTAATTTATTATTTTTTAAAAGTGATGATAATACTGCTGAATAAGCAATATTTCAAATGATATTTAATCACAAAACGTTCTTAATATTGTGTTATTGTAAAATCCTCATAATAAAGTACGTTAGATAAAAAGGTAAAATCCCGGGCCGTCCAAAACTAGTTTCTAATAGGAATAATAGAATATTATGATTTGTTTTAATTATATTTTTGATGATATTGGATATTTTTGAATTATAATATGAATATTATGATATTTTTTATCTAACCTACTTTATAACTATTCAGCATCATTATCTTAAAAAATAATAATAAATTAACTGGAAAATATTAAATATATTCTCAAGAAACTCCAGCTAAATGTTAACAAAAATTTAAGTTGGTTGGCTACATTTGGCGCAACCTAACGATATAAACTAAATTACCGTAACTTTTTTATAAAACATATTTTTTATATATAATAGAAACTTACATTCTATATACATGCCAAAGAATATAGACGCTTAAGCGTCTATATTCTTTGTACATGCTATAAATTTCTAATTCATAGTATAAGTTTGCAAAAGAGGTCGACGAAATACTCTAATGAAATGCGCTATGAGCACGTGTACTTGGTTGTATAATAATTTCCATCCACTTCTAGTCTGTCAAAAGTCTGTCAAAAGTAACTAACTTCGTAAAAACATAATAAACATAGCCAAAATCAACGAACGTTTTTATTGGGCACCCTTCCGTTTGGTGGCACTGCTAGTCTCGTTCCTGTTTGTTATTCGCTATAACTTTATGTCATTAAAGCATCGAGCAATAAGACAAAAGAGGGAATGTAAAGGTAGAAGGGGTAAACATATTGATAGACAGGAAGTGCCATCTTGAGAGGCCACTTTAGACAAGGATAGAGAGTCTCTCTCCTTGTTTGACATCAAATTTAGTTGGGTTATGTTATTGTTTGTCCCAAATGTCACATGAAATCTTATTTATATTGAAGTTTTTTAACAATTGTGTCGCATTTTAGACTCTTATCATTAATAATTAATTAAAACTTTCTCGTCTAAGACACATTTTGAAAAATATTATATAGCTACTGTTGATAAGTGTCGAAAAATTTAAATTTGGCGCCTTTGCATTTCCGGATGTGTCCGCCATCAGAGGCCACTTTTTTGGTCTCCTTTTCATAAGGATTAGATTCCCTCTTTTGTCTTATTGCTCGATGCATTAAAGTAAAAGTCCATAGTACACACAGTATATATATAGAATTTTTCATATAAAAAAGCTTGCACGTCATTCAAGATTTACGTCGTCAGAACCATAATACTAGGATAAGAAGATAAGATATTGCGCATAAGTCGTGACGTCATTGGAGAGTTGCACGTTCTAAATGTCAGTTTTTTGTATGTGTCAATAAATAATATTTAATAAATAGTTTGGAGATATCCTTATGTGTACAATTATTGTAATTATTGAACTTCTTAACTTATTTTCGTCCAGTAATTTCATCACGGAATGCATACAAATCCCATTTAACTTTAACAAGAATTCAAATTCTACTCTCCAATGACGGCATGCGCGAACACAACCGATTTTGGGCTACGGGAAGATCCTATTTTGTTATTCATAGTATCAAAGAATATAGACGCTTATATTCTTAGAAGCGTTATTCTATAGAAGCGTCTATATTCTTTGATAGTATCATGGTCAGAACCATAGATTAAGTATATATAGTCAGAACCCCACAGCGTGGCCAAAACATCAGATTAGTTAGTAAGTGAGGAATTTTTAAAATGTCAACTATTTATCAAACTATTATATGAACAGTAAATACACTTACTTTTAAGACTACTGCAACAACAATACATAAGAAAACATTTTAATACAAAATTTTGTATTCTAAATATTCATTCCCTCTATTGTCTTTTTGCTCGATGCATAAAAGTCATGTCAAATTTGTGTTTGCGGTATTGCCATGTCCGTATTATGTGTATGTTTTATGCCTCAAATATGCTTTGAAACAGTACATTTTTATTATATTATTTTATGAAATAGGCTATTTTTTAAAAGTTTTTAAATTTATATGACACACGAACGAATGGATATTTGTTTCTTTTGATATTAGTTGCAGTTAGTTATTAGAAAAAAATGTATAATTGGCCTTTGGTAGATTAGTAAATAAACATGGCAATACTGTCAAATGTAGTTGCCAGATTGCAACAGATGTTTAGCAGATTTTAATTTTATGAATATTTTCTTATAATTTTGAGATAAAATGGAATCTGAATACAAGCTTAAAAAATTAAAGTTCATTTAAATTATAATAAATTAAATTTAAATTAATTAAACTTCTTTTAAAAACTTAAAAAGAATGTTTAGTAACTTTAATTAATATTTATATTGCATGCTCTTTCGTGATTTATTTGCGATATGGCAACACTGCCAAATACAAATCTGTCACTAATTTGTAACTAACTTCATCGGCAGTAATCGGCACTTTCTCTATGCTTCTGCCGTATAGAGTAAGGGTTTTGTTGTTATTTCAGGATTATATTGATTTGTCTTACTTTAAAATTAAAGTTTAGGATCGTAGGTAATTTTATGTGCCTTTTTAATGTACCGCCATGTATATATAGTCACGCACCCTGGCACTAGGCAATGCGCCAATCGTCATTTTACTTGTTAACATAGGACTGACACTGACTTAGTGGGAGTGTGCTGTGGTAAGTAGTTTTATCCTTGTCTAAGGGTTCTCCTTTAACTTTCACAACAGTTGGCATATCCGATATTTGACACTTTGACAGTTCGAAGGTTCTTGTCACGTCACTGCTTTTTCGTGAATGGGTTCTGGAGAGTACACGTCAACGTCATCTCAGTTTGGTTTATTGTTGGGTGTAATGTTTAAATAAAATAATTATTATTTTGTAAACCTGTGCCATTAAACATATATAGCGATGGTAAGTTTCCAACATACGTTTCCTTTAAGCTGAAAAATATAATTGTGGTTTAAGTTTTTACATTGTTATTAATGTTTTTAGGTGCTAATTGCAGCAGCAGTCTGCACGAAAGCAGGCAAAAGTATGTATTAACAATTCAACTTTTGAATAAACTTACTATTATTTATAATTTTTAGCAATTGTGTCTCGACAATTTGTTGAAATGACCAAAGCTAGAATAGAGGGTTTGTTGGCTGCCTTTCCTAAATTAATTCCTACAGGAACTCAACATACCTTTGTGGAAACAGATTCAGTACGGTATGTTTATCAACCTCTAGAGAAACTATATATGGTTCTTATTACAACTAGAGCTAGCAACATTTTAGAAGATCTTGAAACCCTCCGTCTATTTGCAAGAGTGGTAAGTTTATCTACCCATATATCTTTAATAGTAGGGAAAAGACAATCAAATGTGTCATCTATAAGTCTGCATTTGGTTTTACATTTATTGATGATGACTAAATAAGTATATCAATAAAATTTATTACATCACACATGCTTTATTACAAATTCCTTTAATTAAATTCACTTGCTTGGTTTATTACTTACATACTTATTCAGTGCCAACAGATTAGATTGACTTTAGGCTTGCTTCTTGTCAACCGTAAAGTTATGTTGATAATTATTCAAAACAGTAAATTTATGTTAATATCAATATTATGTTACTGCATTATTATTTGTTGCCGATAATTATAAAAAAATTAATCAGGATTAGACAGAGTGTGTTTTTAAGTTCCACTAGTTTTTATTTTACTTTAGGTATTTAAAAACAATAGTAATTAAGCAAAATAGATAGGTAGGATGAGTCTTAATTGTAGCGTCACATATTCTTCTACCTCTTTGTTATGTCTTTTACTAAGGATTTTGATAACATTGCCTCTGAATATATTCTGATACACCTCTGACATACCTCTGATCTTAACTGTCTTTAAACAGTAAATTGTTTTAAATTAGAATACATGTCCATTGTCCATCATAAATGTGACATAAATAATTCAAATACTGTTGGTTAGAAGGTTTTACTGTGATAATTGTATCATAAATTACAAATTGTAGTTTAATTGCTGACAATTCCTTTTGATCTTATAGCTTAACACACAAAGCTTTATAATATTTTAGTAATTTTCTGCTTGTTTTATTCCTAGAATAATAAACTGATACAACACAGTATTTAATTACGTGACAGAATTCTTAAACATAACATCAACAGGAATTGGTATACCCAGTTCCAATACTTTTGGAGTTTTTTTCAAGAAAAATCATAAGAATATGAGAAAAAGAAGATGTATTGGCCACAAAGCTTTGTACCAAGTTCAAAGACATTTATTTTATACTATATTAAAATAATCCATAGAATCTTAATTATGAATACAAAGGATTTTGTACAAACAGCTTCACAATATGCATTCTATATAAATCTATGGTTGAAGAATATATAAAAAAGCTGAATAAGTGAATAATTTGTTCAGATAGTAAAACTGCTGTTATGAAAATAAAAATATCCACCAACTCAATAGTAATTATATTTTAACCAATATAATTACAAAATTTCAAGAACTGCAAACTCGATAAAACAATGTATTTTTTATTTGGATTAGGATTGTGGAATAAAAGAGAATAAAGAAGTGGACCAAGAAGCTAAAAAAGGAACAGGAGAATATTTAAAGTTTAAATGAAATGCTGATAATGAAATTGGTTGCCACATAAAACCCAAATGACTAACAGAATGGAAAAAATATAGAAACATTCAAAAATGACAATTTTATAAAAACATAGTTACAGTATATCCTTGTACAGTATATCATGATTCTTGTTTCTCTAGCTAGACTCTAGACTGTGAGGAAGTAAATAGTTTTTCTATGTATTGTGCAGATTATGGTTCAACCATGTCTTAACTCCTCAGTATAAATTTAAAATAAAATTAAGCTATTCTCCTAATTGTCCATGCAGAGAAGAAGGTACAATAGAGCACATGATATTAGGCTATTCTAAAATAATAAATGAAGTAAAATTATTAAATAAAGGAATAACCAAGATATCTGAAATCATCAAACTATATAACCTAACCTGATTATTAAGATTAGAAGATTATACCATTTATCAAATGTTGTACAAACCTATTTTATGTTTTAGTTTAAGATTATAACTTATAAATATATTAGAAAAAAAAAAAGATGACAAACATATAAATATATAAAAAATTGTAAAACTATTAAAAAAGGAATAACGGAAAAAATAAAGCAACACAAGAAAACAACTTAATTTGATCAAAATTGACAGTTGATTAAAATTTAACCAACATAGCAAAAATAATTACTAAATTTACACACAGGCAGACGTAATCAGTGAATTGGATATATCAGATGAAAGAGAATTAAAAATGTGAACGAAAAAGTCAAAATATAGGGGGTGTCTTATAAAAAAAAAAACATAGTTTGGTATGATATTACCTTAGTGAGACCCCCTAATTAAATTTTAAATTAGTCTTATAAGTTCCAATAAAGTTTTTAAAATTTATTGTTAGTAAAAATCTATATCCCTGTTGTTTTCCATATTTTTCATTAATTGCTTTATACCTCGCTAATGTGAAGGGCTATTGATGATTTGATTGGACAATTGTTACTGTAACAAAACAGTCTCCGTTTGGCTCGTGGAGATCAGAATATGGCCGAGGCCTGTCATAAGAGGTGACTAATGAGAAGGAACTCAGAGGTGGAGAGCTGTTGCTTGAGGTGGCGGATTTGTAGAAACGCACTCGAGAAGCTTAGGCATCTCAGTCCCCGGTCTACACTCCTAGTATCAATGCCTAGAATCGCCAGTATCAATGGTACAAGACAGTGAAACCACTGTTAACTACATATCTGTAAACAGAATTTGATGTATAATTCAGTGGTACATAATAGGCTACAGTCTTTGTAAATTAAGGAAATTTTTACCCTTTATTGGGGTCAATGTTAACAAGATTTTTCACAAAATTATGGCACATTAAAAGCTTAAAATAAATTAATCTTTATACTAATAATTGACTTTTAATTTAACAAATTTATATTATAGAAATATTGAGTCTGTGCAGTTGCAAAAGTACTTTAACAATAATTAGATTTTTAAAGTTAGCGTTAACTTACAAGTTAAATTTTGTATATTTCAGATTGAGTAGGTTCTTAAATAATAAATAAATTCATTATATGAACCATACATACCTACGATTTACTACCTGCTTAGAATTTTGATGTTTCAGTTAGGCTGTCAAACATTAAGAAATACTATTTTGATAGATTTGTTTTTAATTTTTACAGATTCCTGAGTACTGCAAATCTTTAGATGAAAGTGAAATTGCAGAAAATGCATTTTCACTTATATTTGCTTTTGATGAAATAGTGGCATTAGGTTATAGGGAAAGTGTCAATCTGTCTCAAATTCGCACATTTGTGGAAATGGATTCACATGAAGAAAAAGTATACCAAGCTGTGAGACAGGTAATTATCATTTTTATATATTCAAAAATAAGTGAGATATTTGCAAATTAGACAAACAATATGGATTACATATGATCAAAGCAAAAATTCCTCCTTATTCTTTTTTAATTTTACTGATTTACATTTTTTGTTTTTGTGATTTTAAGGATTTTTTAACATAATTCATACATAAAATTTATTTCTCTGAGTAAATATTATATATATTTTTTTGTATGCTCAGACTCAAGAACGAGAGGCCAAGAATATGATGAGAGAAAAGGCAAAGGAACTTCAGAGACAGAAAATCGAAGCAGCCAAAAAAGGAGGGAAGACCTCATATGGTAGCAGCGGTGGTTTTGGCAGCTCGACAGGTTATACTCCTACGCCATCTGTCGGTGATGTAGCTAACCAGACAAATGATGTTAAAACTTCATCGTACACACCAGCCCCTGCACAGTGAGTATAGTATGTAGAGTAGTAGAGTACATCACAATTTTTTCTTTGCAATTTTCTTCCAACAAAAATAATTTGGTAATTCTTCTTCTGCAAGTGCCATCTCCGTGGAGGATGTCGGCAATCATCATAGCTATTCGGACTTTTGAGACAGCTGCTCTGAAAAGTTCATTTGATGTACATCCGTACCACCCTCTCAGGTTGCGCATCCATAACATTCTACGCCTCCCTATGCTTCTCTTTCCTTGAATCTTTCCCTGCATAATCAGTTGGAGCAAGGTGTATTTATCTCTACCTGTAATATGTCCGAGATATTCCAATTTTCTTGTTTAAAATTGTATTTAAAATTTCTATTTCTTTATTCATCCTCCTCAGAATCTTTGTTTGTGACGTGTTCAGTCCACGATATTTTCAGAATTCTTAAGGTCCAAGATTTCATTCCATAAAACAAAGTCAAAAAACAGCATCTCGCAATCTTTTAGTTACAATTTTAAATCCCTTGTACATAGCACTCTTCTCATTTTGTTGAAATTTGCTCTAGCCTTTTCTATTCTGATTTTGATCTACTGAATGTATTCATTTGTGGAGTTAGTCATTGTTCCCAGATATGCGTATTTGTCCACTTGTTCGACGTTCGTTCCGTTTATTCGAAGATTCTCGTTATTTCTTTGAGTTTTCGATATTCTAATAAAGTTCGTCTTCTTGATATTCATTGTTAGACCATACTTTTTTCCATACTCCACTATTCTGGTCACCAGTCTCTGAAGAATTTGGTAATAATTCGCTTTAAATACTATAAAACGATAACTAAAGTTTTTATGATCGGAATGAATTATACAATCCTGAAACGGACATTTTTCCGTTCTTTTGTGAACCATGGGTGGAACAATAGAAATTAAATAAGTAAATTAATTAAGTAATTAACCCTTTCGCTGCGTTACGATACAAATAGACCTCGTACAATCATTAACGGTTGGCTGCGTCGCCAGAATGTGGAAAATTATCTCAAATTGCAAAAAGTATATTTTTCTCATTATTCAAGATAATTTATTAATTCTTATAGGGATGTATTCAGTTGTAACATACTGTCTTATTGCGGTTTCAAAACCATATGACCTGATACAGCGCTGCTGAGAATTATTTTTGTTATGCAATTCAAAGGTCCGGGAATACGAGACACCAATGACCTATGCCGCACTGATCCGACAAGAATTTGCATGTCTAGAAATTATTTGTATTGTGTTGTTTATGAATTTTGTTTCAGTCGAACCACAGTTGCAATAAGAGCTTTTTCTAATTATAGAATTCTCTTGAGAGACAATTAGTAGAATTGGCACAAGATGTACAGTTGCGGTCACGGAATAGTTTACAGGTTCACGTATCTAGGAGCCCATTTTTTTAATTTTTACTTCGTTTAAACGCACCTTTTACGTCAAAGTGACGTTGCCAGTGGTGTACTAGCTAGAATAGGTAGATTAAAATTAAAATATCAAAATATTTTACAAAATGAAAAATATAGAAAACAGTTTTTTGAATAAAATGGATTATGATCTTAATAACGAAAATAAAGAAGTCTTTTTTTTTAATATGCATTTTATTTTAAATCTATTTTATATTAAATAACGATAAACAATGATAAATAATAATTAATATTTGGTGGAAGCCCCATTCTTGTCAATACAATTTTGCAGTCTTCTGTTCATAGATAGCACCAATCCCCTCATGTTATAGTTAACAAGCTTTTCCCATGCCTGCTCAATTGCTTCCCATAATTCAATTCTATTCCGTGGTCTAAGGTTTCTTTCATTTAGTTTCTTTGTTAACTCTGCCCACACATTTTCGACGGGGTTAAAGTCTGCACTACGGGAAGGCCACGGAAGAACATTAACATCAGTTTCTTCTAGCCATTCTCGAACAATTCTACTCGCATGCACCGGGCAATTGTCATGTTGGAAGATCAAGTCGTTGTTGGGGAATCTCTGGATCACCGATGGCAACATTGTGTGCTCAATAATATGTTTGTAATATAATCCTGTTAACTTCTCCTCTACATGATAACAAACGCCCGGGCCTTCGGCACTTATCCATCCCCATACGTTGACAGAGAATCCTCCACTATTTCTTAAATGATGCGTATACTGTTCATCATACCTATGATTTCTCGGCCTATAAACTCTTATTCGACCATTATTATACGACTGAAATACTTTTTCATCGGAAAATACAACCCTAGACCAAAAATTCTCATCGCGGTTTATAAATTCATTACAAAATTCAACTCGTCTCCTCTTGTGATCCTCAGTCAAAAAAGGTTTCCGTGCAGCTACACAATTTAGCAGTCCACTTGCTTTAATTCTTCGACGTGCAGTGCGAATACTGCCTGGAAACGCTGCCTCTTCTCTTGCCTTTTGAGCTGTGGCAAAAGGAGATTCTCTCAAATAATCTACTAACATCTCATCCTATTGATCTGTGGAAATCTTCTGCCCTCCTGAACCGCCCAACCGTGCTATAGAGTGAAAATTATCCCATCTTTGTTTAATCTTCCATATGCACATATGACTCACGTTCAAATCAGCAGCAACTTGCCTTAGTGACCAACCTTCTTCGAGTTTGGCAATTGCTCTTGCTTTTTGCGCATAATTCAAATGTATTGTAACCATTTTGGAAGAGTTTAATATACTTTTATTTTATTGTTGAACACTCGCGAAAGCATTGACGTTTTGAAATTTTTTGACTTTGACATTTATCAAATCCGTACGACACTGCAATTTTACAGTATCAATATAAAAAGTAGGGTGTAAACTATTCCGTGACCGCAACTGTACCTGAATTAAGTGATTCAGAGAGGTTTGATAAAAATTTTGATAATTCAGATTTAGATAGAAATTGTGTGCCTTCTTCCGAGTAATCAGATCTGACCATTTCAAATGTATGTATGGAAAAAACATGGTTTTGGAAAGAATGCAAAATTTAAACATATGATTCAATGTTGTTATTAATCGGATAACATTTATGACTTAAATTTTGACAGTCGTTACGTATCGAATCTTTTAGTGACAAATATTCTTTTAATTTTTTTACTTATTATTTTTTACTTGTCTATATTTTCTTAGTGACACAACGTCATAATGAGTAAGACGAATTGATCGAGAGTAGTAAATCGATGTCTAGAACCGCTATTCTGTGACGCTACCCGTGACGACGCCACCTTGTGTCGCTTGTTCCGTGACGCTCGCCTCAGCATTTTACTGTAGAGAAAAAAAGTAATACAACGCCAGAATAGAAGCTTCGCTTCAAAAAATATTACTAAGTTTATTGTTATTGGCAAGGATCAGATCGCAGTAGCCCTAGTGTTGGCTTCATCTGGAATATCTGCAACTTTATTAGAAGGCAGACGAATTGCACATTTTGCCTTGAAATTATCATGAAAGATACAAGTTAATGAAACACCAGATTGCAACATTGCCAAAAATAGCGCAATGGCGAAGATTTTACAGGTATACAAATTAATTGTTTGGGATGAATGTACATTGGCTCACTAGAGGTCATTACAGGGACTGGACAGATCTTTGAAAGACTCGTGACAATCAAAATAATTTTTGGTGGAGTAATAATTCTATTGTCAGACTTTTCCGGTTGAGTTTACCAAAAGTACAAGCTGAGTATATCTGCAAATGTCAACCCTGAAATAAAATATTTCGGTTTGACAGTATTGGGATGTTTTTCTAATACATATGTTGTATGCTTCAAATATAAAGAGAGAAAATTTTTAAAAAGTATATTTTGATTATACTATTTTGTGAATTCTGCAATTTTTAATTTATATGTAATAATAACGAGTAAAAGTTTGTCTCTTTCGAGATTAATTGCAAACATCTGTCCCCTAATCTATCAATTGGCAATTGCCAAAAAAATTTCTAAAATTTCTAATAATTAACTGCAATTAATCTCCAAAGAAACAAATATTTACTCATTCTTGTTTTATATAAATCAAAAATTGCAGAATTCATAACATAATACAAACAAAATGTACTTTACTAAAGCTTTTTGTTATATTTGAAGCATACAGCATCTGCATTATAAAAACATGCCAACACTGTTAAACCGAATTTTTTTGTTCCATGTTTGACATTTGCGGCTTAATCAGCTTGTACTTTCGGTAAACTTAACCACTGTTCCTTATTCCCCAATTAACACCTTAATAATTATTCCCCAATTAACAGCTGCGGACGAACTAAACGCATGCTTAATATCATCCAATTTGTGGCGACATGTAAAGACGCTCCAGTTGACAAATAACATGCGAGTGTTAATGCAACAAAGTCTCTGTCGCTGTTGACATCTCGACCGGATTCATTTTATTACCCAGCGATTTCTGTTACTTAACAGACTCTAAAGACGAGCTTATTGAACTTTGATACATTATTTAATTTTAAGATTTTGACAATAGTGCCTGTAGAATAGAGTACTCTTTTTAAAAAAATTAAAAAAAAAATATTTTTAACAAAAAATTTATTGTTTTAGAAAACCTCGGGGTATGAAGTTAGGTGGAAAAGGTAGAGATGTAGAATCATTTGTAGATCAGCTTAAATCGGAAGGAGAAAATGTCATTACTCCAAACAAAAATAGTATTTCACAGCCAGGAACTAAAGCTCCAGCTATCAAAACCGACATCGATGAGTAAGTATTTTTGTTTTTTACCTTTTACATTACAACCACAACAAAATTTACCTGACCTGAGGAACTGTTCTTTCTGCAAATTCTTCATAAAATTTCGGATTCTCTCTACTTAAGTTTATTTTGTTCTAGTGTTCATTTAAGATTGGAGGAAAAATTAATAGTGAGAATAGGTCGTGATGGTGGTGTACAACAATTCGAATTATTGGGACTTGCTACTTTACACATTGGAGATGAGAGATGGGGTAGGATACGTGTGCAATTGGAAAATCAGAATACCCACGGTGTTCAACTTCAAACACATCCAAATGTAGATAAAGAATTATTCAAACTACGCTCACAGGTAATGTTTATGAGAATATATGAATTTAATATGTACATTGAATAGAATTTTCATTTATCACAAGCAAACATGAGCATTTGAATATCAACAAATTCCCCAGACATAGTTCCCCTAACGTATCTTGAATATACACAAATGTTGCAATAAAAAAAACTTACGGGAGAGAGGTAACAACTCGAGTGAAAGGGAATAATCTGTTATGCTCCTTCGTGAGAGAGGAACATTTCAGGAATAAATATTATGACAAAACTTCAATTTTGACGTAAGTTGGTAAGAGCATTTTTAAATCGTATAGCTAATAGTAAGAATAATATTATTCATTTCGATAAATATTTAAATTAATAAAATAAATTACCTTGTATGGTTCAATCTGCAACAGTAATTTATGCACAGTTTTTGAAGTGAAAATTTCTTTAGCGACGTTTTGGATGGGGAAAAAGCAATCAATTCGCAATAGATTTTTGCGACCGTCACCGCTACGTAACTTGATCGCACAGCTGGAGAAAGGCTCGTCGGATCATGACGTATGAGGTCTCGTTGGAAAGGGGAGAGGGTAACTAGTGTATGGAAAAACAAACATGGCGGCATTGCTAGAAGGTATTACATCATACATCCGTTATTATCGGTCCGATTGGAGCGTGTGATGCGTTCAATCAAAGGAGAGGGGATAACGACTATATTAAGATAGAAAAAACAAACAAGGCAAGTACCAAAAGGGCATTACACAGCATTTTCGTTATTAATGAATGTATAGTTACATATGAGATATCTCTGAGTACAAAATAAAAAACTGATCGAATCCTAAAATGCGACAAGAAAATTAAAGGGAAGGATATAACGATTATATTAAGATAGAAAAAAACAAACAAGGCGAGTACCAAAAGGCATCGAGCAATAAGACAAAAGAGGGAATCTAATCCTTATGAAAAGGAGACCAAAAAAGTGGCCTCTGATGGCGGACATATGTCTTAGACGAGAAAGTTTTAATTAATTATTAATGATAAGATTCTAAAATGCGACACAATTGTTAAAAAACTTCAATATAAATAAGATTTCATGTGACATTTGGGACAAACAATAACATAACCCAACTAAATTTGATGTCAAACAAGGAGAGAGACTCTCTTTCCTTGTTTAATGTGGCCTCTAAAGATCGCACTTCCTGTCTAACAATATGTTTGCCCCCACTACCTTTACATTCCCTCTATTGTCTTTTTGCTCGATGACCAAAAGGGCACAACACAGCATCTTCGTTATTAAAGAAAGTATTGTTACATACGACATATCAGATAGCACTATCTTTTATTTAACGAACTTAATTTATTTTTCATTTCACTTATCATTTTAATTTCAGTGTCATCATATTTTCAATTTCAACGCAATTTAAGATGTTTCTACTTCTGTTGACATTCCTCCAAGTGCAATACCTTCTTGTTTTTATATTGATTTAATTTTGTCATCACCCTGCAAAGCGCTCCAAATATCATTTTTTAAATAATTAAGTAGTTGCTTGTATTATAAAAGATGTTCCCCTATAACGTACCAAAATTCAAGGTTTGAAATATAAATTGTTTTTAGGTTATCTCGATTTAAATCTTTCCAAAATACTCTTTAACTATATAATACTGAATTCAACCTTTTATTAAGTTGCTGTTGAGGCTTTCCCGTAGCGTTAATTAAATTTTTATACCTATGTGTAATGATTTCAACATTTCTATATATAATAATTAATCATTTGCTGGCGAACCACTTTGACATTTCTCCCCAAATTTCGACAGATTCATTTGGTAGAATTTCCAAATAATTGACAACCTGGATTTGATGGGATATATCCTGATTCACTACTCCACTGCGAAAAAAAAAAACAATGAAATGGCTGAACACATTTTACTTGCACATTTAACATCTGAAGTATTGCCAAAAGCTTTTATAAAGTCAGTAAAATAATCGCTGTACTAAAATCCAATATACCCTGAGACAAAGTCGAAAACTACCGCCTTATAGCACTTCCTATTTGCTATTAAAAACTTTTAACACGACTTCTGCTCAACAGAATATTCACATGAATTCTGGAAAATGTTCCACCCGAACACATATTGAAGACGGCTTCCAAAAACAATAACCTCGGAAACCTTTTTGGATGGTGCTAGAAATGTCACCAATGGACACACTGCGAACGGCAGCTAGATGGTTAGTGGATATCGAGTCGGGGATTCGAAACTAGCTTTTAGAACCGGGAATTGATCCAACAGAAGAAATAATAAAGATAAGATAGATTAGAGAAGACAGAGAAACAGATAACAAGAGAGATAGGTAAAATTACCAAAGATAAGACAAGATAAGAAAACGAGCATCACTTAGGAGAACTTGATGTTTTAAAAAAATATTCAAAAGAGTAGATCATATAAATATCTCTTCTTAATGTTTAAGCTTATCTCGAGATAATTGGCTTTAAAAGTAATAATTTATAGCAAGTAAAAAATAATACTAAATTAATTTACAATAAAGTTGCAGAAGTACACAGACAAGATTATAAAAATCGGTCTTACCAAAAATTAAAATAAGGACCAAACCGCACTTGGTTCACAAGAAGCTACACACACAGCTTTTATTTAAATAATGAATGTTTGTAATTCATATTTATTAATGAAAAGATATGAAAGTTCTGAAAAGTGCAATTGATGAAATCGTTGTTTCTTAGAGGAATTGATTGCATCGGTAGTTAGCTTTAACCACCTATCAGGAAAATGTAGTCGAAGATAGGCCGTATATTACTTTACTTTGGAGATAATTGGAGCTAATATTAATAGTAAGACCACTTACAGTAACTCTAGATTATGTTGCCTCTTAAATCGCACTGTATTTAAACTGCACTTAAATTTTAGTATCAAACACTGAAGTTAATTTATAATATATTTGATCTACTCGGGTTTTAGATCAATTTACTTGAGATACAATAGAAGTGTATATATACACTTATCATCATCATCATCATCATCAACTAGCCTCTAACGTCCACTGCTGAACATAGGCCTCTCGCATGCTCTTCCACTTAGTCCGATTTTGCGCCATCTGAATCCAATTTGTAGTCACTCTTTTTATGTCATCTGTCCATCTCGTTGGGGGTCGACCTCTATTTCTGTTAGCTTGTATTCGGGGTCTCCATTCCAAAATTCTTTTTGTCCACCGGTCATCAACTGATCTTGCTACATGACCTGCCCAGTTCCACTTTAGTGTTGTTATCCTTTCAATAACGTCTGCTACTCTTGATCTTTTGCGTATAGTAGCATTGGGTATTCTATCACGTAGAGAAATCCCTAACATAATTCTCTCCATTGCTCTTTCCGCAACTTGTAGTTTACTCACTGTTGTTCTTGTGAGCGTTAGGGTTTCTGCGCCGTAGGTCATCACTGGCAAAATACATTGATTAAATACTTTTCTTTTCAGACACATTGGAATCTTAGACCTAAAAATATCCTTCATCCTTCCAAATGCAGCCCAAGCGAGGTTTATTCTTCTTTTCAGCTCGATTGTTTGGTTGTCTCGACTTATTCTGATCTCATGGCCTAAGTATTTATAGGAGTCAACTGGCTCAATATCTTTGTCTTCTACTGAGATGTTTTTGTTGTGGACTAAATTTGTCATAAATTGTGTTTTTGAAAAATTTATTTTAAGACCAACTCTTTTTGTGGCAGTATGGAGTTCTTGGAGCATTATCTGTGCCTGATCAAAGCTGTCTGCAATAAGAACGATATCATCTGCAAATTTAAGGTTATTTAAAAATTTTCCATCTACATTGATGCCCTTTTCGTTCCAATCTATTGTTTTACAAGCGTATTCTAGCACAGTTGTAAACAATTTAGGAGACATGTTGTCTCCTTGCCGAACGCCTCTTTCAATACGAAAAGTCCCAATATCTTCATTAAGTGTATATATATGTAAGACTTAATATACACTTATAAAATCAATAAATTCCCAGAGAAAGAAATACGTCCAAACTCTTAGACGACGCAACCCAAAGTGATCCTCTCTTTTCAAATTTGAGACATTATCCCCTAGAATAGACTCATCCCCACTTAAAGAATTCCCTCTTAACAAGAACCCACTTATTTTCATTTTTGGCGTAAACACATAAACATGACGGTATTTTTTAAAAAGGGGAGCAAAAGGCAAATAGCTGTGCCATATTGAGGGAAAGTTTGTTTTTGAATTAAAGCTATTTGTAAGAAGTTTAACAAATGTTATTACTCTCTTCCCATCGCTATAAAAAATTGACGATTGCTCTCAAATTTCTAACAAAGCAGCCATCAAGTAATCTGCATGTTTCGGTACTTCTTTTAAGAAATAAAAAAGCCCAAAGATATACGAAGAATTAGGTCTATAAATATAAAAAATTCTTAAGTACCGTTACCTTCTCATGAAAGACTATATCGGCACGTCTCATTCGTTTCGGCGAGGTGCAAAGGGGAAATTTTTGGGTACGGTCATTGGCGTAGCTGCGGTAATTGCAAAAGGTTTTTAAAATTAATCTTAAAGTCATATATAATAATTAGTTACTAATCTAATTATAAAAAAATGTTACAAGACAACTGTAGTGGTTAAAGGGATGAACTTCACATTTATTGAGCTCTGTCCGCACAGGTTCAAATCCTTCCAGAACGCAATTTCTTTGTTTCTATATAAAATTATCTGTATATTTACCATTTCTCCTTTTATTTATTTATTTTATTTTTTATTTATTATTAATTATTTTCATTCTCCAGGAATATGATCGTTTTGTGATTGAAATCGATTACGATTTTTATTCTTACTTTTTTTTTAGATTGGATTGAAACAACCGGCAAAACCTTTTCCTCTAAATACAGATGTTGGTGTTCTTAAGTGGAGATTACAAAGCACCGAGGAAGCTCTAATTCCACTGTTAATAAATTGCTGGCCTTCAGAAGCTGGAGATGGTAGTTGTGATGTTAATATAGAATATGAGCTTGCCCACACTAATTTGGAACTAGTTGATGTTAATATTGTTATTCCTTTGCCGTAAGTATTATTAAATTTAATAAGTTGGGACTTTGTCTGGAATCTGCGGCAGTAGGAGTTTTTGAAGGCTTGCTACGAAGTTTATGATTTGTTCTCATAGCACATATACCGTATTATTGATAGAAAATAACTTTACTTTTATTGTTTCATCTTTTTTAATTGTAACATCAGCTGTGACTGGTGTCGAAAAGCCAATTTCGTATCGGCAAGCCAATACAAAGGGAATTTATATCAGAAGAGCCTTTTCAACTACAACAGAATGACCTATTTAACAGTATTCTTCCTTTCTGTCCTGTTGGCTACTATGGCTTTAACGTCATTCTGTACCTCGTCCATATATATTTTACTGGACGTTCCCCTCATTCTTTTTCCTTGGGTCCCTTGTCTGAATTAACTTTTACAGTACCATTATCCAGCAATATTTTGAAATGACAAGCCAGTTTAGTCTTTGCGACTATACAAACTCGTGATTCATTTTAATTCTCCACGTATCATACGTACAATGGATTGATCCTTCCTTAGTATTTTGCGCTCAAAGATTCTCAGTTGATTTTCAGCAGCGATTGAGAGAGTCCATGTTTCGCATCTATATGTGACCACTGCCTAATAACCATTAAGTCTTTGTATGCATAAAAGCACTTATTACCGCTAAGAATCCGTGGTTCTATTTTTTGACTGAAGTTGTTCCTGCGATTTATTATTGAGCCAATGTTGTGGGAAAGGTGAAGGCATAATCATAGGTATAATTCTCTACGATCTTTAAAATTAAAATGACTTGGGACACCATTCCTTAATAGTTTACGCTCGTAAGGAAACGAGCTCAGACAAAGAAATAAAATGAAAAATTTAAAACAAAACTAACAAAGAGGATTGGGCGGCCAAGCAAACAGGATATTCTTCGAATTGTTAGTTTCAGAAACATACCATAAATCCATAGCTATTTAGATAACCTGGGCCAATAAACATAGTTCTAGCAACTATTAGGGCTCCCGGTAAGGGTCTAAAATAAATATTTATTTGAAAATATATAAGAGAAAAGGAATTTTTTGGCTTACCTCGTCAAGAGACCACTCAAACAAAATTATGGTACTGTTTGTTGGACGTACAAAGACAGAAAGGGAGATGAATGGCGAAGAGTTTACGAACGCTCCAATTTTGAGGCGGCCAAGGTCGGAACCATTACGACTACAGTTTGATTCTTGGAGTAGGGTAGATGCTTCCGCGCCTGGCGGATAGATGGCGTAAGCAACATTATTTTGATTGTTCCACTGACTTGGAAGCGTCCAAGTTAATTTGTATAAGTTTAACATTTTGGATATACCTATTATGGATAATTGCTTTAGCATCTTTTGTCTATATCTGCTCCATCGAACGCCTGCTTGAAATGGATATACCTATTATAAATTAGTATGTTGGTAATTTGTAGTTAGACTTTGCCATAAACAAACATTCCTGGGGATGGATCAAAGAGAGAAAACAAAGACGACAATTGAATTAATTGCATGGGAGGTAATAGGCGAGAAAGAAAGAAATGCGGGCTGGTTTGATGATGAATGCTAGGAAAACATGAACAGAAAAAATATTTTGCAGCAACTAATGCTTTAGAAAGATACAAGAGAAAGCACTGATAAGTACAAAAAGGGAAGAGGGTCTCAAATAGGAGAAAAAAGGAGAAAGCTTTTTGGTTTGGAAAGCCTTGGTAAAACCCCTCTAGAGGTTCTATCAAGGAATAACTTATGTAAAGACAGGGACGTCTCTAGGAGAAAAATAAGGTGATTCTGAGAAAGGCCTAGTACTCCGAAAATATGCTGAACGCCGAAAGCAAGCTTCAGGGCAGATATCGGCAATTTTAATAGTAGAACTACAGATTTACTTTGAGAAGGTAGAGAAAGTAATGAGTCTGAAAAGCGGTAGAACCTAGAGAAGATCAATTCAGTTTTATTTTAATCAGGTGGTTAAAGTTTGGTTACCTCCCTTCATAAGTTGCTGTATGATATTTGGGACACTTAGGAAATGCTGGAGGAATGGAAAGTAGGTCTTTTGTAATATATGAGACAGGTAATAAATTAACTTAACACGTATGTAGGAAGGAAGTCAAGTAAACCGTTTTTGATGCAATCGGGAGTGCGGAAGGGGATTCTCTATTTGGTGACCTTTTTAGCTTTCTTCTTGGTTTCTTGGATTGCACAAATATCCATGTTTTTATTTATCAGTTCTTTTATTATCGCTTGGTCTTTGTTGTTGAAAGAAGTAATGTTTCATGTTGATAATCTGACTGGGCTTATTTTTCTTTCTCGTTTTCCTTTTCTTTGTATGGTTCCTCATCTTAGGAATTTTATTATTTTTTAATGAAGATTGATATTAATAAATATGTTATCAAGACAAAAGCTAAAACATCTCGCAATTATACATTACAGGTGTATAATAAATAAATATAAAGACTGTTTAATTCAAATACCATCACTGAATATTTTCATATAATAAATACACCAATATTATGTTTGCTTTATTTTCAGAATTGGATGTTCACCTATAGTTGGTGAATGTGACGGTATGTACACACACGAAGCCAAGCGTAATCAACTGGTATGGAATTTGCCTCTGATTGATGCCAGTAATAAGACTGGTTCTTTAGAATTTAACGCTCCTAGGGCCATACCCAATGATTTCTTCCCACTTTCCGTTGGATTCAATTCGAAGTCGTCCTATGCGAGTATTAAGGTAACTATAACATCAATCTTATATAGATTATACAAGGTTGGAACTCTAAGAAATGAATACAGAACAGATGCATCTTGCAACGCGGTCTAGTGTTTGTTTCTCTACTAGAATATGTGTAACGATTGATAGACTAACTGATTTTAAATTTTTTAAATAGCTTTGAAAGTTGTTTGCTCTTCTATACTTAAAAATAGCAGCGATTTATGTAACAAAGATTTCTTTACACAGCAAAGTTTTGAAACTTCGAATTTTTATACCAAATTTGTAGAAGCTTTAGAGTTTTCGGAATTCCTATAATATCGATGCCAATAATAAGGTGCTGATCGAGTTCCAACAACAATTTTTAGTCTTAAAATGCAGAATCGCTCCTTATTTATGCAAAACTGAAAAATAAGTTTTAGTTGTCTGATCTGGTATTATTGCTTTTGTTAAGATCCTAACAATATCTATGTTTTAGATTACCGAAGTCGTCCTGGTTGATGATGATTCTCCTATAAAATATTCAGTGGAGACTGCACTATATCCAGATAAATATGAAGTAGTATAATGGGGCAGAAGTAAAGAATCACTTGTAAAAATTATATAACTAATATTATATCTTATATGCAACATTGCTTTTTGTACAAAAGTTAAGTAACTTGTCTTTATTTTATCTATATTAATAAAATAAGTAAGAAAGTAGTTTATATAATTTTTGTCCTATTGTTATTTTTTCTTTAGAAACATGTAGAAATATTGAATATGCAGAGAGGAATGAAATTAATCTCGAAGAATTGAAAATATTTTCAACGAATGTATTCACAGAGGAGAAGTCCCAGATGATTGGAATGAAAGTTTGACAACACTTCTCTTCAAAAAGGGAGACAGGGGAGATCTGAAGAACTATAGGCCAATCTCCCTATTGTTCCAAATGTACAAACTGTTTATGAGAGTAATAACTAACAGGTTAACGTCGAAGCTCGGCAGTTATCAACCGGTAGAGCAGGCAGGATTCCGAAAGGGTTACAATACATCGGATCATCTTCTTACAGTCAGAACTCTAATAGAGAAAGCCAATGAATATCACTTGAACTTATACATTGGCTTCGTTGATTATGAAAAGGCATTCGACTCCATAGAACTTTGGGCAATAGAGAGAGCTATGAACAACTACAGGATAGACTTCCAATACAGAATGCTCATACATATTTACAAGATTATCAACTGTCGGATTATCAAGGGACAACTGTATTGAGAAGAGGGAATAAAGAACTAGGCAACTTTTCAACTGTATCGAAACAGGAATGTTTTAAAATAAAATGCAGGACAGAACTTACACTCAAAACAAGCTCTTGGATTTAAAGTAAGGAAGTGTTGATTAACTTCGATATGTCGCAATGTAGCTGGACATTTAATATTAACCATGCCAAGAACGCTTCAAAAAAGTTCCTTCCCGTTTACTTATGATATTATATTTATAAAGAATGGACAAGAGCAGGTTTATTTATTGAAAGGTTTCACGGATGTTTGATCGCTGAAGAGAACACGTATTTGGAGAAGGAAGAAATATCCCTTCGATTTTTATTAATAATAAACCATATCTCAATAAACGAAGCTTTCTTTATCGAGAATGAAACGAAAACGTTCAGGTGCCACTTAACACAATTACGATACATCAACAACTTGACCAGGATGTCATTAATGTGTCAATACTTCATATGTGTGCTGAATATCTAGATGATTAGGATAACCATCAGTAACTATGGCTATGTCCGACAGTAACATGGCTATTTTGACTTTGTTGACTGCTATCTTAAAGACATAGAAGTATAGGTACAGGGTATCCCGGAAAAAAATGCGTACCTTTAAGGTATGGGCTGAGTACACCATTTAAAACAAAAAGCCGTGTATTTTTTTGTTAAGTCAACCGTTTTCAAAACAAATTATTAATTTGAATCCTTTTCATTATTATTGTTCTGAAGCTATTTTCTTGTGGCATTGTAAATTAATTACTATTCAACTGGGAATAAGCCACAATTAAAGATAAAAATACGTTTATTGACGTTTCAATTTCCACTTCGGAAATCGTTCTCAAAATACAAACAGTAAATTAAACAAATTTTGTTTTTTTGTTACATAGTGAAAAATTCTTCTAATTTAATTTTATCTGACTCATTTATATTGACAATTCAGACATACATTATGCATTTTAAAGTAAACGACTTTAAAATGATATTGCCAATATTGTTGAGTTGCGCTCCTGGGACGACTTTACTTATAAGATAGTTCATTCGATTACATGAAATCAACTTTAACTTGAGAATATCCGTCAGAAAAAAATCATAGCATGTAATTCGTCTTTAAAAAGACAAACACATGACATGATGACAGTCAAATTCTCCTGTTAGTGATTCCATAGTAAATTATGAGGAAAAAAACCTCATAATACTATCCCGACATGGTTAGTATTTGTTCGTGCATTTAGTTTACCTTCAATAAACACCAAAATTCTGATTTCATATGTTTCGTTATTTAAAAAACATAAATGATGTATCCTCTGTTACTGACTTACTAATACTGGTATTTTCTTATTAATAACTTCCTCTTCCGATATTGGTAACCAGATCCTACTACATTCTGCCGAGGAATTTGTGACACAATTGGCCTCATTTAGCATAATTAGAGCCGCTTCTTTGATTTTTCTTTTTTTACCATCCGTTTCTTTTAGGACTACATTTGAATTATTCCATTGAACAATATGTTCATTATCCCATGCGTGTTTACAGATTTGAGATCTATCAAATTCTTTATTTTTAATATAAGATTGATGTTCACTTATTCTAACATTTAATGGCCTTGATGATTCACCTAAATAAAACTGATCGCATTCACAAGGTATTTTATAAATGCAATTCTTTGTCCTTTCTTGTTCATTGTTAGGTTTGGTTTTGGACAAAATAGATCTCAACGTGTTTGTTGTTTTGAATGTTGTTGAATTTTTTTTCCTATCCTTTTAAGTTTTTCTGATAGTCCTTTTATGTACGGTATTGTTATTTTTCTCATATTATTCCTTGTGTATGCTGTAGGATCTCGTTCTAAGTTGTTCTGTTCTATTCGATCGATTGTTGAAAATTCCTTATTTATAAACGATAAAGGATAATCATTTTTTAATAAAACAGATGTTAACAAATGTTTCTCTCCAAGAACGAATTTTCATTAGAACAAGTAATTTTGACTCTATCGTATAAGGATTTAATTATTTCCTTTTTTACATTAATATTGGGATTTGATTTGAAATTTAAATATCTATTGGTGTGTGTTGGTTTTCTATACACCTGAGTCTCATATCTAGTATCGTTCTTAGAGATTAAAACATCCAGGAAAGGTAGCGTGTTATTATATTCCTTTTCCATGGTAAATGTTATTGTCTCTTCTTTATCGTTTATATCATTTAGGAATGTGTCCAACAACTCTGATCCATGAGGCCATATTGAGAATACATCATCTACATACCTCCACCATACTGTGTCTACTTTAAAATGCATAATTTATGTCTGAATTGTCAATATAAATGAGTCAGATAAAATTAAATTATTAGAAGAATTTTTCACTATGTAACAAAAAAACAAAATTTGTTTAATTTACTGTTTGTATTTTGAGAACGATTTCCGAAGTGGAAATTGAAACGTCAATAAACGTATTTTTATCTTTAATTGTGGCTTATTCTAAGTTTAATAGTAATTTACTTTTCATTATTGTCCACAGAAAAGCAAATACAGCCGGCAACGTTGCGCTCCTTGCTATACTTCGTTAATTACGAAGTAATAAGAATAAGTTAGGAATCATCGATCGTTAGGCATAGTATTATGTAAAATAGAAGTTTCACAATAGCTTTATGAGGTAGTTTTTTAATACTTCACCAGTGTAAATAATAATTTGGAGCTTTTTGGGTTGGTTTTCTTTAATTTCAGTCAATACTTCTTTAGATGTTGGTCTTATTACTTTTTCTACTTGAACTGGTTCTTTTCAACTTTGTTCATCTTCTTGGCTTTCATTGGGTTTGAATGGAGTGGAGAGTGGGTAATTGGTCTTTTTATTAATTTTTTTAGCTTTCCATAAAGAATAATCATCCGCTAATTTTTGTAAGTTAATATTTTTTGTTTCATTCTTTGGTTGATAGATTCTTTTGAGTTCTCGACTCGTATTGTTTCATCTTAAGACCTAACTTTTTGTCATATTCTTCTTAATTTCCTTTTATCGGTTATTAATTTTCTTATTTCTTTTGGATAAGTATTTATACCCTGGGTTTCAGCACAGGAGTGTTTTCTGATGCAGCTTGCTGTATATTGTGCACAAACAGTGCAACTTCTTCATCTAGCTGCTCCGAGTCTTGTAGCGCTACTGTTTTCTTTTCAAGACATGGTTTGAAACATTTCCCAATCCGTTAGTTTATTAGTTACTGTTGGAATATTATCTTTTTTAATGATCGTATCGCTTAGAGTTATATGTGAATGATTCGAGTTGTCCCAATCGTCATCACTGTATAGGTAATTAACTAAAATATTTTTAATTACGAAGAAATCGATTAGGTCATGAATTGTATTTCTATCTGTAGCTCAATAAGTTAATCGGTCCGTAGATATTGATTCGCACCCATGTTCGTTGATAGACAATAGAAGCTCTTTTCTTTTAATGATAGTTAGTAAAGAGCCACCTTGTATTAAACCGTAAGGTATTCAACAACTCATTGTATTGTTCTTTTGAATATATTCATCTAACATTGATAACACAACTTTTAGTTCTTATACAAACCATAGTCGCTTGTGGATGTGTATTTTTATACTCATAACTCTTCGTGATGAAGTAAATTATTTTTAATCACGATTGCTCTACCTCCTTGGGATTCATTATCAGAGTGTATTTTATGTATGATTGATTTGTAAAATGTGTGTCAGATATGATAAAGATGTCAAGTATCGCCTGTAACTCTTGTTGATCTACCAAATAGCACATTTAGCGCTATGTTCCAGGCGAGTAACTGTTTTAGTTCATCTAGTATGAGCTGTAGTCGAGTCTGGTTCCTTCTCATTCTGGTTTTTCGTTTGTAGATTTGCATTGTTGTTTTTTAATGCCCAAGCCAACAAAAAACTCTCCGTTCACTTTGAAAACAGACTGCTCACTCATAACTCAACACCAAAATGTCTTGGAGTGACTCTGGACAGAACATTACGTTTTAAAGAACACCTACAAAGAGCGGCAGCAAAACTGATAACAAATTTGCTTGAATTAAAAATATTTTTATAAGTTATCGTATTATTTAATGCCTTCTACTATCACTGGTGGCGGCATCTTAATTTTCTTGTCTGGAAATGAAAGATTAGCCATGAACGATCATATCAATCACTGTAGGTTTTGATGATGTAGGGAAGTATCTATTTGTCTTTCGAAGAACAGCAATAGTTTCACTTAGTCTAACCTTGTAATTCTCTGCAGCTTTCTAAGCATCGAACAAGACCTGTTTATTTTGTATCCTCTGATAATTCTCTTGAAAAACCGTTTGGTTGGCTTGCGCTAAATACACTTCATTTTGTGTGGTTAGTTGGAAACTCATGCATTCATTTTTACTAGTAAATAAAATAAGGTAACTTGTTAATTACTTTGTTTAATTATTTACAGATAACTCTTGAACGAACAACCTTACCATTCACTACTTAAATGAATAATGTGCAATATAAATATGAGATGATTCCATAATTCACCCTATTACTTTATTTATTTATATAGATCAACAGGCCTTGAAACATCGTAATACTTAATAGGTTATAAATAAAAAACAGCTTTATCATCTTTTAGAAATATTTATTTCGAATTTAGTTAAAACTTAATACATAATCTATGTATAAAAAAACCAACTTATATGCAAAAATTACTAATCATTTCTATAAATACATAATACATCCAACAGTGCTCATTCTGAATTTCTAAAAAAATATATACAATACTTTAGAAGAAATGTTTTTTGTGTATATCGGACATTTACATCTGAAAATGTTTTCGATGATCGAAATTATATACGGGCTTGGATTTTGGGGACATCACAAACTTTGCACACGTCAAATACATCAAAAGTAAAATGTCATTTTTTAACATAAACGCTAATTATTTACATTTATTTTAACGAGGTACACACATCAATTAATCAAGTACTTTTATAAGATCTTTCGCAGTAGAGAAATAAAATTTGTGAAAATTCAACACTCTAGAAATGCTTGTAATAGTTTAGTTTAGTATCTGTACGCATCTTTAAATTACTAATGTGAAACAATACTAGTATTACATTGAGATCAGCAACTTTTTTTTTAGAGAGTAACTTACATTTCGGTATTTGTTAAAACTAAAATTATTATTTAAAACCTGTATGATACTAATTACATTCTGAGTTAATATAAAAGGATTAACACAACAGTTTTAAAAAATAGTGTACGGTTGCGAATGTATTACTTACAGGTCTGTGCTATTTGAATTGATCACTCTGTACTGATTAGCGATCTGCTTAGCAATATAACACTTGATTATGGTCTCGTAATAAATAATTTTGCAAGGAATATGCTCTGTATATTTGAGTCACGATTATCTCTTTTAACATCAAGTTTTCATTATGCTCATCATCCTTACGCTCATCATCATATCAGATATACTTACAATCGATGGTCAAAATGATAAATCTGAAACAATTATTAGAGAGAACTAAGGTGTCTCAGGCGGCTGTTATCGAAAATAACATGAGATAAATCATTTGTCTTATGACAGCCAACGCGTTAATAATGACTATTTCACTAGACTATTTTTAATTGATAAAACGTCATAGCAACGCCACGTTTCTTACTGACAAAACTCCTTCCTGTCCGTGATTTCTCAGCGATAAAATTATGACAGATCCGTCACGAAGGTGTCTGGTAATTCTATTGTTGTCAGTTTGACAAACGTCATTGAGGCGTAATCAATTTTGGACAGATATAATGAATCTAGACGAAAAATCAATATTTTGATGCCAGACAGGTGAAGAAATAAAAAATTGGTTTCGGAAAATGTCCCGTTGAACACGTAGAGGTCCAGAAGCTCTACTTGGGCCCAATTTTCGGAGTTCCTACGGTTTTAGAAATTTTACTCTTGAAAGATTAACTACCATAACGGAACTAGCAAAAATTCTCGAGGATTGTGCCTGTAACATGAAGAAAGGAAATGGCGAAGACTATAAAGAGTAGTCAATGTGGAATACTACAGCAAAAATGGTACAAGAAAAATATTTTACGAAGTACGGGAAAAAAATCAACCCTTTCACAGATATATCTTTCAAATGTTCAAGATTGGCAAGAGATACCAAGCGGGGGCAGCTTCAAAATGTTCAAGAAAAAATAAAACTCAATTCAAAAGCATTATCCACCGAAGAACTATTAAAAAACATCTAAAGCTAAGACGAGGAAACCTCCGATGGAACACAAAAAAGTTTTTTATCTTTGCTCATTTGAACTTACTTGGAGATGCAATGAGGCCATAAACTGCAAGATTCACTGTTTCCAGAAGAAATTTGATGTTATGGGAGAATTTACGGGCCACATTGAATACAACAGCATTTTTTTCAAAACAAATCAAGGCGGTTCGGAAAGTTGGCAAGCAGTAAATGGCTGGTAAGAAATTCATCAAACGAAAATTTATGTCCACTTAGATTATTTTTGAAAGTAATTAAAAAAGGGGACTAAAGATTTTTTTCACAGACTCTTTCTTACCGTTCACCCCAACTGGAAGCATGGATCTTGGTTCAAAAACTGCCCACTTGGAATCAACACCGTATCTAAGTGGACAAAAATGTCAACTGGAAAAATTTGAATAAACACAAAAAAAATCAAAATAAACCATTCTCATCGATCTTCAGCTGTGTCAGCCTTGTTCAAGCGCGGTGTTGCTGAGCAGGAGTTAATTAAATTAACGGCTCACTCAAATGCAAGAACTCTCTAAAACGATATCTGCAGCTGAATTCCAGTCACCACCAGAAATTAATCGAAAATCTCAGAACAACAAACGAAGCTGAATCTTCGAGTTCACAAGTGCTACAGGTCAATATTACACAAAATCATGCTTTGGTAGAAAAGAATGAGCAAACTACTAGAGCTTATAATAATTGTACATTTAATATTGTTAACAAATAAATAAAGATTATGTTTCGTTAATATGGTGCATTAATTGTCTCGTGAAATAAGCTTGTCGAATATCATTTGAAAAAAAATTATTACCGGCAAAATTTTCTTCTGGTTTTATTCAAGTTTGTTGCCTTTTGGCAATTTTCGCTTATGAAACTTTGACAAAATTACTCAACTGACCTCTCGGTATTTAACTGTCAAAATTTAATTCGCCAAAATTGCCAGGCAACAAACTTTCATACCAGTCAAAAATATTACCGGCAAAATGTTCTCTCTTATGATATTATATACAAAAATATCTTGTATGACTATTTTTCCATTACGTTGCCATGATTGATAAACACTGTCACAGATAAGACGCCACAATTATATGAAAACACCGCGCGATAAATAATATTTGAATAGTGCATATTACTAAGAATGCTAACCGTAAAATATATTATCAAATTGTGTTATTCCCTTATATCTTACACATATTTTAGTCTATATAATTATATTAAATAAAATTAGCAAATATTATCTTTGTTATATTCGTCAAATTAAGCAGATTATATATGTATTGTAAAACAATATAAGTCAAATATAAACCATATTCCATACATATAGTAAAGCTTCATTAATTTGCTAAACATGAGTAAGTGTAAACAAGTTTTAATAATCAAAATATTAACAATCAAAAAATAATTAAAAATTAATGTTATAATATAACAAAATTATGATTTGTTACAGAATTCGCATTACATAATTTAATTAATATAAAAACATGCCGAAGAAAATTATGACAGAACATAAATGATATAAGAAAGAGCAGAAATTCCCAACGAGAGCTTTGATTAAACTATTAAAAGCATACTTCTAGTTTATTTTAGAAAATACACTAACGGTACATTTAATTTAGTATCTTTGATTCTGAAAACTCGCAGCTTGTGCCATTTGTTGGTGTTGAGCATATTCTCTAGCAAATTTCGCCCATATTTCTTGAGTATTGCTGTTTTCGGAAATTGGTTGGCGACTGGGAGCAAACGGGTTTGCAACAGAACCGCTTTGTTCTTGTTGTTGTTGCTGTTGTGGCTGCTGTTGCAGTTGTTGCTGCTGCTGCTGATAATGCTGTTGTTGATAATGCTGTTGTTGCATTGGAAAATATGGTGGCCGTTGCATTTGTTGGTATGGGTGCGGTTGTTGATATCCCTATTTTAAAAATGGCTCCCTCTTTAAAAACATTTTTACTTTAAAACATAAAAATTATCAGAATCAATATTGAAGTTCTGTAATAAAATTTGGTTTTAATGTTATACCCCCGAAGATGTTTGCAGTAACAGACTGGATTACTTCTTCTGTAAAATAAAAAAATGTATTATCTAAAATTTGAAATTTAAGTATGATATTTAAAGGTATTGCGCTAAATAGATTAGGTACTTGCAAACTTTTTTATCGTGTATTATCATAAAAGTTATTTTGTTCTGTCTAACGTGCAAGTAGATATCCCTCCAACTTCTGAAAGGAACACTGAAAATAACTGCAAAAATAATTAACGGCATAATTTTCTTATCGAAAGAAGTAGATAATGAAATGATACATACACTACACAACATACGTTAGAATTTTTATAAAAATGTTACTGCTAAAATACAAACAATTTTCAATATATTATTGAATTTGTCAATGATTGTATATTAAACCTGTCACAGCAGGTGTTTTGTAGTGGTACATTGTTTTCGTGGTTTAATAGGCCGCGGATATGGAATTATTTTTTCTTGACGTTTCGTCTGCCACTGCGGCAGACATTATCAAGGGCCAAGTGAAAGTTGCTGATGATAATCCTCGAATATTTGCGCTCTGCATAGTCATCGTTGGCAGAATGAATTGGCACCAGAAGAGTCGCTAAAGGGAATAGTATGTTGCACAAAAAGGGTGATCAACCGGAGTGTAAGAACTATATAGGCATTACTCTGTTAGCATCTGCGTATAAAATCTTCGGCAATGTATTGTTTGAAAGATTTAAACATTTTACAAAGGATATTGTTGGTCAATGTCAATGCGGATGTATTGCTGGAAAGTCAACTACACATCAAATTCAAGCACAAAGGCAGATTCTAAAAAAGGTTGTGTTTTTTGGAGGATTTTGGTTGTGTATTTGGTGTTTTTATACAAGGCAACAATTTTTGATCACTGCAAAAAATAAGTCATTACATAACAGACCATCACATAAAAAAAAACTTACAATTGAAGGTCCTGAAGAAATAATTCTGGACAATGGCCTGTAAACCTTGAATACAATGTACTGCTATGTAGATGTAAAATGAGGTACTGATAAAATTGAGTGAAATTTTATAATAATTTACGTTTGAAGAAGTTAGAAGTATTGAGTTAATAGACCACTCTTTGATTTAGACCCCAGAGAATAAGAGGAAGACCGAACAAAGTTCCTTGACAGTATCAATGAAAATATGGCGTTGAAATATGATATAACATGAAAGAAGGCGATGGATAGGGACTATTGGAGAAAAATTCTTGAGGAGACTAGGACCCACGCAGAGTTGTAAAGCATGAATGATGATTATTCTTCTTCACATGCCATATTATAATTATCTGACGGCGATTACCATTGCGCAGGTTTCTCAATCTTCTGATACAATGAATATTTATCCAGCATTTTATATCCGAGTCCATTCACGGATGTTTTTAATCAAGAAACCTGATTTCTTCCTACAACTCTACAGCGTTCTATTTTGCCGTTAAGAATCAGTTGTATTATTCTATATCAATTTCCCCTCATCATATGTCTCAGATAAGACATTTTCCGATGTTTAAAAGTCTAGCAATTCTCTATATTTGTTGACCCTCCTTAGTACTTCCTCATTAGTTTTTCTTGTCCAAGATATCTTCAGCATCCGTTTACGAATCAATTCATAGACGGATGAATTCTGTTCATACTTAATTCTCTCCATAAAAAAGTACAGATCAAATATAGCACTTAACCATTCTTTGTCTTGGTTGATGATGATTATGAAGTATTAATTGTGAATTTAATCTGTTTTTTGCCTTACGAGACTCTAAAGTCACAAAATTTTAAATCGTTATGCTTTCTTATTACGGCAAAAGTTGGCGTAATTCCTGACGGGACGTGTACGTTTGTCTAACATAAGAAAATAATTCACCGGGTATATACGCTGTCAATCGTGGGTAATCGAATGTATTGTAACAGTATAGCGGCCACTATACTGCTCGCGAAGTTGTTCGAAGTTCAGCGAGCACGAGAGTGTAGACAGATACAGCTACTAGAAAGGGCCCGAAGTTCGAATACAAAGTGTCACACTATATTACTCGACTTCACGAGTGTGTAGAAAGTCACCTCGCCTCGATTAACTTCACTTCGACAGAAAAATTTCGATCGAGAGTGTAAACGGCGTTTAACTGTTGCCGGTGGACGTTTGTTGATGCAAGCACAATTATTCGTGTTTATCATTATTGTTTATACTGTTTTTGCGGAATTTTATTTGTGAATCACACGCAATACACGTCAGGGTAAGTACCAATAAAACATTTATTTTGTTATGATGATAATTACATCCCATATTATTATCGAATGCTTTTTGACTCCCGTCAGTGTTCAAAACATGTTTTTATTTTATATTACTTTATTTTAGAATGGCAAGTAAATGGAAGGATTTTATGAAAATGCCTTTATCAGAAAAGGAACTAGAAGAACTGGCAATACAAATTCTGGACCTACGAAATAATGTCGAAATTAGTGAATATGAAGAGCGATTCTGACAATAATGAAATAAGAGATGTTGATCCATCTGCAGCTGAAGAAAGTGATTTAGTTAAAAATAATGTAGGTGAAATTGAAGAATCAGGACTAGGAGAAGCTGTGGTTGAAGACGAACTAAATGAAAGAGTTGGACCTCTTGAAGCTAACCGAAAATGGCATAGGAAAGACGTCATCGAAATTATTCAAAGTTACCACTTTGGTGGAAGATGGAGCAGTGAGTCCAGAGTTCGCAGGATGCACACCTACAGATGTTTTGTTAGACTCGGAGATATTGTGGAGAAGAGTACCTATCAAAGTAATTTGTATGCAATGCAGAACAACAAGATACTGAATATGAAGGAAGGTGAATTACTGGCCCTTACCGGGCTGAACTTTCTAATGGGGTACCATCAACTTCTCTCGTGGAAAATGTACTGGAATACTTCTGTGGGGGTTTAACAAAATAATGTACTATTACGAATTAATAGTACTTAGATTAATACCAGCTATTCCTTCGATAGCTCTGGCAAGATAAATGAACTTTCACTCATAGGTGCAAATAACAAATAATATAAAATTTAAATGGTTGCAAAAACAATCAAAAAACAAACAAAGGTATTAAACTAGGTGAACTTACCGAACCGCTAATTAGGTACCATAATTCACTACTATAAAACCAACCGATTTCGATGCATCGACGCACTCGCGAGGGTTGTGTCTTGCGTCTATTCTGCTCAACGACTTAAGCGCTTGTGTCCTACGGGATGCATAGCATACCCGAACGGTACGAATAGGGATCGAAGGTATACAGGGGGAGGACAAAATGTCTTGATTAATTTATACAACCATATTTGAATTTAAACATTCTCCCCCCTTTAAAGGCCATAAGGTCTTTAAAAAACAAAACGAATTCTAAATACTATCATTACTTAAACAATCAAAACGATAATTACTACAAACAATTCCTATACAAATATTAAACAAATATTCAAAACTTAAACTAAAAAATAAAAAAAATTAAAATTAAAATGGTGGTTTTGTCGTGGTTCTATTCATAAAAGCCGAACAAAACAAAATCAGTAAAAAAAATGCTGACCATTTAATCTTCATCTATCGGCACGGGACAGATTCGGACAAGAGGCCGTTTTAAGGTTCCGGTAATCGTACGCACGGTAGCCACTCGAGCTACACCGTCTTTACCCTCATGTAATTCAACAAGACGCGCGAGAGGCCACTTACACGGAGCCAAATTATCCTCCTTTAAAACAACTAAGGTGCCGATTTTAGGTACAAAACTAGGATCTAACCATTTACACTTTTGTTGCAAGGTGTGCAAATATTCCTTTCGCCATCGAGCCCAAAAGTCTCTATGGATGCGCTGTAACAACTGCCATCTGGACAAACGATTGAAGGATACCTCCGAAAAATCAGGCACAGACAAAGATGTCAAGGGTTCAAGAGTCAGGAAATGTCCTGGGGTCAAAGCATTGAGATCTTCAACATCATTGGTTAAAGGGGTGAGAGGGCGTGAATTTAAGACGGATTCAATTAACGTCAAAACGGTATAAAATTCTTCGTAAGTCAAAATTTGTGCCCCGACTATACGACCAATATGTTCCTTTACAGAACGAATTCCGCGTTCATAAATACCGCCAAAATGTGGAGCAGCAGGAGGAGCAAATGAAAACTTAATATTTTCCTTATCGAGAGCGCTCTCCATAAAGCTACTAAGCTGTCGATAAGCACTGTGGAAATTAGTGCCATTATCACAAAATACTTGCGATACTCGACCTCTCCGAGCGACAAAACGTTGTAAAGCGGCCAAAAAGGCTTCCGCGGTCAAATCACTAGCTAATTCCAGATGTAAAGCCTTTGTAGCGCAACATACAAATAAACACAAATAGGCCTTTTGAGTTCTAACTCCCCTGTAACGAGACATGGTTATCGAAAACGGTCCACCATAATCTAACCCACAAATCGAAAAGGGTTTAATGGCACCGAGACGAAATTTAGGCAAATTACCCATAGGGGGTTGTAAGTTTTTGGGAGATTGTTTCCAACATCTAATACATTTGGACAATACTGAATTAATGGCTTGTTTAGAAGACAGTATCCAAAACCTTTGACTAATCAAAAATTGAGTACTCTTAAATCCAGCATGTAAATACTTCTCATGATAATAACGAACTAGGTTACGAGTATCAATACTACGAATGTAAACGACACAAGCATATCCCTTTTCACTAGCATCGGCAAATCCATGAAGCTCTAAGATGGGACATGAAGAAATATTCAAAAAACGAGGAATTTTGAATTGTGAAATAAGAGATAATTCGCTCTTATATTGTTCCCATACACGAATTATTTCCGAAGGAGGGCGATCATCCCATTTAAGACCGGTTGCCCAAAGTTGTTGGATTAAATGTTTAATGAA